ATTCATAAAACATATTTCATACACAGACTCAATTCAACTTTACATCAAATATTCAGAAGAAAACAACAAAATAATAAAAAGGTCAGACAAACGGGAGACAATAAACAAAAAATGTTAAAAAACAATTTATGTTGTTAATCCAACAACTCTTCAGGTCATTTTCTTTTAAAGTCCAATATCACAAATCCAAAATTTGCTTCTACAGGCTTCACAATCTGGATGTGACAGCCTCTATTCTTAGACTCCCCAAAAAACTGTATAATGGGAAAAATGGGAGAGAATTCCGCAAGAACATTTTGATTCATGTTGAATAAAGTCGCAGATCTTCTCAGTCTAATGAATGTCCATTTTATTTCTCTGATTGTTCAGTGTGACATCGTGTTCATGTCAGCTGTTTTCTGTTTGTTATTGTGCTTTAACCAATCAGCAGTGACTGACGTATCTGTCCCACTGAGTTACATAACAATTTCACCTTGCCTGTATTTTCATTAATAAAAACATCATAACATAAAAAAAGGAATATGTATTGTAGTCATCTTTAAATGATCAGCACCAGATCCTGGTCCGATATCAGTCAGGAGGTCAGTCTCTGTGGGGACAGGGACTCTCAGCACATCAGTTCCTGTCTTCACTGTTATCAGCAGTGCTGCTGGTACAGACTGTGAACCAACAGTCCTCAGATTGTCAGTGTGACAGAAACACTGTGTGAGCTCTGGTTGTCTGTTCATACCTGAGAGTGTCCAGTCTCCAGTGTGGATCCTCTAGTCCAGCAGTCAGCAGCGTCACTCCTGAGTCTCCTGGATGATTGTAGCTCAGGTCCAGCTCTCTCAGATGGGAGGGGTTGGATCTCAGAGCTGAGGCCAGAGAAGTACAGCCTTCCTCTGAGATCATACAGCCTGACAGTCTGGAGACACACACACACACACACACACACACACACACACAACACACACACAGAATAATGTTGTATTTATTTCAATCTATTGTCTCCTTCTTAGTGTGAATTATTTGATCAAAATTAGCTTAATGTTAAATATTCTCATCAGTCCACTGTTGGAGTTAATTGTTACTATAAAGTCAAATGACACCAGAAAACATCTTCAACGAAGTAATTCAATATAAATCTGCTTACACCTTTTTTTAATCACTCCGGGCAGCACAACAAGCTATAAAACACAACACTGATATATAAACACTGTATAAAAGTTAATATCACAAATGAATTCGGAAACAGTTGCCTACTTCTGTTGCAACCTCCTGAAGCTAGCACAGCATAGAAAAGCAAATATAGGAAGAAAGTCTGTGGAAAAATCTCATTTAAATTCTGGATTTGCTTCACGAAAAAAAATGTCCTTACCTTTAGGGCAAACAAATACACTATATGTTAAAGAACAATTAAATGGTCAACTGTTCAACAGAACCTGAATCCTGACCTGAGTTTTTCCAGTCTACAGTGTGAACTCTTCAGTCCAGCAGACAGCAGCTTCACTCCTGAATCCTGCAGGTTGTTGTTACTCAGGTCCAGCTCTCTCAGACTAGAGGACTGGGAGGTGAGAACTGAGGACAGAGCTTCACAACTTCTCTCTGACAGATTACAGCTACTCAGCCTGATGGAGAGTTAGAGATAAAGACAAACACTGTGACTGTTTCTGTTGTAGACGATTTTAAAATTGCCCTTTGTTGATTAATCATTAAATGCTTAAATTAGCATCTTAAATGAGGCCAATCAGAAAGCATGAGTCGTTATTGTTCAAATCACAAAAAAAAAAAAAAAATCTGTGCACTTACAGAGCTTTGTTGGAGGCTTTGACCACTGGCAGCAGCCTCAGAAGAACCTCCTCTGAAGCGGAGTATTTCTTCAGGTCAAACACGTCCAGATCTTTTTCTGATGACAGTAAGATGAAGACCAGAGCTGACCACTGAGCAGGAGACAGTTTATCTGTGGAGAGACTTCCTGAACTCAGGGACTGTTGGATCTCCTCCACTAGAGAACGATCATTCAGTTCATTCAGACAGTGGAATAGATTGATGGTTCTCTCTGCAGAGGAAGTTTCTTCGATCTTCTTCTTGATGTACTGGACTGTTTCCTGATTGGTCTGTGAGCTACTTCCTGTCTGTTTCAGCAGACCTCGTAGGAGAGTCTGATTGGTCTCCAGTGAAAGACCCAGGAGGAAACGGAGGAACAAGTCCAGGTGCCCATGTGGACTCTGTAAGGCCTTGTCCACAGCACTCTGATAGAAAGCTGCAGATTTGTTTCTGAACCAATTCCACCAGGATGTTGCTTGTTCTTCTGCCAGCAGATTGACTCCAGAGTTGATGAATGTCAGATGGACATGAAGAGCAGCCAGAAACTCCTGAACACTCAGATGGACGAAGCAGAAGACCTTGTCCTGGTAGAGTCCTCCCTCCTCTTTAAAGATCTGTGTGAACACTCCTGAGTACACTGAGGCTGCTCTGATATCGATGCCACACTCTGTCAGGTCTGATTCATAGAAGATCAGGTTGCCTTTCTGCAGCTCCTCAAAAGCCAGTTTTCCCAGAGATTCAATCATCTTCCTGCTCTTTTTATTCCAGTGTGTATTTGTCTCAGTTCCTCCATCATACTTGACATTCTTCAGTTTGGACTGAACCACCAGGAAGTGAATGTACATCTCAGTCAGGGTCTTGGGCAGCTCTCGTCTCTTTCTGGTCTTCAACACATCCTCCAGAACTGTAGCAGTAATCCAGCAGAAGATTGGGATGTGGCACATGATGTGGACGCTTCGAGATGTCTTGATGTGGGAGATGATTCTGCTGGCCTGCTCTTCATCTCTGAATCTCTTATTGAAGTACTCTTCCTTGAGTGGGTCAGTGAACCCTCTGACCTCTGTCACCATGTCAACACACTCAGGAGGGATCTGATTGGCTGCTGCAGGTCGTGAGGTTATCCAGAGGCGAGCAGAGGGAAGCAGTTTCCCCCTGATGAGGTTGGTCAGCAGCACATCCACTGAGGTTGACTCTGTAACATCAGTCAGGATCTCAGTGTTGTGGAAGTCCAGAGCAAGTCGACACTCATCCAGACCATCAAAGATGAACACAACCTGGAACTCCTCAAACCTGCAGATTCTTGCTTCTTTGGTTTCAGTAAAGAAGTGATGAACAAGTTCCACCAAGCTGTACCTTTTCTCTTTCAGCACATTCAGCTCTCTGAAAGTGAATGGAAATGTGAACTGTATGTCCTGGTTGGCTTTGTCTTCAGCCCAGTCCAGAGTGAACTTCTGTGTTAAGACTGTTTTCCCAATGCCAGCCACTCCCTTTGTCATCACTGTTCTGATTGGTCCATCTCTTCCAGGTGAGGCTTTAAAGAGGTCTTCTTGTCTGATTGTTGTTTCTGGTCTGTGTGGTTTCCTGGATGCTGTTTGAATCTGTCTGACCTCATGTTCATTATTGACCTCTGCAGTCCCTCCCTCTGTGATGTAGAGCTCTGTGTAGATCTGGTTCAGAAAGGTTTGGTTTCCTGCTTTAGCAATCCCCTCAAACACACACTGGAACTTCTCCTTCAGGTTAGACTTGAATTGACGTTGGCAAGATTTCAAAGTGACAATGTTCTCCTCAGGATGCTTCAGAAAAGAATTAAATAATAAAAATAAGAATTACATGTTTATTTTATTGAAGCTGCATTAAAAGTTATTGTTGTTGGACATTTACACACCACAAATATGGAGTTCAGGTTCGTTGAAAGCTGCTGGACAGACTGACCACCATAAACATCTGACCTTTGCTGCTTAACTCTGAGAAAACAAAAAGTATGATGAATTAAGAAATACCTATTTGCCTGCTGGGATGTAGCAGGGTCCAGTTTCCAGACTAATTTTGTGCACAGATTGGTCCACAGACACATGTACTTATGTCTTTTAAATTCTTACCTTTCTTCAGTAGGGTGGTGTTCAGCTTTAAATTCAATAGGTTCAAACCTGGAGTTGTCACTCTTCATGGACACACAGCTGGGTTCAGGAGGGTCTGCTCTCCGCTGGTGAACACTGATAGAAACAGACAGACAAACCAACTGGATATCGATGGTTGAACGTTTAAAAAGCAAACTTTGTTTGAATATTTAACTTTTTCAATTCTTCATTGTTTGCTTGTTATCATGGCAACCACGGAATCACACAGTGTACAGTTCAGGGACAGTTTACCACACTAAATACTGTATATAAGAATGCTGATTATAGTTGTATTTTAATTGTTATGTCTCTGTAAATAATCCATAACTCCATTTGAAAGGTGTCCACAGATGTAAATCTTTATTATGATTTGGTGCTATAGAAGTAAAATTGAAAAATGTATTTGAATTCTTTGTTTCATTCTGATAGGATTCCTGTTGATGCTGTTACACTCTTATTTCATCACTCAGAACATTAAGTGAGTTTGTGATGATGGATACTTGAATAAACACTGTGAATTAGTTTTCTATATCATAAATTCAACATTTTGGTCACAAAGCTACAGGCTTCAGGAAGCTTTAAACCTTTATTTTGCCTTATCTTCGCTAATTGGTCTATATCATTCCTAATTGTTTGGATAGGTCTCTGTGTTGGACTGTTACTTGACATAAGCAGTGAGACAAAACAAGAGGAGAGCAGTATGATAATAATGGGGTTTCCTGATGACTGCATGAGCCAAAGTGGGCCATGAGGGGATGGTGTTTAAGATTAAACTGACCCTGGATGTTGAGAATTCAAAGATGAGGAAAATCCGAGAGGGACGCACGACAGCTGAATTATCAGGTTTGGGACAACAAACAAAGTTCATTATATTAGTTTGATAAACAGTTTATATTAATAACGTCATGTTTTTGGTTCAGTTTTAAGCTACGACCCTTTTTAAAATCAGACACGATGAAATAAGAGGAGGTGGAGAACATTACAGGAGTGTTCTCTGAAATGATAAACATCAGTAAAACATTGTGTGAATGTTACAAATAAAACGTTGTTATGGACAGTTCGAGGTCCTCATCTCACCTCTGAGCTTTGGTCCTTGTGTCATGTTCCTCACACAGAGTGCTTTTAGAGGGAGGGACACCCTCCTCAGTCTCCTCACACTGATTCATAGCAGAGCCCACACCTTCACACAGACACAACAACATGCTGTCAGAGCTCACACATTATTAACATCCTTCCTGTCAGTCACATGACAGACATACAGAGCTCTGACTGGAGGAAACTACATTCACAAAAATGTCAGAGAATCACAGAGCAGCTGGTGTAGTTCTGCTATCAGTCCACTAGATGTCCTCAGTAATCTCCAGTGAACTACAGAGCAGCTCAGTGCACAGATACACACATTATATATGCACATTTTATACACACTTCATACACATTACTGTACATCACATATATACATACCCCATATTTTGTATTATAAAACACATTATATGGGCACATTGTATTTTATATTTTAGTTAAATCTCTCTCAGCTGTGATCTTCTTGTGTTCTTGCATCAACAATGGCTTCTGTTTTTATTTCAAGTATCTGAATGGCCTCTATGAGGCTCGCAGCCTCTGCTGCTGCAGCTGTTGACTGTCAATAAGAAGACAAACTACACACACTACCTTCCCGTTATTCTCAGAGCGCCTGAACATTTCACGTTCTGCACCTCTCTCCCTCAAATGTTATAAGGAACTGTTTACACTATTTCATTCACTTTAATATTTAATATTTAATTGTTTTAACTAATGTTTAAAATCCTCAGATGTCACTTTGTTTGTTGCCTGTGATTGTTGTGTATTTGATGATAACCTTTGAACAGTAGTTCACCCTCTGTGACAGAACACAGCAGCATCCACAAGCCCAGATCAGTTTGTTCTCCTTCATTACACTGTCATCATCAAATATTTATCTGAACTCAAACATTTTATAACATACAAATTTTGGGTCAGTTTAGTGTTGTCACACTTTGAATAAATATTGATGCTACAAAGAAACATTATAAATACAGAAAAGCTCTGATAGCGAAGAGAATTCAGATCCAACAGAGTTTCACTTACTCAACTTATGTCCATGAATGTCCGTCAGTCCAGCAGCTCACTTGTGTCCTGCTCAGGTCTGTGGAGGAAAAGATTGTTAGACTGATCTCAGTGTGACCAAATGCTTCAGTAAAACCACCACCCAGCAGTAAAAAAAACACTATAAACCAGTCTGAACCTGCAGCACGGGACAAAGTTCAGCTTTTACTGTTTTATTATGACTTTAACAAAAGATGTCTTTAACCCTGTCGACTACATACCTGTTTCTATTTAATCATGTTCTTCAGCCACTTCTCTTTCTCTTTATACCTACACAGTTCATCTGTCGACCAAAGTGCTGTTTAATGTTTCTGTCTTTTGGACAGAAAGTAAATGTTTGACAAACGTCCACCAGTTGGTGAAAACTGAACTCTGAGACTGTAAAACTACAGACTTTTAATTAGGCTCCTCCTCCGTCATCTACAGTCAAAATACTTTGATTGACAGCTCTCTGCTACATGCTCAGACAAATATTCTAAATTAGTACCGAAGTATTAGTATCAAAATATACTTAAAGTACTCATTATGCAGAATGTCCTTCTTACAATATATTATTGAATTATAATTGTCGATGCTGTCATGTGTTCATCACTTACATGTTGGTAAAGGTGGATCTCATTTTAATAACTTTATAACATATGAATTTCCCCAGGATCATTAAATCTTATCTCATATCTTATACCCATAATATAACATCATATTTTTTTTGTTTACTATATATTTTTTATTAACCTGAATCAGTACAATATTTGCCTCCAAAGTGGAGTAGAAGTACAAAGTAGCAGTAAATGAAAATACTCAAGTAAAAAAAGAATTGTACTTTAATGTTGTTATTTACTTTCCACAACTGGAAACCTGAAGAGAATAAACTGATGTTAAAACCATAAAAATATCACTATAGTTATTCATTTATCTGAAAAATCTAACAACTGACCTTCAGACCTGTTTGTCCAACAGAGACCTCAATAAAACAATAAACAGGATCATAACAGCTCAAACTATCTGTCCAGTAACAGTCCAACCCAGAGAAATGATTTCTACTTCCTGCTCTGATTCTAATAGCCTGAAGAATGTCTCAACAAACAGGTTTATTTATATATATGTATTTGTTCATTTCCCAGGGACAATGCACATTAATCAGCAGTTTACATTTCAATGTAAATGTACCACAGTTAGCTAATAAGCTAAAGACCCTGGGCAGGTTACAACAAATGAGTGTCCAATGTCATCAGTATAGTGCTTCAACTAGTTCTACAAGAACAATAAAATATAATATAATACGTACATACATTACAAAAGTACCAGAGATATATAAAACAGTGAGAAAGTATTCACAGTGCTTCACTTTTTCCACATTTTGTTATGTTACAGCCTTATTCCAAAATGGATTAAATCAATTTTCTTCTTCTTCACACAATACCCCACATTGGACATGATTTGGAAAGGCACACACCTGTCTATATAAGGTTGACAGTGCATGTCAGAGCACAAACCAAGCCATAAAGTCCAAGGAATTGTCTGTTGACCTCTGAGACAGGATTGTAATCGAGGCACAGATGTGGGGAAGGGTACAGAAAATGTTCTGCAGCTTTGAAGGTCCCAGTGAGCACAGTGGCCTCCATTATCCGTAAATGGAAGAAGTTTGGAACCACAAGGACTTTTCCTAGAGCCGCCCGGCCAAACTGAGCGATAGGGGGAGAAGGGCCTTAGTCAGGAAGGTGACCAAGAACCTGGTCTCTCCACGTTGCTCTGTGGAGAGAGGAGAACCTTCCAGAAGGAAAGCCATCTCTGCAGCAAAACACCAATGAGGCCTGTATGAAAGAGTGGACAGACAGATGCCACTCCTCAGTAAAAGGCACATGAGAGTCCACCTTAAGTTTGCCAAAAGGCACCTGAAGGACTCTCAGACAATGAGAAACAAAATTCTCTGGTCTGATGAAAAAAAGTTTGAACTCTTTGGTGTGAATGCCAAGGGTCATGTCAGGAGGAAACCAGGCACTGCTGATCACTTCACATCTGTGGCGCCCCCTTGAGGTGAATTCAATGTACTTCAATACGTAAACTTTGTGATTAGTCCTGAACACGTCTTGAGTTTCAGCCTTGATATCTCAATGCATTAATGACTTATTGTAATCTTTTTTAATGAGCTATTTTGATTAAAAAATATTGGCTTGTAAAATGGAAACAACCTAAGATCAGCAAAGTACATAGATGTTCCTGACTTAGTGTTGGGATGATTGGCCCTGCAGTTTCTGATGAGATGTCTAAAAGAGGTTTTAAAGAAAACTGAGAAAAACTCTCAAGTTTAATGTAGCAAAGATGGAAATTATTTTAGAAAACAAAATGATTAAAGAGTAGGCAAAGCTGCTGTTGACCTAATGACTCAAACATAAACTTGATTATTACAGCGCCACCTTAAGGTCAATGGGTTTTACATGTCTGAGTAGTGGGTGTAATTAGTGTTTGACTTTTTGTGGAGAACAGAAGATGAAGAACAGAGACCCCAAATAAAATAATGAAAAACATGCCATCACAACATCAGACATTGACCCACTGAGGTTAGTTAGAACATGTTGTAGCTGCAGTCAGAAACCCAGTCTGAGGAAGGTAAACCACAGATCAGCTGATGTAGTTCTTCTATCAGTCCACTAGATAGAGCACATTACCACACATGTTCACAGAGCTGAAGAGCAGTGCAGCACAGAGACAGACCATCCACAGCCTGTATATAAAACCTCCAGGTCTGAAAAGGGAAGTCAATGCAGAGGTGTCCTGAATTCTTTCTAATGGCAATGGGAACTTCATGCCCCCTCCGTGGATCTGATTGCAGTTAACCTAACAAGAAAGATACCCGACTTCTTAGATAATGTATCAGCTCAGTAAACAGTTTCCTGATGAGTTTCTGGTCTCAGTCTCTAGTTTCAGTCTTCTTCCATACAGCATGATGTTCATTTAGTAACTGATGGTCCCATTTGAAGTAAAATAGACCATAAAGCAGGGTATGCTTTAGGGCGGGGCTACCTTGTGATTGACAAGTTGCTCAGATCCAATCAGGAAGAATAGGCTCCGCCCTCTCGTCCAAATAAGTTCATTGCTGGCTCAAAAAAACCAAAACAACAACAGCCATAATGCCAAACACACAAGCTTCATAATATAGTCAGACATGGTGGACAGACAGTGCTCCTGTGTTTTGATCTTTAAGGTAATCAACTCTGTTTGTCTTCATTTCGATTATTTTCAAACGACTGTAACAATAAATAAAATTTCATACTGATTACTGACTGGTAATAATGAACCCAGCTTTCAGTGATTCATACGTCTTCTGCCAAAAAACACAAGAGCTGAGCGGTTGATCCTGTCAACCTCGACTGCTCTTACACGGACAGTTTTGAAAAATATAGAGCGTCTGACTTCTGAATTAGCCACAGATTGCATTGAGGCAAACTGTTGTTTACGTTTATGAAGTTTGATTATGTGAAATGTCTTTGTTATTTGGATTTGTTGTAATAAGTCATGCCCACTTTAATCAATCATTACCAAATTTCCTGCATCGACTGAGCCATGACCCTCGATCATCAGCACAAGGTCTGAAGAGTTAGAGTATTTTATTTGGAGACAGCAGAACTCTGTATGTATGGGTCTGCCATAGACCACAGACTCAGTCCCTCCTGGAAATTGTGATGTTGCAATCAAAATAAGCAACTAATTCGTCCTATCCTAAACACTTTTTCTTGACCTCGATGGAAAACATCATGAGGTTAAAAAAACCTGAAGAAGAATTCATAAGGACTTGAGGAAAAGACAACCGTGCTGCTTTACTACACTACTTATTTAACCATTGGCAGAAGTCAGAATCAGAATTTGTTTATTGCCAAGTAGGTTTTTATGCCTACGAGGAATGTGACCTGGTGCAGGTGGAGCATAAAAATATATACATATACAAATACAAATATACAAATATACAATTATTCAAATTCAACTCACACAGAAATCACACAGAAATCACACAGAAAAATAAAGTACTTTCAAAAAATAAATAGATAAAGATAAGAAGAGAAAGAGAAAGCTGTGCAGAAGAACGTGGGTGCATTAATGTAATGCATACTTTATATACAGGGTGGGTATAAGAGTCAATAACAGTGGGTAATCCGGGCCTTGTTAAGGAGGCCAGCTGCCGACGGGAAGAAACTGTTTTTATGGCGAGACGTTTTAGTCCTGATGGACCGCAGCCTCCTGCCAGAGGGAAGTGTCTCAAAGAGATTGTGACCGGGGTGGGAGGGGTCAGCCGCAATCTTACCTGCACGCTTCCTGGTCCTAGAAGCGTACAGGTGCTGGAGGGATGGCAGATTGCAGCCGATCACCTTCTCAGCTGATCGAATGATACGCTGCAGTCTGCCCTTGTCCTTGGCAGTGGCCGCAGCGTACCAGATGGTGATAGATGAGGTGAGGATGGACTCGATGATGGCAGTGTAGAAGTGCACCATCATCGTCTTTGGCAGGTTGAACTTCTTCAGCTGCCGCAGGAAGTACATCCTTTGCTGGGCTTTCTTAGAGTGGGAGCTGATGTTCAGCTCCCACTCCTGGGTCCTGGGTGATGATGGTACCCAGAAAGCGGAAGGACTCCACAGAGTCAACTGGGGAGTCACACAGGATGATGGGGGTGGGTGGGGCTGGGTTCTTCCTAAAGTCTACAACCATCTCCACTGTTTTTAGAGCGTTTAGCTCCAGGTTGTTCTGGCTGCACCAGGTCACCAGATGGTCAATCTCCCATCTGTAGGCGGACTCATCTCCACCGGAGATGAGCCCAATGAGGGAGGTGTCATCCGCGAACTTCAGGAGCCTGACGGACTGGTGACTGGAGGTGCAGCTGTTAGTATACAGGGAGAAGAGTAGAGGAGAAAGAACACAGCCCTGAGGGGATCCAGTGCTGATGGTCTGGGAGTCAGAGACATTTTTCCCCAGCTTCACCTGCTGTTTCCTGTCAGACAGGAAGTCTGTGATCCACCTGCAGGTGGAGTGAGGCACAGTGAGCTGGGAGAGCTTGTCCTGTAGCAGAGCAGGGATGATGGTGTTGAACGCAGAGCTGAAGTCCACAAACAGGATCCTGGCGTAGGTTCCTGGGGAGTACAGATGCTGGAGAGTGAAGTGCAGGGCCATGTTTACTGCGTCGTCTACAGACCTGTTGGCTCTGTAGGCAAACTGCAGGGGGTCCAGGAGAGGGTCCGTTATGGCTTTCAGATGGGAGAGCACAAGGCGCTCAAAAGACTTCATGACCACAGAGGTGAGGGCAACAGGTCTGTAGTCATTTAGTCCTGTGGTCCTTGCTTTCTTGGGGACAGGGATGATGGTGGATGCTTTGAAGCAGGCTGGCACATGACATATCTCCAAAGAGGTGTTGAAGATGTCAGTGAACACCGGAGACAGCTGGTCAGCACAGTGCTTCAGGGTGGATGGAGAGACAGAATCTGGTCCGGCTGCTTTGCGGGGGTTCTGCCTCTTGAAGAGTCTGTTGACGTCCCTCTCTTGGAGGCAGAGAGTCATCACTGTGGTGGAGGAGGAGGGATTCACAGAGGTGTGAAGCTGTGAAGTGGCCCCAGCTCCTGCTGGGCTGGGGGGGGGAGGGACTGGTGAGGTGGGGCTGGTGAGGGGTGTCACGGGGGATGGTGTCAGGACTGCTCCTTTGTCTGTCGAAGCGGCAGTAGAACTCATTCAGCTCGTTTGCCAGGCACAGATCATTGATGGAGTGAGGGGTTTTGGGCTTGTAGTTTATTATCTGTCTGAGCCCCTTCCAGACAGAACCAGAGTCGTTGGCTGAGAACTGGTGTTGAAGTTTCTCAGAGTACTGACGTTTAGCTTCTCTCACCGCCTTGCTAAACTTGTACTTAGACTCCTTAAACTTGTCCCTGTCCCCACTCCTGAACGCTTGCTCTTTCTGCAACCGTAGTTGAATGAGTTTGGCTGTGAACCAGGGTTTGTCGTTGTTGTAACTCACCCTGGTGCGTGATGGTACACAGCAGTCCTCACAGAAGCTGATATATGATGTCACAGCCTCTGTGTACTCATCCAGACTGTTAGTAGCAGTCCTGAACACATCCCAGTCAGTAGAGTCCAAGCACGCCTGGAGATCCTCCACAGCTTCACTGGTCCACTGCTTTGATGTCCTCAAAACAGGTTTGCAGAGCTTTAATTTCTGCCTGTATGAGGGAATCAGGTGGACCATGACATGGTCGGAGAGGCCCAGTGCGGCGTGGGGGATGGCGTGATAAGCTCCACTGACTGTAGTGTAACAGTGATCCAGTATGTTCTTCTCTCTGGTCGGGCATTTAATAAACTGTTTATATTTTGGAAGTTCGTGACTGAGGTTTCCTTTGTTAAAGTCACCGAGGACAATAACTAAAGAGTCCGGGTTAGTCCGCTCCACACTCAGTATCTGGTCGGCGAGCATGCGCTGTGCGTCCTGCACATTGGCCTGCGGTGGAATGTAAACACCGACCAGAATGAATGAAACAAACTCACAGGGGGAGTAAAAAGGTTTACAGTTTATGAAGAAATATTCCAGAGTAGAAGAGCAGTGCTGTTGGATCACTGTGACATCATTGCACCAGCTACTGTTGGTATAAAAACAGATACCTCCACCCTTTGTTTTGCCGGAGAGTTCCGTGTCACGATCCGCTCTGAGGAGTTGGAAGCCTGCCAGCTGCAGTGCAGAGTCCGGTATCGATCCACATAGCCACGTCTCCGTGAAGCATAAAACAGAGGATGAAGAAAAGTCACTGTTTTTCCCCAGAAGTAGCTGAAGTTCGTCCATTTTGTTGCACAGTGAGCGCACGTTGGAGAGGAATATTCCAGGTAACGGTGTACGATGTCCGCGCTGGCAGAGACGCACAAGCGGACCAGCACGTTCCCTCTCCTCCTGCGTTTCACTGCGTGAGCAAAGGTGAGCGCACCTTGGACCACAATGTCCAATAATTTCACGGAAGAAATAAGAAAAGTGGGAAAGAGATCAGCTGGAGTTGTTCCCCTGATGTTCATGAGCTCTTCTCTAGTGAAAGAGTTCTGGGTATCACAGCCGAAAACTGTCAGCGTCCTGGCCTGCCTCAATGCGGCTGGGGAGGATATCCCCCCTTTCATAATTTACAAGGGGGGATATCCCGGGGGGCCCTATAACAAGGAGGGGGTCCCCGACGCCCTCTACGGGAAGTCACCGGCAGGGTACATGGACAGTGAGCTGTTCAGGAAGTGGTTTGTCAGGCATTTCCTGAAGTTCGCCGCGCAGGAGCGCCCGCTGCTGCTTGTTTTTGATGGGCACAAATCCCACCTGGATCCAGAGCTGGTCCGGGTGGCACAGAGGGAGGAGGTCATTCTCCTGTGCCTTCCACCACACACATCTCACATCCTGCAGCCTCTGGATATGAGTTTCTTTGGACCCTTGAAGGCAGATTTCTCTGGAATTACAGGAGATCTGTCGGTAATGAGCCACTCCTTCTTGGTTTCCAACCCCATCAGCATCTTCCTGGGTCATGCCTGATGTTACCCCCCCATCCCAACACCCCCCCCCCACACACACACACCAGAGTCCACCCCCTGTCCCTAGTCCACCCCCTGTCTCTTGTCCACCCCCTGTCTCTTGTCCACCCCCTGTCCCTTGTCCACCCAATCCCTACTCTACCCATCCCCTGGTAACATCAGGCAGGATCTCAGTAGACCTGGCCCACCTCCTGCCTGAGGTGTGTTATAATACCACCAAGGGCAGGAGGAATACCACCAAGGCCAGGATACTGACGGCTCAGGAGATGTCTGATGCCATCGAGGAGGCGGAGGACCGTGCTGCAAGGCGGGAGGCCCAAGCTCTGGCCAGAGAGCAGCGGCGGGCCGAAAACAACGGCCCGACAGCCACTTCCTCTACCCTGCCTGGTGGCTCCCGTCCCAGCCGCAGAACAGCATCCCCCGGGGCTGCCTCGGCCTCCAGCTCCGGCCTTTCCATCGCCGGTCCCTCAACCCGCTAGGCCCCCTCTAGTGCCTCCCACGGTCACCAGCTGCCTGCCCCTAGCGGAACATCCCCACTTAGCCTGCCTGCACCTGGCTGGCTACTGGATGGTAAAGCACATGTTTTTTTTATTATTTCCTCTGCAATTTTAATACAGCTTTGGGAAATAATTTTGTTGTAATACTAAAATATGATTTTTCTTTTAGAGCCATCAACATCTGCCTTCGGCCTCCGAGGGTCCAGATTGTCTTCCTCTCCCTCCCAATGTAAATGCTTTATATCATTGATAAAAACAAGCAATGTCCTAAGATGCTGGTGATATTAGGGATGATGATGAGTAAACAACACATGTCATCTTGTTTATACAGCCTGCAGACAGACAGCTGCGCCATTGTCCAGCTCCTCCCAGCCGTCTGCTGGACCCACGGCATCCACTGGTATTGTATTTAACATTAACAGTCTTTGTGTGCCATCCCATGATATTCAAAACATGTTCTTAAATACATTTTTTCTATGAGTAGGTCACACCAATATGGAAGATCTGTGTGGCCAGTGCAGGGAACCTGACCCTCCGGGCGCCTGCTCGGAGGGATTGGTGCCGTGGGTCCAGTGCAACAAATGCGCAAAATGGTTTCACACCATTTGTGTCGGCTGGGAGGAGCTGGACAAAGATGAATTTTGGTGTTTTTGGTGTCTGAATTTGTTTGATAAGTTTGTTATTTAGTTTGTTTTTAATTTGATTATCTGTTGTCTATTTGTTTGTATATATTGTAAATATTGTATATATTGTAAATATTGCTGTTTTTCAATTTAGTAAAATATTTTTTGTCGTATCATTTGTCTTTTGATTAAATAATATAATTGTATGCATGAACATTTATTTGTTATATTATGCTACATACTAACTCTGCACTGAGTCCATTACAGGTAATTGTTATATGAGCATACAGCATATGTGTCTGTAATTGCTAAATTAAATGCATCAGCTTGTATTTTAAATGAGAAGTGTTTAACAAAATATCCAGTAGGTGGCGGTATAGCGGTATAACTGCATAAATTAGAGTTCTTAAAGCATTGTATCTTATTTTGAAGGGGGAAAGTACGATCCCAGATGAGTTGATGTTAGTTTGTCAGTCTCAGGAACAACTTAATAATATAATAACACCGGCAGTGTTCAATGTTTACAGCGGGCGGACGCTGCCGTTTGACTCAGGACACCGGCAGCTCACGGCTAAATCACCGGTGTTAGCATCCTTTTACCGACTCTAGTAAAGACCGCGCAAAAGTAAATGTTTAAAACGATACACGGTTAGAAAGGTAAGAAGTTCGTCTTTACTTTAGCACCTTAAAATCAACCGAAACCATTACATGATCATTTAACTTAGTAGTTAAAGGGAATTCATATCGAATATTAGCATGAAAATCGTTCGGGTTAGGGTTCCGGTACGTTAACAAACAAAACAAGAAAAAACAAAGTGCACCAACACACCGAGGCGGCCGTACGTGGCGCCATCTTGTTATAGATGAGGCGCCATCTTGTTATAGATGAGGCGCCATCTTGTTATAGATGTGCATATATTGATGTGCATCTGTCTGTTGCAGTGAAACTACACTACGCTACAACTTCAATAAGCATATTTTAGATACTGTATAACCTACATGTTTTATGGGTTAGGGTTAGGAAGAATACGCTACGTCATATAAACTTGACTTTGCTCATTTTTATATAATCATTTTTATATATACAAGTTACAAAGTGTTTCACACAGGGCAACAAGTAGATTTTGCAACAGTAGTGTCACGTTCAGACTTCACCTGGGTTTAACATATTTGTCCACGTAAAAAATATTACAAAACTACAAAAAGTAAAACAAATATAAAAAGATAATAGTTTAATATATTTCAGGCACAGAAATTCAATCAATGCATAAACTAGAATGCTATAATATACCGGACAGAGAATTTTATTTAGCCCAATATTTAAATAAAAAAAACAATCCCTAACCAGATATAGACTCAGTGACCGTAAACTCACTATTGAAACTGATCACCAAAAGAGAGAATGGCTAGAAAGAACAAAGAGAATTTGTACCTAATGTGAATTTAATTTTCTCACAAGATGTCCAAAATACAAAGATAGAACTTGTATTTTATAATTGTATTGTATTAATAGTATTTATATTATAGCGTGAACTGGTCTTCAGAGTCACGTGCTACGGTAAGCCTACTCACTCATTCCCGGTTCACTTCCTGCTCTGTGTACACTGTTTGGTGCTGTAGCTCTGTCAGTGAACGCTAAATATACATTAGTTTTACTCGTTAACATTTAAACGTAGACTAGTTCTACTTAAACACTCGGAGTTTCTCCCTCTTTTAGTGACTTTTCACTACTTTCAAAGTTTTTCATACACTCTAGTTTCATTAGCATTAGCAGTTAGCTATGGCTTCTCCCTCTCCCTCTCCTCTGTCCTGCTCAGTGTGTCAGATGTTCAGTTATTCCTCTGCCCTCTGGTACCTGTATTAAATGTAGTTTATTAACTGCGCTGGAGGCGAGGCTTAGTGAGTTAGAGGAACGGCACCGCACCACAGAGATATCTTTAGCCGCTATAGTTAGCCAGCCCCCAGTAGCCGGTGCGGTCCGACCGAAGGTAGCTTCTGTTAGCTCGGTAGTTCCCCCGGTAGTTCCTCCGGTAGTTCCCCCGGTAGTTCCCCCGGTAGTTCCCGAGCAGCCGGGAAGACAGGGAGGCTGGGTGACTGAGCGAAGGAAGACTAGAACGGCGAAGCCCACAGTTCACCACCAACCGATTCACGTTTCTAATACATTTTCCCCACTCAGCGATACACCCGCTGAGGAACCAACTCTGGTTATTGGCAGCTCCATAGTCAGAAACGTGAAGAAAATGATGTGGGCTTCATTGATAACTGGAAGCCTTTTTGGGGAAAACCTGGTCTGATTAGGAGAGACGGCATCCATCCCACTTTGGATGGAGCGGCTCTCTTATCTAGAAATATGGCGAAGTTTATTTCTAAAACCTGACAGTCCAGAGTTGGGACCAGGAAGCAGAGCTGCTGTCTTAGACTCTTCTCTGCGCTTTCTTTAGAACAGTCACCCACCCAAAACCCCATAGAGACTGTGTCTGTCCCCCGACCACCTAAACTATTTAAAGAAATAAAAACAAGAGGAGTTCAACATAAAAATCTAATAAAAATTAAAACCAACTCCTCAGTAGCACAAAATAAGAGAATGAAATGTGGGCTGTTAAATATCAGGTCTCTGTCCTCTAAAGCTGTTTTAGTGAATGAACTAATATCAGATTATGATATTGATTTACTTTGTCTTACTGAGACCTGGTTGTCCCACGCGGAGTATGTTAGCCTAAATGAATCCACCCCCCCCAGTCATATTAATACTCACATTCCTCGAGGCACTGGCCGAGGAGGTGGAGTAGCAGCCATATATGATTCGAGCGTTTTAATGGACCCTAAACCTAAACTAAATTATAATTCATTTGAAAGTCTTGTTCTTAGTCTTTCTCACCCAATCTGGAAAACACTGCAGCCAGTTCTATTTGTTATAGTGTACCGCGCTCCTGGACCGTACTCTGATTTTATATCTGAATTTTCAGAGTTTCTATCAAGTTTAGTCCTTAAATCAGATAAAGTAATTATTGTAGGTGATTTTAATATTCATGTGGATGTTGACAATGACAGCCTTAGTAACGCATTTATATCATTAATAGACTCAATTGGCTTCTGTCAGAGTGTAAATAAACCAACTCATTGTTTTAATCACACTCTTGACCTTGTTCTATCATATGGCATTGATATTGAACATTTAATAGTCTTCCCACATAATCCTTTCCTATCTGACCATTATTTAATAACTTTTGAATTCATACTATTAGATTATAAGCCATTAGGCAAAACTTCCTACAGCAGATGTCTATCTGACAGTGCTGTAGCTAAATTTAAGGAGGAGATTCCTTCAGTGTTTAATTCAATGCCATGTCTGAATTTAACAGAGTCCTATAACGACTTTAGTCCCTCTGAAATTGATAATCTTGTTGATAGTGCTGCAGGCTCACTACGATCAACATTAGACTCTATCGCTCCTATAAAAAGGAAATTATTAAAACATAGGAGACTAGCACCTTGGTACAACCACCAAACCCCCAGTTAAAACAAATAGCTAGAAAATCTGAAAGGAAATGGCGCTCTTCCAAATTATCAGAATATCGTTCAATTTGGCAAGATAATCTTAAAATTTATAGAAAGGCCCTCCGTAATGCCAGAGGAGCCTATTACTCAGCACTAATAGAAGAAAATAAGAACAACCCTAGGTTCCTCTTCAGCACTGTAGCCAGGCTGACAGAGAGTCACAGCTCTATCGAGCCGCATATCCCCATAAACTTAAGTAGCAATGACTTCATGAGCTTCTTCTATAATAAAATTATTACTATTAGAGAAAAGATTAATCACCAACTGCCATCAACAGTTATCAGTGGCTCTCCAAGTTCAGGGACTTCTGTCAATGTAAACTTAGATATATATTTAGACTGTTTTTCTGCTATCGATCTTCATCAGTTAACTTCAATCATTTCTTCATCGAAGCCATCAACCTGTCTATTAGACCCGATCCCAACTAGGCTGCTTAAAGAAGTTGTTCCCTTAATTGGCACTTCTTTACTGGATATGATTAATCTTTCTTTATTATCAGGATATGTACCACAGTCCTTTAAAGTAGCTGTAATTAAACCCCTTCTTAAAAAGTCCACTCTTGACCCAGGGGTTTTAGCCAACTATAGACCGATTTCTAACCTCCCCTTCCTCTCTAAGATTCTGGAGAAAGTAGTCGCCAAAGAGTTGTGTGACTTTCTACATAACAATAGTTTATTTGAGGATTTTCAGTCAGGATTTAGAGTTCATCATAGCACAGAGACAGCTCTGGTTAAAGTTAATAATGACCTTCTGACTGCTTCTGACAATGGACTTGTCTCTGTACTTGTATTATTAGATCTTAGTGCTGCATTTGACACCATTGACCATGATATTCTTTTACAGAGACTTGAGCATCAAATTGGCATTAAAGGAACCGCACTAAGCTGGTTTAAGTCATACTTATCAGATCGTTCTCAGTTTGTACATGTTAACGATGAATCCTCCATAAATACTAAAGTTAGTCATGGAGTTCCACAAGGTTCTGTACTTGGACCAATACTATTTACTTTATATATGCTCCCTTTAGGCAACATTATTAGGAATCACTCCATTAACTTTCACTGTTATGCAGATGATACGCAGTTATATCTATCAATCAAACCCAATGAAATTAATCAATTATCTAAATTACAAACATGTCTTACGGACATAAAATCCTGGATGACCTGCAATTTTCTGATGTTAAACTCAGAAAAAACTGAAATTCTTGTTCTTGGCCCCAAAAACCTTAGAGACTCACTGTCTAAAGATATAGTCACTCTAGATGGCATTAACTTGGCCTCTAGCACCACTGTCAGGAATCTTGGAGTTATCTTTGATCAGGATTTGTCATTTAACTCCCACATAAAGCAGACCTCTAGGACCGCCTTCTTTTATTTACGTAATATTAGAAAAATTAGACACATCCTATCACAGACAGATGCAGAAAAACTAATCCATGCATTTGTTACTTCAAGGCTGGATTACTGCAACTCTTTATTATCAGGTTGCCCCAATAAGTCCATTAAAACGCTCCAATTAATTCAGAACGCTGCAGCACGAGTACTGACAGGAACTAGAAAAAGAGATCACATCTCTCCTGTACTAGCTACTCTGCATTGGCTCCCTGTAAAATGTAGAATTGAATTTAAAATACTCCTCCTCACCTATAAAGCTCTTCATGGTCAGGCCCCTTCATATCTTAAAGAGCTCATAGTACCCTATTACCCCACTAGAACATTACGTTCTCTGAATGCAGGGCTACTTGTGGTTCCTATAGTCTCTAAAAGAAGAACAGGAGCCAGAGCCTTCAGTTACCAAGCTCCTCTCCTGTGGAACCAGCTTCCAGTTGTGGTTCGGGAGGCAGACACCCTCACCACATTTAAGAGTAGGCTTAAGACATTCCTCTTTGATAAAGCTTATAGTTAGGGCTGGATCAGGTGAGTCCTGAACCATCCCTTAGTTATGCTGCTATAGGCCTAGACTATCGGGGGATTTCCCATGGTGCACTGAGCTACTCTCTTCCTCTCTCTTTCTGCACTCATTCATGTCCCATTAATGCATGTTACTAACTCCACTTCTTCCCCGGAGTTCTTGTGCTTTCTCGTCTCGCAGGTTCTCATGGATCCTGGTGGAGCCTCCTGCCATGGTCCTGCTTGACTGCCATTGCCAATACTGTTGTTGCTGTGCACCTGTCTGTCTGTCTGTCTCTCGCTCTCTCTCTCTGCCTCTCTCTCTCTCTCTCTCTCTCTCTCTCTCTCTCTCTCTCTCTCTCTCTCTGTCTCTCTCTCACCCCAACTGGTCGAGACAGACGACCACCCACCTAGAGCCGGAGGATCTGTCCTAGGTTTCTGCCTTTTAACAGGCAGTTTTTCCTTGCCCTTGTCGCCAAGTGCTTGCTCATGGTGGTACTGTTGGGTCTCTGTAATTAATGTTAAAGAGTTCGGTCTAGACCTGCTCTATTTGAAAAGTGTCCTGAGATAACTTCTGTTATGAATTGGCGCTATACAAATAAAATTGAATTGAATTGAATATTCTACATCTGACGTGCTTTGCTTTTAGAATACCAAGAGCGAGAACCAAAGACCAAAACATACTAGGCACACAGCAATCAGACTGAAATGGTGTGAAAATAGTAATAAAATACACACACACACAGGGGCTCACAGGACTGTGACATTTATGACCTCCAGTTGGTCTATGTGACTCACACTCATCTTATCTTCAGCTGAACTTTACAAGACATCTTTATACAGAATGAGGACTGTGGACTTTGTCCTCCATTTATTACAGTGCAGTTGTGTTCTGAAGGATCATAAATCTTTGATAGTTTCAGTGTAAGTGTGTCAGCTATCTGTTGGTTAGTGTCAGTCAACCTCTCTGTCTCTCTGTTGATGAGTTTACAGACTGTTCTCCCTCTCACATTCAACCAATAACCTGTTTGTCTTTCTCTTCCTCTTTTTGGGGCTTCAGTCTTCCTGCAGTTTGGACTTTTTGGAGCTCTGTCAGTGTCTCAAGCTGCTGTTACTCTCCCATAAGACCTTTCAGTGACCCCTGCTGCTGACTGGCAGCACTACAGCTCAGACTGGGTTTCTGCTCTGACGTCAGACTGACGTTTCTGGACTCTGATTTGAAGGAATGAGGGTGTGACGGCTGTCCTTCAGATGAACACAGACACCAGCAGCGACTGTCAGCGTCTGCATACGAAGGTAGAAAGTCTCTTTGAGCTCATCTGGACTTTAACAGGTGAGAACCCTGACAGGTAACATGACACAGCTTTGATTAAGGAACTCTGCTGTCATTGGTTATATTTTGGGACTACACAATAAACTTGTAGATGAGAGCAGTGATGAATTCTTTCAACACTGTTATTAACTGTTTGTAGCTCTGAATATTCATGAATTAATTCACTAATTATTTTATGATGTGTGACTTTTTGGACAAAATGACCCTTTTCATGTTCACTTTAGTCGGATTTAATCTGCACCAGGAAACAAATGAGATTATAATCTGAGTTGACGTCACTGCTGACATCTGAGGGAGAACTGGTCTGACAGCCTTTGACTGAAACTTGATCAGTTTATTCTCTGACTGTACACAACTACACTCCATGCAGTGAATCAAAGCCCAGCAGCTGTTTGGAAGATGGGTAATGAAGCCCTTTGGCTTGTCGATTGAGTTCTGTGTCTGGAAGAGTGGAAAGTAACCACTGGGGTCACATGGTTCACACATGCTTCATGGTGCATTCGTGTGCACCTTGTAAACTCTGTAATCTGTGGCCACGAGAGTTGTTTAAAAAAGTTGGGTTTTTTTCTTATTTATTAATGGCTAGATGCTAAAATCATAATATCATATTCAGCTCTACAGAATTTGAAAGTTCTTAAAAATAAAATCACACCTATTTCAGGAAACTCTGCCACATTGTTTTTTCAGCATCTCTCCAGGTACCCCTGTGTTGCTTTTCATGTTGTTTCATTGCATAATCTTTTAATAATTACATGCTAAACTCATGTCCAATATTACTGCAGTGCTACATGGGTATGTGGATATTTTTGAAATGCATCTAAAAAATAAAATAAAACTTTTGTCAGCAAACTCTACCAGATTCCTGTTCAACATATCCCCTGTTCATGTTGATTTACTGCACTGATTCAACAATTCATAAACTTTGTTCCCATGCATCACTGAGTTGAATATCAGGTTGTTTTACTGCATTATTTGTGTTATAATTTCATGCTTAAGTCATGCCAAATATGCATACAGAAAATATGCATGTTTTATGATGATATTGGAATATATAGAAATGAGCATTTGATATCAATAAACGATCTGAATATTTCGAATTATTCATGAATTGATTAGATGTCCAGATCAAAAACTCTTGGTTCTCCCAAAGCCAGCCAAAAGTATAAAATCAGAGATCATTAAAAAACAATAACAGAAACTACACCTGTAGTAAGATTACTACACTATACACTATAAAATAATTCAAAATCCAAATCTGCCTATGTAGAACTGAATGGGCTATTGTTGTTTTTAGAATCTGACTTTTTACATTTCTGTAGTGAAAGAACAAGAAAGTAATGAAAGATACATTTTAACAAAAGAAAATAAGAAACAAATAAGAAGTGTCTCGTTCTAAACAACCCTTGTGTTATGACCAGACCAAGAAAACTGGACTTAATTGCACAACTCAACATACAGGGATTCAGTGAATAGATAATAGTTAATTTACTAGCAAAGTTCGGTACACAGGAGATCCAATAACAGGCAACAAGTCCAAGGGGCAAAGGCAAAAAACAGGCAAAGAATCTAAAAACCAAAGTACAAGTACCACGAGAGAGAACGCTGGAACACTTGACTAAACAGACAAAGAAACTGGCACAGACAGGAGAAAACACAGATACTATATATTACACAGGTGTGGGGTTAATCAGGGACAATTACAGGTGATTACAGGGGGGCAAACAATTACAACTGGCGGCAAACACACAAGGACAGGAAGTGAAGGGATCTGAAATGAGAGGGAAAGGATAGCAGAAAATAAAATAGGAAACACATGAATTAAAAAAAAAAAAACACACTGAACGATGTCACCTTGTGGCCATTTGAGTACAGATTACAGAGTTGACAAGGTGCACCTGAAGGCACCATGAAGTCCTCGTAGGAACCCACATGTTACACCTTATAAAGCTATGATGGATGGAAGTCTTTATGTTTTTTGGTCCCTGTGACGTATAAAAGAGGCGTTTCACACCAATGAGGGATCGGTTTACACATGTATGTCATGTTGAGTAGCTGTTTGATTAGTGCTTCATAGGTGCCCATCCAATCCATTCCTCAACGACGTTTCACTTTGACACAGGCAGATATTGGATAAAGGCTGAAGAAATAATAACTCAAATACTGACACACACACATAATAGACAGTAAATTAACAGTCTGTGTTTAATTCAGAATATATTTGATCCACCAGCCAGCACCTATTTTAGTGAGAAATAATGAAACTGCCTCTCATTCACACAGTCTTCTTCACCTTACAATGGAGGCTGTAGCAAGTTGAGGAGACAAAATTGTCAAAACGTTGATATTCATGGATTATATTGGTGCCAAATACAAAAAGACTGTATATGATGGAGCTTCAAGAATGATTTATTTATAGTTGGAGAACCACAGACATTAAACTCAGAAACTAAATTACAAAATAAAACGTTGTGTTGCACCTTCCTGTTCCGCTGTATGTGAAATGCACAGATCTGGGAAATTAAACTTGGAACAGATTCATTTCTGATGGCGTTTCTTTGTGATGTAGTTTTCATACATGATGGACCAACAAAAGTTTGTGTTGTTTATATTTTGTGTTGTGCTGATGTGAAGTTTGAATGGATGTAATGAAGACTTGCAGAGGTTGAAGAGGAGACTGAAAGCTCCTGAGTGCCTCTCTCCAAAGTCAAAGTTTTTTGGGTTTTTTTAGAATTAAACTGTGATGTAAAACAAAACGTATATTTTAACATAAGAAATTACAAGAAATATCAGTCCCTCATCCTAACATTGACTCTAGTGGCAGCTCGTGTGTCGGCCGATCAGAACTCCTGTTGCTGCTCTGACACGTTTCTGTTCCAGTTTTTCTTCTGGTTGATGATACTGTCTGATTTTAACAGGGAGCCACGATGACGAAAGTAGACCTTTTGAACACTCTGGAGGATTTAAGAGCCGATGAATTCAAGGCCTTCAAATGGTATCTGCGGCAGCCTGACATCCTGGAAGGGTACTCGACCATCAGAGTGTCCAAACTGGAGTGGGCAGAAAGGCTGGACACAGTGGATGTGATGGTGAACACCTATAAACTTCACGGGGCTCTGAAGGTGACCATGAAGGTTTTACAGAAGATGAGTAGGGGCGATCTGGTGCAGAGTCTGTCAGACACCAGCTCAGGACCAGAAGGTCAGTCACACTTTTCTTTTATTTCAATCTTCAGGTAAAAAGAGTGGGTTGATAACATAATACTTGTAAAGGAACAGGGTCTTAGTATAGAAGCTCCTTGATTGTCTGATCTTGGAATCATTTCATCGTGTTACAGAGCTTTTAACAGACCAGCAGCAAACATAGGACCTTCAAGACTACTACTATACTGCGGTACTATAATTCATTATTACTTAAATATATTGTACATATATTGGTACATTGTTTTCGACATTCACCAATGGCTGATGAACATTTTGGTCAAAACACTGTAAGTGTGTCCAGTCATTTGGCTGATGTGCAAATATATTGTTCATGCTGTTATCTGTAGTGACACAGACAAGATTACTTCCTGTGTTAATGTGTGAGTACAACTAAGGGTTAAGAGCAGTGTGGATATGGTTAAAAGTTTAGGTTTTACTAACTGTGTGTTAGATGAGAGTAATGCAGTTGATCACAGATTGTTAACTGACTGTGAGCAGTATTTTTTCCCCCAGTATATTTAATACCAGTACATCCTATTGAGTGCTATTTCTGTTTATGATGATAGGAATTCAAATAAAGTTATAAATATAATAACTTGTCATTGATCTCATCCATTATTATTTTGTAGTTTGATTTACTCATGTATTCCCTTTTTTAAAAACCCCACGTAAAGAGCCCAGAATAGTTGTACCTACAAATTAAGATTCAGTGGAGTTGAGATCACACTCTAACTAATTAGCAAGATGAAATTATATAAGTGACGACCCTCCTATGATTGACCTAATGATACATGATAAGTAATAAATCAAATTGAAAGTATAACATATAATCTCTCTCTCTCTCTCAGGATCAGTGGATGTCAAATATGTTGGAGAGACTTCAGAGAACAGAGGACCTTCCTCCTCTCAGTGTGAAGGTAAAGCTGCTGTATTCTCTTCTCAGCGACTAATGGTTACGTCCACTATTAGGTGGCAGCTGTAGTTGTTATGCTGGGGTGTATAAAATATAATTATGTATTCAAACCTGAACTTTAAATGGAACCCTGACTATGAAGACTTGTAGGCCTTAATATGCTATAGTTACCCTCTCCTACTAAAATAGATTGTTAGAAACACATGAAATATTTTCTTTACTTCAAAAATCCACAATGTTTAATTTAATTTTGACCTATGGAGGCTGCCATGACTTTTTACCAATCCACAGTAGAGAAAGCAGCCATACAATGCCAGACCGTGCTGCTTTTGGTTGTACTGTCCTTTCAAAGGGGCAACAAAGGAAGTGATGTAAGTCTTCACAGCTTTCCTTTAAGGAAGAGGAGAAAGGTGTGGCCAAATACAATTTCGTAAAGACCCATGTCTGTGCTCTCACCTTTTCTCTCCTGATGCACTTGATGCAACCACAGCTGCTGGTTATAAGTGGAGACAAAAATCAAATGATATGCCAACAATTTTTTGCCACAAGGAGTCTAACCGCCTTCAGATAGTGAGTGAAATCCATTCTAAGAAACGTGAAAGACACGAGATGCTGGATGCTCTCCTGCTAGGATGTAACGTTGATGTAGGTTGATATAGAACATAACTCCAGAGTTTATAAACTGTTTAATGATTATAGGTTATTGATTGAATCAACTACATATAGAACATAACTCTAGAGTTTATAAACTGTTTAATGATTATAGGTTATTGATTGAATCAACTACATATAGAACTTAGCTCCTAAGTCCATTATTTTATTATTTATATTCCTTTAGTCCGTAAGGGTCCACCAAAAATCAAAACAAATCAAAGGGTTTCATTAAAATTAGTCCAAGTTGTGAATATTGTCATTTAAAGTCCGTTGCTTACTGTCTGTATGTTGGCTGCTGTAAATCTTTGGCTTCCGTCATTCAAGTGTCATCACGCCCAGAAAAAGTAAGACAAATTTACCGTAAGCTGTTTTTTGTCAAGTTTGTTGAACAAAACTCAGAAGAAGTAGCAGTTAGAGAGTATTTCCATCAGTGCAGGGCAAGAGTTTTTTGCTAAAATAATTAAACGCCAGTCCCATATAGACGCCTGTCCCCAATAAAGGCATGTGATTTAAGCAATTAAATACTGTGTATAAAGTCTTCATAGACAGGGTTCCTTTTTTATCTGTTACACCATAACAAAGTTCTGACAGGCACCTTGCTCCAACTGAAACTGCAAATTCAGTTTGACTGCAGTTTAGTTTGTTGTTTCTATTTATGTCACACAGATGAGATTGTTCCAGTACCAAAACCACGACACATCTCCCATTACCAACACTTGCTTCAATCAGACCTACAGGATAAATTTATGTGCGCAGAAGATGGGTGGATAGAGAGGAAGGATGAGCAACTTTTGGTTGATATCTACACAGAGCTGTACATCACAGCTGGAGTTGGCACACACATCAACAAACAGCATGAGGTCAGACAGATTGAGGCGGTGGGAAAGTCTTTAGAAACAGAGACACCAATTAAACCCAGTGACATATTCAAACCCCCCTCTGGAAAAACAAGAGCCATAAGAACAGTGCTGACCAGGGGAATCGCAGGAATTGGCAAAACATTTCTTGTGCTCAAGTTTGTGTTGGACTGGTCTGAAGGAAGAGCCAATCAAGATGTTCATCTCATATTTCCCTTCACCTTCCGCCAGCTGAATTCGTGGAAGGGTGAAAAGTTCTGTTTGGCAAAGCTCATTCATAAATGTATCAGGGAGACCAAACACATCCCAGAAGAAGCTCTGAATCACATCTTTACAACACTGCAGTCATCAGGAAACACCAACTATGACAGAAGTAAATTCAAACTTCTGTTTGTTTTGGATGGACTGGATGAGAGCCGCCTTCAACTGGACTGCTCTACCAATAAAACCCTGAACACAGACTTCGATGTGACAAAGTCGACCTCAGTGGATGTGCTGCTGTCAAACCTCATCAGAGGTAATCTGCTTCCGTCTGCTCGCCTCTGGATAACCACACGACCTGCAGCAGCCAATCAGATCCATTCTGATTTTATTGACAAAATGACAGAGGTCAGAGGGTTCACTGACCCACAGAAGGAGGAGTACTTCAGGAAGAGGTTCACAGATGAGGAGCAGGCCAGCAGGATCATCTCCCACATCAAGACATTACGAAGCGTCCACATCATGTGCCACATCCCAGTCTTCTGCTGGATCACTGCCACAGGTCTGGAGGGTGTGTTGAAGACCAGAGAGGGAGGAGAGCTCCCCAAAACCCTGACTGAGATGTACGTAGAATTCCTGGTGTTTCAGATTCATCAGACAAAAGAGAAGTACGGCCAAGAACAGTGCGTTCAGTACATTAAGTCATTAGCAAAACTGGCTTTCCACCAGCTGGAAAAGGGCAATCTGATCTTCTACGAGAAAGATCTGAAAGAGAGCGGCATTGATGTCAGAGGAGCCTCAGTGTGCTCAGGAGTGTTCACAGAGATCTTTAAAGAGGAGAGTGTACTGTACCAGCACAAGGTCTTCAGCTTTGTCTATCTGAGTGTTCAGGAGTTTTTGGCAGCTTTATATGTGGAGATGTCACTCATCAACAGAAACAAGAATGTGATGTCTGAGCCAGCGCAAACTGTTGGCGAACATGTGCGAATGGTTTTCAGCAAAACGTCAGTGACAGCAGTCCACAAGTTTGCAATTGACAAGGCCTTACAGAGTCCAAATGGACACCTGGACTTGTTCCTCCGCTTCCTCCTGGGTCTCTCTCTGCCAACCAATCAGACCAAACTCCCTCAAGGCCTACTGAAAGAGAGAAGAAGCTCTGAGACCAATCAGGAAACAGTTGTGTACATTAAGAAGAAGATCAGTGAGAATCTGTCTCCAGAGAGAAACATCAATCTGTTCCACTGTCTGAATGAACTGAATGATCATTCTCTAGTGGAGGAGATCCAACAGTACCTGAGTTCAGGAAGTCTCTCCACAGATGAACTGTCTCCTGCTCAGTGGTCAGCTCTGGTCTTCATCTTACTGTCATCAGAAACAGATCTGGATGTGTTTGACCTGAAGAAATACTCTGCTTCAGAGGAGGCTCTTCTGAGGCTGCTGCCAGTGGTCAAAGCCTCCAACAAAGCTCTGTAAGTGCACAGATATCTGAAGATAACTAACACTAGCCAGCTACTAGACACTACCTAGAAAAAATACAGTTTAGTTTATGTAAAGCTAAATGTCACTGATGCCACAGATAAGACATTGTATTTGACATTTTGTGAAATAACTGTTTCCAGTCATAAATACAATAAAAGCCAGTGATTATCCAAAATGTTAAAATGTCAACTGAGAATCATGCATGATAACTCGTCAACTTAAAGAGGGAGACCATAGATATACGGTATGTGTACAACAGAAACAGTATCAGTGTTTGTCTTTATCACTAACTCTCCTTCAGGCTGAGTGGCTGCAATCTGTCGAAGAGAAGCTGTGAAGCTCTGTCCTCAGTTCTCAGCTCCCAGTCCTCCAGTCTGAGAGAGCTGGACCTGAGTGACAACAACCTGCAGGATTCAGGAGTGAAGCTGCTCTGTTCAGCACTGGAGAATCCACACTGTAAACTGGAGACTCTCAGGTCAGCTCACACTGTGATGCTTTTGTGTAATGTTGGGGGACATAAAGCATTTAATGCTCTATATTTGTATTGCATGAAACATAAATAATCTTCATTGCTGAAAGAATTGAAAATCCAAACCATGTGATACAGAATTGTGTCTCAGGCTTGTTAAGTGTCCATTAACTTTGACCATGTTTGGATAAGTATATCTTTAGTTTCCAGAAGATCCTCTGATCTAATATTTGTTTCAAGCAGATAAACAGTCCCTCTGGAAATGTTTTGATGCAAATTCAACCAACCCCTTTGAATTCTGTGTGACCTTGCTATGTAGTTGTAGTTTTCTTCACAAAGCGTTGAGCCATACGTCACTAAACTCAGTTCTTTTTTTCTATTTTTTCTATTTTTAATTAATTACACACACAAACTAAATAATTTTTGGGAAAGCAGGACTTTCAGGCTGCAACAATTACAAAACAAGCCTGTGAAATCCTGGAGGGACTGCAAGTTACTTTCTAAAATAGAATTATTTCTGGGGTTTTTTCCCCTGCAAATACTATATTTATAAGTTGTAGTGGCATTTGGATTATCCACGATGATAACGATGAAGTCCCTCAACTCATTTTAGGACATAGTAATGTTGAGTTACACAAACCTGAACACAACTGATTGGATTATAAATTATTTTTATCTCCATCTTTTATTCTTTTCAGATTGAGGGGCTGCAGGTTGTCAGAGATCAGCTGTTCTTCTCTGGCCTCAGCTCTGAAGTCCAACCCCTCCCATCTGAGAGAGCTGGACCTGAGTAACAACAAGCTGCGGGATTCAGGAGTTAAGCTGCTGTCTGATCTTTTGAAGAGTCCACATTGCAGACTGGAGACTCTGAGGTCAGTTGGGGGTCCGACTCAGTCCATCCTGGTTTCAGCAATAGTGTACTAAACACAGGGAGGTAAATTGATTACTATTAGATAGCCATCCAGTTCAGCCTTCAATTATGAGAGCATCCCAACAAACCAGTAGGAGTCTGTAGTGTAGCAACAAGGACGAGAACCCTCACAGCCAACTATATAGAGGGATATTGGGATTTGAGCTTTGGGTTCCTGCCTTCTGCCCAGATGTAGCCTAGAACAGAAACTCAGTGATTTGACCACTGAAGGCAGTTCATCCTTTTTTATCTTGTGTTTGATTTCTTCTCTGTGTTCTTTTATTCTTCCACAAGCATTCAAATACAGGCTTTCAATGTAAGGCACAGCAGCCTTTTTACAGTCAGTTGTAACTTTATCAGACATATGGGCAGAGTGATCTAAATTAATGACTAGTTATTTTTTATAAATGCAGACAGAGAACATGAGTGTTAGCAGTTAGTTGTAGTCTTTGCAGTGAAGATATGCAACGCAAAGCATTTGATCAGTTGGACTGTGTCAGGACTTGGAAGCTGGCTAGCTCAAAGGATGAACAATCAATGTAAACTTAATCAATAACTTTTGGGATTGTGTTGATCTTTGCAGCATCGATAACACGTTGATCCCAACTGACAAACCAAGAAAACGTGAGTATTGAAACAAAGTTCCCCATTCCTTGAACTATTGTATGTTAAAATCTGAACTTAAAATTAGCACATGTTCATAGTACAACAAAAATATTTTGCAGCTCCATTATGTTAGAACTGTTTGTAAATTGTGAAGCATTTTGGTGACTATTTTTTCCATCATCGTTCTTTCTTTTTAAAAGACAACTCTGATGTCAAACTGGATGTGAAAGAAAACCTGCCCGACAAAGACACTGAGACAAGACAGGAGCCGCTGGACAGTGTGAAGTCCTCCAGTTATGACAAGATGGTACTTGGATTTTTTTTTTTTTTTTAAATAGTCTTAAGACAGCAATATGATAGATAGATAATCTTTTCTCATGTGGAGTTCAGCTGCAGCTTAAGCTAATATAGATTGCTGGTAGAACCAGGATCAGTCCAGCAACTGACTACGTAATAAGCTACTGCCTGAGTAAATCAGTGTTTTTGCACATTTATTGAGACCCTCTAACTTCACAAAGTTGGACCCCTGCGTAGCCTTTTCTAACACACTTTAACACTGTCACCCCGTTGATACCATATGTTCTCTGATCCGTACAATGTGCTTGAGTGGAATGGACAGTGTGGGTAAAGTATTTCATCACTTTATAAACACTGTCGGAAAATTTGGACATTTCTGTTAAAATAACTCTTTTGTGACTTTTTAATTCCAGACTCCATTATCGTTCTCACCTGAACACACAGCTGAATCTTCATACAGGTATTATTATAAAATTACTTTTCCAACTTCTTTCATGATTCATTGAGTTTGTGATTCTAAACAGCTAATGATTGTCAGTCTGCTATTAAAAGAAATAATATAAACGCATACTCAGCCTCCACATGAAATTCACATCATTTTCAGTTTCTTTACCACTGGGGGAATCCAACCATGTTTGTGGAAAACACACAATTCCTTGACTGTTACATACCATCATGCTAATTTAGAGAGATCTTTAGAGAGATTGTGCTGCTGAAGAGAGGAGCAGAGCTGAAAGAGTCCCCGGGTACTGAAGAATATCTCTTGATAACAGAAGGCACAGAGTTGTAATCAACTTATCACTGCTAGTTTTTTCCTGCGCATGTTTGTTGATGAACAACGAGCACTCACCAAAATGTTTGGTGGTTGGCCACAGAAATTGCTGTAGATTCAGTTTTAGATACGGGACACTCATAGCAATCTTGGTAACTTCTAATCTTTAGAACAATGAAGTATGTTCACAAAAGAACCAGCACACTTGGATCTGCCACCATCTTACCAGTCACCATCCCAACAGCAGAGGCTGTCAGGTGAACTTCTCAAACCACCACTACATTTATTAACTTTAACTGTGTGTGCATAAATGTTCCTCACAAAAATCCCTATCAACTTGAAAACGTTCCCATTGAAGTTCCTCATAATCCACCTACTGCAATCCCACAATTAACCATGAATGAAAACACAATGCAAATCCCTTATGAACAGTGATAAACATATTGTTCTTTTGGAGATCGGTGTGATCGGCTGAGCTTTCCAGATGGCCTCATCCAATGCTCGGAAATCCTTGGATATTTCTTTCTGCACAAGTGGGAAACTGACAGGTTGCTGTATTCACATGAGTTCCAGACAGGACATCAGGAACTAAATTGAATATCCCTTTCCAATACTCAACTGGGAACAAGAACTCTTGCAACCTAGGTGCCCACTGAATCAGACGAATATGAGGTTTTTGATGCCCCAGACCATAGACGAATGAACTAATTCTTCCTTCTGTGTAGCTACATTGTAGCCCGTTTTGTGACTTCAGGCTGCAGCCTTCTCACTCAATACTGGACTACATTCAAAACTTGCTGTTCCCATTTGTCACCTTGAAACATCGAATAAGGTCCAGGTTGAAAAATACTTGTTATATTAATTGAGCCCTTCTCCTGTCTCCTACAGGTTCAGGTGTCCTGGTCCAGGTGTGTTCAAGTGTGCTTTCACGGAACTGGTGTTTGTTATGGCTCAGGAGGCTGAGCTGCTGTACAAGACTGTCCAATGGGATGAGAGCCTCCTCCAATCAGTGGGCAAGATGGCTGCAGGGCCGCTGTTCAAAATCCAGTGTTCTGAAAATGCTGTCTGTCAGCTCCACCTCCCACACTGTGAAACAACAGATGGTAAAGACACAGCTATTTTCAATGATAACAATGAACAAGTAAAATTGACAGGATTTATATGAGTGTGGAGCACTTTGTTAAAATTTGCTGCATCCTTGGGATTCTCCAGAGTTAATGACAATAGATTCATTTGAACTCTCTGAACTCATTAATTAGTCAGAGAGGAACCTGTTTCAGCAGTAAGACAAAAGGTTAACAGCTCTTTGCTTTTTTCAGCACTGCTTGTTGATGGCCTGTTTTCTGTCCTCCACATCACTGATGATGGGATGAGCTTCTTAAAGCCACTGGACATTACAGACACTCATGTGGTTGTGAAGGTCCCTCACCTCTCTGCCTTTGGCCTCATCTGGGATTACGTTAAAAGGTTTCTGAACACCTCACTGCCAGTAATTGGCCAAGTTCTGCTGTCCATCCGACCTCTGGACATAGAACACCCAGTACTCGACGTATTCCTGCTGCAAGGCAACATCCCTCTGCATGAGGTAAAGCTATCTGTCATTGTTGGCCATCAGTCTAAACTCACAAGATACTGCCCTGGTTAAAGGTCCAGTATGGATTTAGTGGCATATAGCAGTGAGATTGCAGATTGCATACCCCTCGCATCACACTACCCTACAAACATTTAGGAGAAACCTACACAGATGCATAACTCTTTAACAATGTGAGCCACCTGCCAGAGCCAGAGTTTGGTTTGCTCCTTCTGTAGATAAAATAATATTATTTTATATAATGTATACAAATATTTATTAGCACCCAACTAAATTTTATAAATCCTTATGAACCTTTCAGTAATCTTTGCGAAAGATATGACTGCCCACATACTGTTACACTTATTCTAGGGTTTTTAAAATTATGTCTCCTTAATTATGTCTGTGTCTTTATTTGATCTTAACTCTTTCTGTGAATCACATCTGTTGTTTTTAAATGTGTATAAATAAAACTGATAACTGTTTGAGCATGAAGTCTGTAAACAAAATGTCCTGTTACTGAAGGTTGCCGCCCAACAAGGAGATGCTGAGAACATCAGGATCTTCTCAACTTTCTGTCATCTCAACTTTGGTGAAACGTACCGTGTCTGTTGTGAACCTGAGGGCTCCACAATAAAGCCTGATGTAAGTCAAGTCACTTCTACATTTCTAGTGGTTTTAAACCGAATGATCATGAATACAATCTTGGCTGCATGTTGAAAACATCCACGTTCAGTAAGAAAACTGATTTTCCAACAAAAATGATGCGTTGCTTCTGGTTTTCAGCGTGCTCCATTTCACACAGAGTGTGGACCGACTTTCAGTCCAACATTTGAAGTTTTCCTGCTGACAAACCCACAGAAACTCACTCTGATGGTCCAGGACCAAGAGAAGAAAGAAGTGCTTAAACATGTTGTGTATCTGACAGGTAAATGCTTCACCCTACTGCAGCAGCAAATGTAATAGACTCTGCACATTCAGTAACCTTCACATTTGCTCCATATCATTTCATTCTTTATTTAGGCTATAAGTATTTAGCAAATTAATACAAATCCACCACTGGGAATGCTGAAGTATTTTGAAGGTTTGAATTTGAGAAGGGGAATTTTATGAAATTACAAATAATGACATTTATAAAAGCAACCTGGGTTTTTCTTTCTTACGTCCTCGCTGTGAGCAACCTCTCACTCAGCATGTCTTTATCCGTCCTCCTCAAAGAAAATTAAGTTTACTTTCCATATCTTCAAAAAAAGTCAGCTTGAATACAACAGCTGATAGATTAACTAGTAGCTGATGATAAACTGAATTTAATTGAATAATAGAAAATGTTCAAAATTGTAATAAAGGATACAGGAAGGAGAGCGTGCTAAGAGTGTTAATTAGCTATATAACCTGCAAACTGACGTTAGAAGGTCACTTCTAAAACCCCAGTTCTTGTTTGTTTGGTGGCTCGTTCAACAAGACGTCCAGGTTCGATAAGAAACCAGAAAGAAACACAAAAAGTGATTGTTAGTAAACAAATGTCTTCTCCCTGGTTGTCTTCTAGGTCTAAGGAGGGAAAATCAACAGAGGAAGGTATCAGTAGAGGACAGGGTCTCAGCGGAAGAGAGGGTGCGTTCCATTCGGCCACAGTTTGTAGTAAGAGTGTCTGAACCTGTTCTGAACCGGCTCCTGGATAAACTCTTCCACCAGCGCATTATAAATGATGATGAAATGGAGTCAGCCAAATCAAAAGTCAGAGCAGAGAGAGCGCGAGATGTCAACGACATGGCGCGAAAAAAGGGATCTGAAGCCAGCTCAGTCCTGATCGCGGCTCTCTGTGAGGTGGATCCATGCCTCTCCAAAGAGCTGAAATTAATGTGAAGCCAAAGCAAGAAACTGTATGAACTACAAACCTTCAGTGTTTAACATCTGTAAATAAAAGATTGACATAATTGTTTGTGCCTTATATGTAATGATATTTCTGAAACTGGGTAAAGATAACATTAACATGATGATATATTTTCCACATACACAATTTATACTCATTAGAGTTGTTTGATGTCAATGTGACCCCAGGCTGTTTTAGCTTTATAAAACCTATATACGAACATATTGTTTGGTATTGTTTTCGTCTGTGGTGTGCTTTGTATTTTGTCCCTGTTTTTCTACAGGAGTGTGCCGCCTGTCTTGCGGGAGATCTCTGAACGCAACCCGTAGGTCTCCTCACTGACTGGTTAATGGCTTAGGCTCGGCTGGTGGAGTGTCGACTGCTGGTTGGTTCTCCATGTGACCTCCGCAACATCCATCGTGTTTAAAACATCGGGCCTCACAGCAATCGTTGACAGAAAAACCTAGCAGCAGCATCGTTCCATCCTTGGTCCGTTAAGAGTGTGTTTTGTAATAGCGTTGTGGTTCACGAGTTGTGGAGTTAGTATTATATTGTTTTTTTGTATGGTTGTATATAGTGGGTGTTGTAGGGGTGAACTGCCATTTTCTTTTGTACTGTTTTTGTCCTGTTTTTCATTTGGTTAGGGAGGTAGGGTTGGTGAATGTCTTTTGTTTTACTCGTATGTTAAACAGGGATTACCGTAAAACTTCTAATAATAGCCCGGGCATTTATTTGCTTAAATCACTGAACTCCCCCTGCCTTTATTGGGGACAGGCCTTTATTGGGGACAGGCCTTTAATACCTTTAGCACAAAACTAAACTAACTGCTGCTTCTCTTGAGGTTTGTTCAGCAAATTTAACAACTAACATGATTATTATGATGCTTCAGAGGTTTTTTTCCGTCTCTCTTGTTTACTGTGTTACCGGTAATTCAGAATTAATTAACGTTATACTTTGTTGTTGATAGTTTTTGTAAAATATAGTGAACGATTGAATTGTGGAGAATCTATAACTGATCTAATGATGTTCATTATGGACATGTTGACAGAAGTTTAAACATTTATATTTGTGTAGGAAATTGAAACGACTTAAAACTCGCTCAATCAGGCGACCTGGTGGGTTTTAAGAGGTTTTATACATCGCGATCATTTCTATAAAATCCAGACCAGGCCTCTATTGGAGACATGCGTTTATTTGTCAAAACGTGTAGCCACACCAGGCTTTTAAAAGAGACCTGCGTCTATTAGGGACCCTGCTTTTATTGGAAGTTTTACGGCAGTCAGCATTTTGTTTCAGAGTTAGATCTGTTTTGTTTGTTGTATGTTGTTTTGGCCTCGGTTCACCCTGAAGGTTGTTCCTGGTTTTTGTTGCACCTTTTCCCCATTTGTAAATAAATCACTTCACTTTATTGTTTAACCCGTGTCTGTTGTTGGTTTGGGGATCGGGGTAGTATTATTGGTTATTATTTTCTTCTTACATTTAACAAACATTTTACAAACTTGTCCTGGTGGTTTTGTCTGATATTTCGGTCACTATTTTACAATCCCTAGGCTTTAGGACCCAGATATTATATACGTATATATATATTCTGTTCAACAACATAAGGGAGCAAACATAATAAAAGCTTTCACAACAACCTTCTCAACCATTTCTCTTGGTGCTCTTTGTGCTCACTCAGTTCATGTCTACTAAACAAATCCACCAGATGTCACTGTGTCGGGAAGGGGGCTAAATACTGGCATGGTCATTTTCCAAGAGATGAACTCTGACCTCAAGATACCTGAATAAAAATGGGTACTATGGGAACCCACAATCCCTGCCTCTGCAGACACTATGCTAATCCCATGCAGTTCTTTGGATGTGGTATAAACATGTTCTTTTTGAATATGTCTGCATACTGGGCTCCATAAACAGGGTTAGAATTGCATAAATTGGGAATGACTGGAAAGCTGAGACACCGCTGCATAAGTCAGTGCCTCACTGGTGCCCCTGAATTACAGAAGTCTGGAAACGCCCCTGCGTACAACCATTTCATAATGTAATGTCAGTCATTCATTATCTGTTAGGAGGGATTCACAGGAGCAGTTACAGACTGTTTTTGTCAGTGCATGGGAAGGCGTCAGGTGCTGCAACTGAAGGAAAAAAAGCACACACACGGCAGAGATCTGAAGGTGGGAAGGCCGGCGGCTGCCTGATAAGAAAAACACACCGACATCAAGGCTGCGCTGACATGTAGCAGCAAGAAAGCAGTTAATGAATGACTAACGGCACTCAGTCCTCCACATGCAAACGTGAAGCTCTGCTGGCTGTGTTTGTGGTAAATGGACATTAGTTTAATGAAGGGATAGCCCCTTGAGATGGAGCAGTTTAGGGCCCAAAAATACACAAAACTCAGCGTTACTTAACAAACATACACAGCAGATACACAGATACAGGCACACAAGAGAACTGGAACTGGTGCAGTTTGTGCAACTAATGCATTAAAATGATCAAGTACACAACCACGTTGTTTTCAGGTGAGAAAATAAAAATCTCCTGATGCAGCAGGGATGTAACAGATTGGGGGGGGGCAGTTAAAATAAACACATTTATTGAACACCACTCGTGTCTGTATTTGACTACAGAAACTACGGTGGCTTCAGTTAATTATTGTATCAGTATATATAGTAAAGAGTATTATATTGCATTTCTGACAATAGATCCTCCTCAGTGTTTCACACTGGAGCTTTAATGGCTGCAAATACAAGACCCGTCATCAGTAACAACTCAATAGGCTCAATAGGTCTTTTGACTACGTTTACTATGTGTGGTGATTTGTGTCTGAACAATGAACAATGCTCCTGTTCCTCAAATCACTTGAAATACACACACTGAACGAGCTGCATGCAGTTCATATCACGTCCCAGCCCCCAAGCTCACGTCCATGATGGTGGTCAGACTCTCATAGAGGCACTAAACCTCAGACACAGGTTCAAATGCTGCACAGATGAAACAAATATTGATCCCCCACTGTTACAGCAGCTCATCATACAACACAAAATATAAGAAAACAAACATTAAATAAAAAAGAAAATTGAAAAATAAGCATAAACACACATTTTTAAGTTGATTAGGCTACTCATAAAGATTAACTTGTTCCAACCAGTTTTTCCATGTTATTTATGTCGACAAAACTCTCACTGAGTGTAGCATATATTCATATATATAATTTCACAGTAAAGGTATTGTACAGTCTTAACATTGTGTATTATAATATATATATATATATATATATATATATATATTTATATAATTATATTAATATATAATTGCACGGTACAGGTATAGTATTGTAATCAGTGTGTATTATAAGATAAAACATGAAGTGTGTATAAAATAAAATGTGAATATATAATAAGTATTACCACCTAAACAAATAAAATAATAATAATTAATTATATACATTATAAAGTTAGAATAATTATCTACAGTTCTGAGTTTAAGATCAAACTTCTTTTATGAAGAGAAATGTTGGTTGAAGAGCAGCAGGGAGGGGGGTGTGTGTGTGTGTGTGTGTGTGTGTGTGTGTGTGTGCTGGGGTCAGCGTGGTGCTACCGTACTGACTCTCACATCTCTCCTCAGCCTGGCTGGCTGCACGCGGGTGTTTATCTCTGAGGTAAGAAGAACTTTTATTTTGAAATACCACGTTACCATCATATATCTGTATATTTGGACCGTCCTGGCGACAGTGGGTGAGTGTGTGTTGTGTTTCTGAGCTGAACTGCAGCTCAGTTCACTGAGGGTGAAAGCACGTGCTCAGAGAGTCTGTTTCTGGTTTTACTTTGAAATGTTTTCACCTGTTAAACTCACATTTTTTAAACTAGAATGAATATTTCACAGACGTTTCTTTAAACTAGGAATTCATAACGCAGGAAAAAAATTCATTTTCATGTCCTGCAATCGGAGGTACTAGTTTGGGTAGATTTTAAAGGCTAGAAATGCCTTCCCTTAGGTCCTTAAATCTGGTTGACATATGGAGACACCGGGCAGGATATATTCTCTTTGTTCTCCCGTTCGTGGTAGTTACAGCAGAATTCATTCTTCTGTAATAGACTCAAAATGTCACAGCTCAGAGATTAAATTCGGGTTTTTACTTGTGACTTGTATTTATGATGCTTTACTAAAACATGTGATGTATACTGTATGCATCCAATAACTGTCTTATCATTTAACAGTGTATAAACTAGAGCTATGTTCTATATGTAGTTGAGTTCTTACATTATCCCATACATTGTCATTGTATTCAGGTAACGCTGCGTTTCACCGGTCGCCTGTCGATGGCGTCATATCCCCTTTGTGGCTGCGTCAGCGTTGTGGTTGTCTGCCAGAAGCTGTCCTACATTGACTGTTTATCCAGTCTGAAGCCACATTGTTACCATCCACTGATTTTAGTCATCGGACGTCTGGATCTTAAGTTATCAGAGAAACAAGCTGAGCTAAAGCTAAGCTAGGCTGTGAAGTGTGCAGGAGACGCTGGTGGTGAATATTTTATTCCAGATCCTCCTCAGTGTTACACACTGGACCTTTAAGCAGCAACCACAATCCAAAACAATCCAACAGTGAAGTAATAAAACCTGCAGCTCCTCTCACGGCCACTAGAGGCTGGCTCCAGCAGTGAGTCAGTCTCCATAAGGCCCCATATTATGTGTCATATTTCCAACTTTACAGCAGAAATAAACATGTTTACAGCCTGGTGCCAAAAACACTTTTGGTCTTTAAGCATAGCTAATTTCCCCGTTCTTGACAACTGGCTTTAAGTTAAGCATAACTGAGGGCGTGGCGGCTTTGAGCGTCAGGTTGGTGCCGTCACAGGTGGCGGTTTTCAGTAAGTAGGCTTTTGGATTAGCTGGGCTTCACTGCTAGGTCCCGCTCACTCCTACACATTGGTCCTTTAAGTCATTGTTATTCAAACACTATTTGATGATACCAGGCTGGCATTCGTTACATCATCTTTTACAGGCTTCTTGTTTTTGCTTCTCTGACATTATACGGGCTAAATGCTTCTCGCTCTAACAGTTAATGTTTTTACACTTTTACATGATTATTTATTGACAGGAAACTTCTGTCACAGTGTTTATGCTGTTGGACCAGAAACAGTCTGTGTTTGGAGCACAGCGAGGGGTCCACACGCAGACACACATCTGCCGGCCGCAGACGTGGAGGTCGCCTCCGCTTTGAAGACGACAGCGAGCACTTTTTAACTCTTTTGGAGTGCACCTCAGCAGAACCAAATCACATTGTCTTTATTTTTCTGTTTTCCGTGGCGGGACAATGGGGAGGCCGAGGGGGTCCACGTTCACAGTCCCCCGTCCGCCACTCTGACACCCCTCGGCTCTAATTGATGCTTTGTCCGACTGCGTCTCGCCTCGTTAGAGCCCGCAGAGCCTGCAGGCCGGAACAAATCCAATGTGTCATCTGCACTCAGGTCTGCTCCAACTGTGTGTGTCACAGTGTGTTTATCAGTTGCTCCAGGATTTCATAATAATGTCTGATTTCACAGCGCTAAAGCTGCAATGTGTGTTTGTAAGCAGTCTTTATGCAGTGAAATTGTTGAAAAAATAGATGCTTTTTTGGTTTAATTATTTAAATGTAACAGTAATAAGAATATGTGATGGTTGGAGACTTCATCAGTGCAGCGGAGGAAGTCGTTAGCAGCTGCTGATTGACATTGGTTCTTGCATTGTACAGTGAGACAGCAAACACAGAGAGAGAGCTGCAGCTGGGAAACAAGGACAGTTCAATTAGGCAGAACACCAGCTACGGTGGCCTCAGAGGTCACACACACACACACACACACACACACACACAAAAGACACTGAACATGATGTTCCCGAAGGAAGAAAAACCCATGCACGTAATCTTCCAAATAAGATTTAATTTACTTGTAGGGAGAACATCATAAACAATGTAGAATATATGTACAGCAGGGTCATATATTCAGCCGGAGCGCTGATGGCGGCAGTATTTGACGACTTGTTTGTATAGAGGACTGAAGTCTACAGGATGTGTAGCAGTGTGAGGACATGCAGATCATCTCTTTCACCCAGACAGCAGGGAGCAAGGGAGCGCAGCGCCCTCTGCAGGCCGAGGGAACCCAGACACCTCCCAGACAACAAGACTGAGGAGGGGATCCCTCCCTGTCTCCGTGGTTACATCTCTCTCTGTGTGTGTGTGTGTGTGTGTGTGTGTGTGTGTGTGTGTGTGTGTGTGTGTTTCCTCAGGTCGACTCGTTAATCTCTGCAGGCAACTGTGATGTCACATTTCCCTCACAACCACCTGCAGAGATGATCCAGTCGCCCTGCTGATCGATCAATAACAGACTCACTGCTGGATCAGGAGGCTGTAACAGCAGTGGTGGAAAGTTATGAGTAAGTATTAAGTATATTTACTTGAGTACTGGGCTTAAAGTTTGTTGTTGTTGTTGTTGTTGTTGTTGTTGTTGTGTGTGTAGCTTGTGTTTTTGTACAGTAACCAGGGAGGTCCGGCCCCCCAGAAACACATTGATTGACGGGTGACTGTCATGATATTATTGGTTAAAACTGGTGAGCTCATAAAGCACTCATCACGTTTTGTATTACAGGAAGAAAAAATATTGGATTTAGAAATGAATTACAAAGAAACAGATTTTTTATACATTTTTTAACAATTAATAGCAACATATTTAAAGTTAATACCGCCTTTATCACATTAAAGTATAATTACAAATAGACCATTTTACATAATGAGTACATTTTGTACTTTAAGTATATTTTCATGCTCATACTTTTGTTCTTGTGTATCTACACATAAAGTATACTGAGTATTTCTTCAACCACTGGGTAACAGTGGCTGGTTGGCGCCTCCTGGTGGCCGATATCCTGCCGTCAGTGAGTTCAATCTTTTACTAGACGGAAAAGAATGAAAAGACTTGATGTTTTTGTCTTCGTCTGATGAGCTCGATATAAAAAGGTATCACAGTCTGTGTCAGAGGAAATCCAGAGGTTGGTGTGTTTACAGGAAACAGCTGGGATCCAGTTTAATCTCAGCTGGCAACTGTGAGCTTTGAGCGTCTCACAGACCCGGCTGAGGTTCACCTGAATGCAGCACCGTCACTTCCTACCAGAGGGCCAGGACAGCCTCAAGGGGGCGCTGTGGGAACAAAAAGAAAGAAAAGTATAACGCAGTAGTTTCTGTTCAAATATTTCAGGTAAAAAAAAAAGGGTCAGTTTAAAAATAAGGCAAGCTGCTGGGCACATGGGGAAACATTTCAGTGAACTTTAGTTTTTGTTTACAACTTTTCAGATGTATTTTGTAGTCTACACAGTTTTGAGGGTTGTGGCTAAAATCTTTTATTCAAGGAAACATTAAAGACATTCAGTCAATTTTATTTTATACATGAGGAAAACATTTTGATTTCTTTCTGGGCTGCACATAACATCATTTTCACTGTTGATTAATCTGTGGATTATCGACAGACGTCAGGTGACTACGCTCCTAGATGCCAGTTAGTCCAACACACTGGACCTTTAAGTAACTCTTCAATGTACGGCAGCTGTAATATTGTGTGTCTCTGTGTGTTCATGTACAGGTAGAACTGCATATCCAGCTGTGCAGCGACGGACAGGTTTCCTGATGTTGATGATACTGCATCAGGAACTGATTGGAGAGCGATGAGAGGCCATCAGTTCCTGATGCACTGCCTTCAGCATTGAAAGACGCTCCGCACTGTGAACACTTGAAGGATCATTATCCAGTCAGCAGGATAAATGATGAAGCATTTTGGACTCTAATGTTAGCATTTAGCTCAAAGTACAGTCTCACATAACTGCTAGCATGGATGTAGACTAGTGGTGTAAAGATTTATTGATACGAGTCAGAAATCAGTTTTAATGTTATAGATGCGACTACATCGGTACACAGACCTCTGGATCGACCTAAATGTACCATGAACCCGTCGATGGTACGATTATAAAGTTATGAATGCTAATGATGCTACCACAGCTAGCACAATAACAGTAACACACGAGATATTATGTATTTTGTATATTATGTGTATTTATTGGACCTTGAGTCTGGAAATAAAAGTTGATTGATTGATTGATTGATTAAACACTTTCCAGTCACAATGGAGCTCCAACTGGACGAGGTCTAAAGTATTCACGGCAGAAAGTCTTTGTTGTTTGTGTAAGCAGGAAACAATGACCCCGCCCTAAAGCATGCCCTGCTTTATGGTCTGTTTTACTCTCAATGGGACCATCAGTTACTAAATGAACATCATGCTGTATGGAAGAAGACTGAAACGAGAGACTGAGATAAATAAATCAAGTTCTACATAAGACTCAATGCTTTTTTATTGCAGCCAATGGAGCTGCCCCTCAGAATGCAGATTTAAAGGAGACATATTATCATGTTCAGGTTCATATGTTTATTTTGTGTGTGAATAGGTGTAGATGTTTTAATGTTAAATAAGTATTTTCTCATACTGCCTACAGCTGCAAGCAACCTCTTTTCAGCCTGTGTCTGCAACGAGGAAGAGGAGCAAAGTCTGAACGGCTCGTTGAAGCTCAGGTCTTCTGAAATAGGAAGACCACAAAATGGACTGGGTTGATTCTCTTCACAGTTTCTGAGTTGGAAGGACACTCAAATACCCAAATGTGCATTAAACACTAAAAAAGCGCATTTTGCATAATATGTCCCCTTTAAGACACTTCACAGACCCAGCAGCCCTGTCCATCATATACACTGTCAATCAATTTAACATTTAAATTTAGATTCATTTAAAATAACAGCATCTTAAAAAACGAATTAATTTAAGAAATCTGTTCTGGACACATGGACTCAATAAAGTTCAATGAAAAAAATACATGTATTTTGGAAAATGTCTAAAGATTTGTAAATAAAAAGATTTATTGATTTCTAATGTCACATTTAGATATTTCTATTCACTGCTTTATGTGCCGCTGTCACATGCTCCCCCTGCTGGTCGGACAGTGTCTGTGTTTCTGCTCTTCTCTCAGGTAGGGCTGATCTCCTCATCAAGGAGCCAATGAAGAGGGGGAGGGAATTCAGTTCACTCTGCTCATCCTGCCGGGGTCTACTTTAAGTAGAGTCTGGTTGCTTTGGTGGGTTTTGTTTTCTGATGAGAGCGGCGTTGCTGCTGGAGACTGAACCAGACAGAAAATGTGCCACAAAACCAAAACTGTATGTTGATAACGTAGAGACCCACCAACCCCCAGTGTGAATTTATTTAACGATAAAGAAGAATAAAGTATGTGAGGAAAATGTCTTTCTTTTAACAACAATGTTGTAAAACTGGGATTTTGTTGTCTGATGTAAAAACCTTCAACACATTTTATTTTTTTCATCTGTTTCCTTTTTCGTTTGAACTTTTTTGTAACCCAACATCAGCGTAAATGAGGACAAACTCAAAGGTCAAGTCCACTGTGTAGGCTTTAGTGGCATCTATTGGTGTGGTTGCATTCTGTGTGTGTAGGAGAAACTACAGTGGTCACAAAACTCACAGCCCCGCTCTACAGCAGGGTTTGTCCCCTCTGGGCTACTATAGGAACATGGCAGTTCGATTTCATTTATTTATTTCTACACTAATGAAAACATATACATGATTATTTTATACTGGACCTTTGAATGTGAGAAAAAAGACTTTAACAGACACAAACATTTTATTTTTATATTATTAATTTGACATTGTGTCAAAACACTAAGAAAATCAGCTCCGTTGTCCCAAACACACAATTCATTTCTGCTCTACGATACATTTAAAAAGCACCGATCCATCCACATCCTCATCTCCACTGCTGTCCTGAGGGGCTGTTCTGTTTATTTTCTTCAGCTCAGTCTTTGCATCTCCATTTGCACCACATCTGTGTCTAAACAGAAAGAAAGACAAGTACGGAAGTTATTTTACATTTGCTAATTAAATTAATTTACCAGCAAGCAGTTATAAAATGTAAATCTGGAGACTTTAGCCTCTCTGTTCAACTGGAGAGATTTTAAAGAATATTTTTCCTTTAAGGGTCCATGAAACAGGAAGCAGAGTGCTGTTTGCTTCCTCATATTTATGTTTTCTGTAAAAAAAAAAAAAAAAAAAAAAAAAAACGGGGTTGTAGGGTCTCAGTTGGTATTTACAGCAGCCAATATCTCTGAGTCTGTGTTACACCCCCACTGCTCAGAGAGACTAACAGAGTCATTCTGACAGTGAATCCAGCACTTATATTATAAAGGCCATTTTATTTATTTTTTATGGCAGAAATCTTAAAGGAAAAAGGATTATGTTTGGGGAGTGTTATTAAGAAAACTTTATATTTATGGTTTTTGGAAAGCAAAAAGACTGATGGAGATATAAATTTAAATATACATCAAATATTTTTTTAGATAAAATTCCTGGGGGCTCTGATTGATCATAAGTTAATGTGGAAACAACAAATTTACTTTATTAAAGGAACAATGTAATTAATTTACAGCAACCCTGTATATATCTAAGGATACATATATAACATAACTTAAAGGTGGGGGTCAACCTTTAAAATGATTATGAATTAAATTAGTCAGACTACAAAAACATAAAATTACAATAATTATTGCAAATTCATCCAATCGCCATAAAGTCTGTGCAACATTGAAGTTTCATCCAATCACAGCAACTTTTCCACAAATTTGACCAATTGTTGTTTTTCATAAAGCACATCAGAGCCAAAACATTAAGTCATACATCACCAAAGTAATAAACTACTTATGAATTATTTTTTAAAACTATTACGTTGTCACACAATTTCTTAGTTAAAAAATGCCTCATCACAACATGAATTACAGTTATTTTTTCAAAACTGTCGTGAAATCAGGCATTTAAGGCTGTAACAACACCAAAAAACACCCAAGAAATTCTGGAGGGACTGGATAATAGTGTACTCACTCATCTAGAATGTCAACCCTGGTTAAGGTTCACAACATTGCTGCTATTTGATCGGTGACTTGACCAGAGCACAGAGATGAAGTAGTAAAAAGACAAACATTAAAGAACAAGTAGGGTGCCCTACCTTCCCTCCTCCACATCGAAGATGTTTTCAGGCAGATGGACGTTGAGCGTCTCTGGGAGCATGAAGACCAAGCTCCCGCTGACAATCCCCGTCCCAGCGAAGATGAGCGGTGGCAGAAGAAGCCAGACGTCTTCCAGAAGCATGATCATCGGAGCCAGGGAACTCCCGATCCGACCGAGACACGAGGTGTAGCCTAAGCCACACTGCCTGTCCAACAACACGACCAGGAGCTTCAGTTTGAATGAGTACATGTTCCTGAGCTGCACTGATAAAAAGTGTCCTTCATTTTCAGCAGAGGACACCAATGTGGGTCCAACATTTTGGTCCAGATCTAGAAATATTCACCATTTCTAAATATAAGTGTTTGATTCCACCCCATGGATGTCTTAATGGAGAACAAAGGACGTCCCGGAGGGGCTGCGAGCCGAGCTGCTGCTAACGTTAGCTCAGCTTGTTTCTCTGATAACTTAAGATCCAGACGTCCGATGACTAATCTAGAGTTAAAAAGCACCAAGATCTAAACAGAGGATGGTAACAATGTGGCTTCAAACTAGTTTCAACTCAATTTATGAGCAGATTTTTCTGGGTTTGAACAATGTTGGAAACATTTGGGATACTGATATACACAACTCAACAACACATACAACATAGCTCTAGAGTTTATAGACATTACAATGCAGAAATGTTACATGTTATATCTTTATTAAAGCCGTCGTCTCGCAGGTTCTTATCGATCCTGGTGGAGCCTCCTGCCATGGTCCTGCTAGATTGCCATTGCCAATACTGTTGTTGCTGTGCACCTGTCTGTCTGTCTCTCTCTCTCTCTCTCTCTCTCTCTCTCTCTCTCTCTCTCTCTCTCTCTCTCTCTCTCTCTCTCTCTCACCCCAACTGGTCGAGACAGACGACCACCCACCTAGAGCCGAAGGATCTGTCCTAGGTTTCTGCCTTTTAGGCAGTTTTTCCTTGCCCTTGTCTCTGCGGAACCAAATATAAATAGTTTTACTTACAGCGGTTATTACCGCAACATTTAAAGTAGACTAGTTCTACTTAAACACTTGGAGTTTCTCCCTCTTTTAGGGACTTACTACCAAAGTTCATACACCAGTTTCATTAGCATTAGCAGTTAGCTATGGCTCCGTCCGCCAGTGTGAGATGTTCAGTTATTCCTCTGCCTCCTAATGATAATGGTACCTGTATTAAATGTAGTTTATTTACGCGCGGAGGCGAGGCTAGTAGTTAGAGGAACGGCACCGCACCACGAGATATCTTACCCTATAGTTAGCCAGCCCCCAGTAGCCGGTGCGGTCCGACCGAAGGTAGCTTCTGTTAGCGTAGATCCCCGGTAGTTCCGACACCGGGAAGACAGGAGGCTGGGGACGCGAAGGAGACAGAACGGCGAAGCCCACAGGTACCACCAACCGCCATGTTTCTAATACATTTCCCCACTAGCGAACACCCGCGAGGAACCAACTCTGGTTATTGGCACTCCATAGTCAGAAACGTAAGTTAGCGAAGCCAGCGGCCATAGTTAAATGTATCCCTGGGGCCAGAGCGGGCGACATGAATCAAATTAAAACTGCGGCTAAAGATAAAGTAAATACAGTAAGATTGTTATCCACGTCGGCTAACGACACCCGTTACGCAATCGGAGGTCACTAAGATTAATGTGGAGTCGGTGTGTAATTATGCTAAAACAATGTGGACACCGTAGTTTCTCGGACCCCTCCCAATGTGACCAGTGATGACATGTATAGCCGCATGTCGTCATTCCACCGCGGCTGTCGAGGTGGTGTCCAGCAAAGATTGGCTTCATGAAACGGAAGCCTTTGGGAAAACCGGTCTGATTAGGAGAGACGGCATCCATCCCACTTTGATGGAGCGGCTCTCTTATCTAGAAATATGGCGAAGTTTATTTCAAAACCGACAGTCAGAGTTAGGACCAGGAAGCAGAGCTGCTTCTACACACTCCTGCGCTTTCTAGAACAGTCACCCACCCAAAACCCCAAGAGACTGTGTCTGTCCCCACCACCTAAATTATTTAAAAAATAAAAACAAGAGGAGTTCAACATAAAAATCTAATAAAAATTAAAACCAACTCCTCAGTAGCACAAAATAAGAAATGAAATGTGGGCTGTTAAATATCAGGTCTCGTCCTCTAAAGCGTCAGTGAATGAATTAATATCAGATTATGATATTGATTTACTTTGTCTTACTGAGACCTGGTTGTCCCACGATAGTATGTTAGCCTAAATGAATCCACCCCCCAGTCATATAATACTCACATTCCTCGAGGCACAGGCCGAGGGGTGGAGTAGCAGCTATATAGATTCGAGCGTTTTAATGGACCCTAAACCTAAACTAAATTATAATTCATTTGAAAGCCTTGTTCTTAGTCTTTCTCACCCAAACTGGAAAACACTGCAGCCAGTTCTATTTGTTAAGTGTACCGTGCTCCTGGACCGTACTCTGATTTTATATCTGAATTTTCAGAGTTTCTATCAAGCTTAGTCCTTAAATCAGATAAAGTAATTATGTAGGTGATTTTAATATTCATGTGGATGTGACAATGACAGCCTTAGTAATCATTTATATCATTAATAGACTCAATGGCTTGTCAGAGTGTAAATAAACCAACTCATTGTTTTAATCACACTCTGACCTTGTTTTATCATATGGCATGATATGAACATTTAATAGTCTTCCCACATAATCCTTCCTATCTGACCATTATTTAGTAACTTTGAATTCATACTATTAGATTATAAGCCATTAGGCAAAACTTCCTACAGCAGATGTCTATCTGACAGTGCTGTAGCTAAATTTAAGGAGGAGATTCCTTCAGTGTTCAATTCAATGCCATGTCTGAATTTAACAGAGTCCTATAACAACTTTAGTCCCTCTGAAATATAATCTTGTCGATAGTGCTACAGGCTCACTACGATCAACATTAGACTCTATCGCTCCTATAAAAGGAAATTATTAAAACATAGGAGACTACACCTGGTATAACCACCAAACCCGCCAGTTAAAGCAAATACTAGAAATCTGAAAGAATGGCGCTCTTCCAAATTATCAGAATATCGCTCAAATTGGCAAGATGATCTTAAGATTTATAGAAAGGCCCTCCGTAATGCCAGAGGAGCCTATACTCAGCACTAATAGAAAAAATAAGAACAACCCTAGGTTCCTCTTCAGCACGTAGCCAGGCTGACAGAGAGTCACAGCTCTATCGAGCCACATATCCCCATAAACTTAAGTAGCAATGACTTCATAGCTTCTTCTATAATAAAATTATTACTATTAGAAAAAATTAATCACCAACTGCCATCAACAGTTATCAGTGGCTCTCCAAGTTCAGGGACTTCTGTCAATGTAAACTTAGATGTATATTTAGACTGTTTTTCTGCTATCGATCTTCATCAGTTAACTTCAATCATTTCTTCATCGAAGCCATCAACCTGTCTGTTAACCCGATCCCAACTAGGCTGCTTAAAGAATTGTTCCCTAATTGGCACTTCTACTGGATATGATTAATCTTTCTTTATTATCAGGATATGTACCACAGTCCTTTAAAGTAGCTGTAATAAACCCCTTCTAAAAGTCTACTCTACCCAGGGGTTTTAGCCAACTATAGACCGATTTCTAACCTCCCGTTCCTCTCTAAGATTCTGGAGAAAGTAGTCGCCAAAGAGTTGTGTGACTTTCTACATAACAATAGTTTATTTGAGGATTTTCAGTCAGGATTTAGAGTTCATCATACACAGAGACAGCTCTGGTTAAAGTTAATAATGACCTTCTGACTGCTTCGACAATGGACTTGTCTCTGTACTTGTATTATTAGATCTTAGTGCTGCATTTGACACCATTGACCATGATATTCTTTACAGAGACTTGAGCATCAAATTCATTAAAGGACGCCCTAACCTGGTTTAAGTCATACTTATCAGATCGTACTCAGTTTGTACATGTTAACGATGAATCCTCCATAAATACTAAAGTTAGTCATGGAGTTCCACAAGGTTCTGTACTGGACCAATACTATTTACTTTATATATGCTCCCTTTAGGCAACATTATTAGGAATCACTCCATTAACTTTCACTGTTATGCAGATGATACGCAGTTATATCTATCAACAAACCCAATGAAATTAATCAATTATCTAAATTACAAACATGTCTTAAGGACATAAAATCCGATACCTGCAATTTTCGATGTTAAACTCAGAAAAACCGAAACTTGTTCTTGGCCCCAAAACCTAGAGACTCATTGTCTAAAGATATAGTCACTCTAGATGGCATAACTTGGCCTCTAGCACCACTGTCAGGAATCTTGGAGTTATCTTGATCAGGATTTGTCATTTAACTCCCACATAAAGCAGACCTCTAGGACTGCCTCTTCATTACGTAATATTAGAAAAATTAGACACATACTATCACAGACAGATGCAGAAAAACTAATCCATGCATTTGTACTTCAAGGCTGGATTACTGCAACTCTTTATTATCAGGTTGCCCCAATAAGTCCATTAAAACGCTCCAATTAATTCAGAACGCTCAGCACAGTACTGACAGGAACTAGAAAAAGAATCACATCTCTCGACTAGCTACTCTGCATTGGCCCCTATAAAATGTAGAATAATTTAAAATACCCTCCTCACCTATAAAGCTCTTCATGGTCAGGCCCCTTCATATCTTAAAGAGCTCATAGTACCCTATTACCCCACTAGAACACTACGTCCTGAATGCGGGCTACTTGTGGTTCCTATAGTCTCTAAAAGTAGAACAGGAGCCAGAGCCTTCAGTTACCAAGCTCCTCCCTGTGGAACCAGCTTCCAGTTGTGGTTCGGGAGGCAGACACCCTCACCACTTTCAAGAGTAGGCTTAAGACATTCCTCTTATAAAGCTATAGTTAGGGCTGGATCAGGTGAGTCCTGAACCATCCCTTAGTTATGCTCTATAGGCCTAGACTATCGGGGATTTCCCATGGTGCACTGAGCTACTCTCTTCCTCTCTCTTTCTGCACCATTCATGTCCCTTTAATGCATGTTACTAACTCCACTTCTTCCCCGGAGTTCTTGTGCTTCCGCTCGCAGGTTCTCATGGATCCTGGTGGAGCCTCCTGCCATGGTCCTGCTTGACTGCCATTGCCAATACTGTTGTTGCTGTGCACCTGTCTGTCTGTCTCTCTCTCTCTCTCTCTCTCTCTCTCTCTCTCTCTCTCTCTCACCCCAACTGGTCGAGACAGACGACCACCCACCTAGAGCCGGAGGATCTGTCCTAGGTTTCTGCCTTTTAACAGGCAGTTTTTCCTTGCCCTTGTCGCCAAGTGCTTGCTCATGGTGGTACTGTTGGGTCTCTGTAATTAATGTTAAAGAGTTCGGTCTAGACCTGCTCTATTTGAAAAGTGTCCTGAGATAACTCTGTTATGAATTGGCCTATACAAATAAAATGAATAATGAATTAAGTGCTTGCTCATGGTGGTACTGTTGGGTCTCTGTAATTAATGTTTTAAAGAGTTCGGTCTAGACCTGCTCTATTGAAATCTATCTATGAAAAGTGTCCTGAGATAACTTCTGTTATGAATTGGCACTATACAAATAAAATTGAATTGAATTGAAAGCCGTAAGTGTACTGTAAATATAAGTAACATCAGTCAGATTCCTTCAGGACGACACTAATGCTTCCAGGTTCTGGGTTTACCTGAGAACAGTTGGGAAGAGTTCAGCTGAGTAAAGGAACGCTGTGGTGAACGCCGCCTCTGAGAAACCCTTTGCCACCACAGCGATGCACGTTCGCAGCACAGAATACTCTGAAAGAGATTCAGGTTATTGAAGACAATATCTTTTTAATTAAAGACAGGATCAGATACACAACACACAAGATAATGCAAACTATTTAATGACACGTAGAGATGTGTTGTCACCTAAAGGTATGGCCGTGTTTATTCCAATCAGAGCTCCCGTTGTGATCAGAAACCACGCCTGGCCGTTCCGCCGGCCAATCCAGTCCAAGGCGAAGAAGGTCAGGATTTTGGCGGGAACTTCGATAGCTCCGTAGATGAACTGTGTGAGGTAGATACTGACACCGAAACCTGAGATCTTGAAGCTGATCCCGTAGTACAGGAAGGCCACAGCGAACCTGCAGGTACGGAAGCACAGCCAGTAAACACACACAGAGCAATTTAGAGGGCTGCACAGCGGACTACAAGGTCAAAGGTCAGAGGATGATTCAGCACCAGAACAAGCCGGAGCAGAGGGTGATCTTCCTTAGCTCGGGTGTTTTGACCAGATCCAGGTAGGAGTGGTTCTTCTTGGCCACCTCGGACACGGTCACCTTCCCCAAGACCTGAAACAAGCTCACAGTCAAACAATGAGACTGCAGCTCACTTAAAGTAGAGCTTGAGCTACTCATTCATTCATTCTTTCACTCATTCATTCATTAATTAACTCACTTCAGCTTGCTGCAGATATAACAGTGACTGTCAGCACTTGCATGAGATATGAAGGAAGAAAGTCTTGTATGGCAATCATCACCTGATTTGTTTTATCATCCTGAATTCACTGTGTCAGCGTGACAAAGATATAGATTATGAGACTTTACACTGGATGTTCATATTGAGTCAGTCACCTCTACCTCAGTGTCCAGTTTGGATGTGTTCCTCCGGTTCATTTTAGCGCACTGAACCAGGTACTTCTGGGCTTCCTTGGCTTTGCCATTGGCCAGCAGCCAGCGAGCCGACTCCGGCAGCCACCTGAGCACATCCAGAGGAAACACAGACACAGTGTGATACATACTGTCAGCGTGGAGAATGGAAACTGCTCCTGACATCCACCTTACCACCAGGAGACGATGGCAGCGACGCAGGGTGCCGTCACCGCCAGGGTCAGGTGTCTCCAGTCTCGTATGAAGTAGGCCATCAGGGCCAGGAGCATGTTCCCCACGCTCCACGACAAACTCATGATGGTACCAGTGAAGGTCCGGTGCTTCACATCCGTCCACTCGATGCCTAAACAGGAAGTGAGTGATAACAGCATGCAGTGTCACTGATATTCACACAATTTTTTCAAAATATAATAGATAATAATAATAATAATTTATGCAGAATATGATGGAAGAGCACCCAATCATAACACAAGTTATCTAAGGACACTTTTCAAATAGAGCAGGTCTAGACCTTACTAAATTATTTACAGAGAGCCACCAACTAGCACAGAGAAAAGGAAACGAGCTATAAGAAAGCCATTGAAAGTACTTCAAACTGAGTAACGCCAGTTGAAGGCGTCTATAAGACCGTAATAAGAACTGTGAAACTTTAGCTTTACTGTATTTACTTATCGTGGGAGTGAATGTGTCTTTGCTTTGTGTCCTTGATTTCTTACCGAGAACCACACCGATGATCGACAGCCCGCTGAGGGCCACGCCGCAGAGCGCTCTGCAGACGGCAAACATGACATAGGAGCTGGAGAAGGCCGAGGCGACTCCTAGCACAGTGGAGGCGATTAGAGCCAACAGGAGCATCGACTTACGACCAAACCTGCAACACATTGCTTTAGTAGCTGGTCTGGAGCTTTTGATCAAACCCCAGGATCTTCATCTGCAGATTGCTCACTTGGTCAATTTCTTTTTGAGCACTTTGAGGTCTCCTTAAGTTGACCGGAGAGCTTCAGAGTTCATTCCTGAACTTTTTTATTTGCTGATAACATGATATCATAAACTTGCAAGGCAGCTGGAACTACTGGCAGCTACAACATGAGCTACGGATGTGGTTTAACGTTGGTGTGTGTGAGGACGTTTGTGTGAACTGACAATGATGGCGGCTGCTAAAGAGGTTAGCATAGATGCTGCTAGCAGCAGTTATATCAGAACTGGAGGGTATTTCTTTATTGAACGAAGAGGAAAGAAGACTTTTCTCCATGATAATGATGTTTTCTCTCTTCTCCTGACTGGCTTCAGTAAGAGTTTGATATATGGTTCATTGATCGGATTGGTTGAAGTTTGCTCATAAAAGACGGTTACAGACAGATGGTTCGTCCAATCACATGACAAGTATTTTCTGAAAGTATTGTTTCCAACAAAGACTTCCCAGATGGTTCTTGGTAACAAACCAGATTAACAGCTACTGAATGGACCTCATTTGTCAATAACAGTTTCATGTTGTTTTCATTCAGCATTTAAATTTCACTCAAACTACTTAATAGGCTTCCTACATCAGGAATTAATGGACACCAGAATCCAGTTCAGTTCACACAGACCATGATATAATAAAACTGTATCCAGAGGCCTCACATGATCCTCTTCATGTATCTGAACCTCCCACAGGTCAGACTGAGCCACTCAAATGTATTCAGTTCATCCAAAACTCAATGAGCAGGGAAGAAGTATTGTTATTACTGTGTGTGTGTGTGTGTGTGTGTGTGTGTGTGTGTGTGTGTGTGTGTGTGTGTGTGTGTGTGTGTGATTCTATGGAGACAGTGGTCTGTGTTGGTAATCAATGACATAGCCTTATTAGGTAACTGACATTTTGGGGCTTATTTAATATACAGTCACATGGAGAACCTGCAGTTGTTACCACACACGCACACACACGCACACACACAGGCACACACACACATGCACACACTTTTGTATCAGCAGAGCAGCAGCTGACTTTGTTGCTGAAAAGCACTTTGAAATTCCCTAGTTGTTAAAAGGTGCAGTACAAACGAACTCACCCAATAATACAGTGAATAGAGGAACAGTGAGGTTGTTCAGGAGCAGCTGCCTTGCTCAGAGGCACATGTGACAGGAAAGGTCTCTTTTAATGTGATCACTATAACTGTAACTGTTTTATAATTTTAAATCTTAAAGTTAGAATCATTTAGATTTTCCTGAATTCAAACCTTACTTTTTATTCTATTTATGGCTGATCTGAACTTCAGCTGAACAAACTTAACGAGATACTTTTCACACTACAAGTACATTCAGCTAATAAGTCCCATTTACTTTTGTAATGGAGTGTTTTTTCCACCACTGATTGGAAGTAAATCTGCAGACAGAGTTGATAAAAGTATTAATTCATCGCCTGAGGCTCAGGGCAACTGTGAGGGTTTAAAATATAAGAACTCACTTGTCAGAAAGCTGACCGAACAGAACGGCTCCAAACGTGACCCCAAGGAAGAAGTAAGTAGCCAGAGCTTGATTCAGCTGTTTGTCGTCACACACCAGATCCCACTGCAGAGCGACAGACAGGGAAAAACACACAAAGCCTTGGGGATTAGTTACAAGCTAAAATGTGATGGTGAGATAGTAAGCAGAGGGAAAATTACATAATGCTTGTATTCAGAGAGCCTGATATTTTGTACACGCTGTAAAAAGTTTGAGAAACTCATCATGTAGTTAATTCCCCGAGTGATGTGTGTCCATGCTTCGTTTCTACTACTCACTGTAGTGTACTGGACGAAACCATGAGCCACATTTACCCTGTACACAATTCAATTGTATTCTCACTGGAACAAGTTGATTTAAATTTTTTATGAATTATAAAAAAATAAATAAAAATCGCCACTACTTTTGCAGTTTTAATTTCTCCTGCAATTTTGTTGCCAAAAGAAAAAAATGATTAAAACATTGCAACATGCATTGGAATTGTTTTAGAAAATCTGCTGTGAAATCGGGAACATTAAGGTGCAACGATCCCAAAATATATGTCGAAATCCTGAAGGGACTGATTCATATTATCATCCATCGTATCGATCAGTCAGGATCAGTTTCAGTGAAGCTGGAAGTTATTTATTCTGTGTGTTGAACAACCAGACTGTGTGATGTTACACTGTGTTGGAATAAATTAACTAAAGGTTCAGTCTCCTTGCTGCTTGTTGAATAGGAAAGTCTTTATTCAGGGGCAGCCCTAATTTAATAGACACACAATGTTTCAGTTGTGGACCTTCGTCAGGCATCAAATCCACAATTTGAAACAACAACATCTTTCTCTAAAAACCACCAGAAATCTCAAACTGCCCTACATCAACAACAACACTAGAATGATATAAATCTGTAGAATATACTGCGAATGAATGTAGACAAAGAAAACTTTTTTAAATAAATGTGATTGTGTTGATGCCTGATGAAGGTCAATGTCTGAACATTTCCCTTTCATTAACCTTTTTCTCTCACATGATTTAATTTTGTCGAGCATCAGATAACACAGTCTGACCTCAGACACTTCGGTTGCAGCCAGTAGAGAAGAAAATACTAAATACTTTTCAATTTCAGAGTTTCTTTGGTGTGTGACGAGCCTCCTCTTCCTTCCTTTTACTACCTCTTACCTCGGTGGCAGTCGTGGAGCTGAACTGTGATTGGTTGTAGACCCAGCCATGTGGACATGGTGCAGTCCTGTTTCCTTGGTCGAGGTCGAAGGTCAGCAGGGTGTCATAGACTCTGCAGGAGCTGAAAGAGCCGTCGTCCTGACGGGGGATCCTGAGGGCCGCAGGGTCGTAGCTCAGCGGCACACCGTCCTCCGGGCTCCTGAGGGCGCAGCGGTGAGGAGGTGTCGCAGAGACAAAGTTGTGCAGGAGAAAGTGGAGGGGGAGGATGGCGCGGGGTAGGCACAGGATGCACAGGAGCAGGAACTGGAACCTGGAGAAGCCACCTACATCATCCAGGATCTCCTCAAACCTCATGGTGGCAAGATGGATGCTGAGATCTGTCTAACAGAGGACCGTCTCAACTCTCTGTCTACTCGTCCTCTAATGCTTCTCTGTGTCTCTCTCTCCGTCTGTCTGTGAAGACAGACCTCACAATGGGAGGGAGGCGCTCTGAGAAGTGTCCTCGAAGGAGCGAGAGGTTTAGTATGAGCAGGGAGGGAGTTATTACTCTCACTCTCTGTGTGTGTGTGTGTGTGTGTGTGTGTGTGTGTGTGTAAATGATTTCTCGGTTGTGTCACAGGACTGATGGAGAATGTGAATGACTGTTGATGGTTTTGTGTAAGTTTCATCAAGGAAATGTACTTTACATCATTATAATAAAGTCTGCAGTCTCTTCATGCTATTCACATAGAACAAATAATCACATTTATATTAAAATAACATAAATTAAAGCTGCCAGCAGCAATGATCAGGCCGCAGTTCATGTGTTTTGGTTGAGCTGCTGTCGCGTCACAAGTTAGATAATGACTTTCACACCCACTTACTTTTCCACTATGACTATTACTGAATATTGGAATATTTAAATGTGTTCAGGGCAGGACTCTTATCAAACATGTGAAGTTTGGTGCAAATTGGATAAAGTACACAAAGGTTACGACAACGTTCTTTTTCATGGCGAAACAAATACATTTGTTGGGTGCACAGTTACAAAGAGTGCCACTTTTGATCCTGATGGTCTTTAGATTCCACTGACCAAATTGATCCGATCAATTCCCTTGAAGGAGTTCATTTAAATACAATATGCACAAATGGCCAAAAATGGCCAAAAATGGCCAATGATTTTCTGACTCTGGTCATGATAAATCCTCCACTAGACACTGGACTGTATATTGAGCCGACATGCTCTGTGGGGTGTAACTCACCTCCTCCTCCCAACAAGCCACACTGGTTCCTGTTAATGTTTGTATTTGTATTTGTGACACATGGAAATGTGTGGTCACATTATGTAATTTAATGTGGTACAGTCACAACCTTATTTTTTTCACTTTATGTACATTGATGTTACTGATTTTTGCCACAAGGGGGCACCGCCTCCCTAGTGAGACAGCTTGTGTGGCTGGAAGTGAAGAGGGAAGCACATTACTCGTTGCTTGTCTCACCATTTCTCTTCTCTTTACAGAAACAATAATCTGACTACAGACCTCACAGCCAGGGTTACATATTGGAGTCTGTAGGATCTTTGACTTGTGTGCTGCTGGCTCTGTCTCTCTGGATTTTTTTACTAAGGGAAGTAAGATATTGTGATTTGGTGACTTTTCGATCAAGGGACTGTGCGATACTACTTAAAGGACAGTTTTATTGGCACTTTTATTCATCATCTTATCTATCTTACGTATTTATTCATTTATTCTTTGTCTGTTTTTCAACCCATTTTACGCCTGTTGTCTTTTATTCTATATTTGTAAAAACATTCTGAGCTGCTGGATACCTCCAATCTGGCAAATACATAGTTTCCTGTTTGAGTTCCTCTAATGGCCACTTGAGACTGGCTCCAGAAGGCAGTCAATCATCATAAAGACGGCATATTAAAATTCCCAATTTTACAACAGAAATACATAGAGTTGTCCCTTAATAGTCGATGACTTACCACATAAAAGCTCAGAAGTTGCCCAAAAGTTGTCGATCTTTAAAAAGGAGACAAAAATAAAACCGTGTCCACCTGCGTTAATGAAGGGAATTGAGAGGCAAATGATTCTCAAATCATTGCTAAAACTGATATATTCTTTCACTCAATCATTACATAACAACAAAAATACAGCTTGTGCTATGTGCCTATTGTTGATACTTTACAGTTACGTCTTGATACTTTTCGACTTTACATCTGCACTTTTTACACTGAAAGGACCAGCAGGAATGTGTCCAGACTTTTTTTGACTGGGGTGGCTCAAGTGAGGTATTGCATTCATTTACCGTTCCTTATATCTGTCCCAATAAGCTTGAAATGAAACCAGAACAAACTAACAACCGGAATGAATTTCATTAGCATGGAAACATGAGTCTGAATGTAGCTGATTATGATACTGCTGCCGAGCTACGAAGAGGAAGGTGGATTTGATTTCACTCTGAGAGGCCTGAACTGATGCAGCGGAACATCGAGAGAGGAGCAGAGATGATCGTGGAGTCCAAAGATCCTGATCCTCCACGGTCACAGTTTGGAGTCGAGGAATTTGAGTGACACCTTAGTCACTTAGTAAAGATGTTCACATACTCCTTTATTATACTAAAATTATACTTGTTAAAGAATGTATAAGTACGCTTATATTGTTTATTGACTTTCGTCATTATTTCTTTGATATTATTGTGTCATTATTTTTCATAAGTTTCCTCCATGTCTCAGTTTGTAAGGTCAGTTGTAGTCCTCTGATGAATCAATCTCCTTTTGTACTTACTACTTCTTGACTTGGGACTATTTTAAAAACTGCTCAATATTTGTTCAAAACCTAAAAACATGACATAAAATTACTGTTAATTAGATGCAAGTTGCTTTCTGCTACTTCTAAAAGATGCAGTATGCATAATAAGTTCATTACCTGTTTTTAAATCATTCAGTTATTTATTGTCCCACTGGGAACAAAATCACAATACTGACGTGTTCTGTTGGTTTCTTTTGCTTTTTATTTTACACAAACACATTTCACTGAAAACAGTTGTCATTTCCTTTATGCCCTTCCTACAGTTTCATTAATTCCAGTTGCATCATAGTACATTTGAATTAAAATATAATCAAAAACTTCTAAACATATTCTCACAGTCACGTTTGCAACATCTGTTTTCCCCAGCAAATCCGAAATGCAGTTACACAACAAACAAAAAAAGCTTTGTCTGCTACGCTGCTAACTGAATATATATGAAGGGTTTGTTGGAATCATGAGAATTGTGAACTTGGCAACAAAAAGGTTGAGAAACCTTTTATGTGTGAAAGGAAACATGCTGTTGACATACATACAGATCTGTCAGCTGCTGCATGAAAAGCAGAACAGGAAGAGATGTAAAAGATACGTGTTGGAGGAGATAACGGAGAACAATGACAGTCACTTAGAGTTTGTCAGCAATGTAAGATCTCAGGTCGTCTCAGAGGTCAGCTGATGGACAGAGGAGATTTCTATGAATGATGGCCGATACTTGTTGGGAATATATTGTTATCTCTGCATAATCCATTTCTCCAGGGTCAGTTTGTGAACTGAAAACAAAAAGGTTGAGGAACTCTGGACCGCAGTTCATACTTCACTAAAGCGATTAAACTCTTTACAAGAGCCTGATGACAGCGTGAAAATGAACTAACGGAAGTTAGTAGTAAACATAAATCCCAGGAGACACATGACCAGAAGATCAGCCCCTTCGTGAACTTTCCACAACCTTATTTTACCACCCTTCACTTTGGTCTGTTGGTCACGTGTTTGGAGCAGCAGCATCTGAATACTCGGTGCCTCGTGAGCGGAGGAAGTGAAACGGAGTCAGTGGGAAGAGGAGACAAAACGAGTGAGCAATAACTCGACGTGGTGGAGGTGGGAACGTTCTCCTCTCCCCTAGCAGAAAGATATATTTTATGTTTAGGTAGCTTTTATTTTGATGGAACTAGTAGTTTTACTTAAGTATGATTTTGAATGCAAGACCTTTACCTGTAAGTAGTTGAGTACTTCTACTTAAGTAAAGGATCGGAGTACTGAGTACTGTCACTGGAGATTTATATTCCTTTATACCTTTGAAGGGGAAAGTGACGGGGACACCAGTGAAGTTGGTGCAGGTCTTCAGATGCTGAGCTGCAGCTGTTAGACAGGTGCGCTGTTGCCATGGTAACCTGACCTCCATGTAGAGGAAGCAGCTGCAGAGAGACAACCGTCTCTGTCCTAGTTTGACTCCCTTGTCTTCTCTCTAAAGTCTGATTGATGTGGGACCTGGATCAGGAGTCAATGTGGGCTCAGCGAGTGTATCTACTCTGGTATCAGTTTACATGTATGTGTTTAAGTCACAGGGGCCATTTCTGTGGACGGGCCTCCCAGTGAACCAGGAAGCAGAGAGAGGTTAGCCGCAGTTAGGGAGGGACTAATCACTGATTTGATTGGCATTTACAGCAGCAAATAGCAGCCAGTCCATCAGGAAACTCTGTCAATCACAGAGAGTTGAAGCCGGAGGACGTCAGAGGGAAAACCAGTTTCACCAAAATCACTGAGTCCAGTTATAAAGTGGTGTTTGTACAGTACTCAGTGAGGCCACAGATGTCCCTCAGAAACACTCCGCTCATTGGACGCAGTGTTAGTACACGCCCCCGAGTACAGGATGAGTCATCAAATACTTTATTGTTTTTCAGGAAACTCTAAAATACCTTTAAGAACACCTGAAAACACCTGGAACAGGACTTTTCTGGGACGCACCTGGTAGAGTGGGCGCCACGTGTGACAAGGCTGAGTCCAGAAACTATGAGTTTGACTCCCCCATCTCTCTCTCTCTCTCTCTGTCTCCCCCTTCTTGTAGCTCTTCAGCTGTCAATCTCAATTAAAGCAATAAAAGCCCAATATATACATACATACATACATATATATATATATATATATATATAGAGAGAGAGTTATATATATATATGTATGTATGTATATAAATAAAGAGTTTTCTGTCATTGATAGGGTGACATAAAGCACAAGGTGTGTGATAAAAACACTTAAAGATACATTTTGAAGGTGGTTTTGATGATGAGAGAGCCCCTAGTGGCAGAAAGGACATTCTGTAGGTGTAACAGCTTTCTATGTGGTGTTAAAATCATCCCTCCATCAGATACACACTGTGGCTGCTGTCTGCTGGCATAAAGAGGGAAAGTCACTGTGGTGATAATGAGGCTGAACCTCGGTCAGCGTTTCGTTCCCTCAAATTGTGGCAGAGTGAGACGTCTGTGTTGTTGTTGTTTTTTTTGCAATCTTTGGAGCCAACAGACAGAGAGAGAGAGAGAGAGAGAGAGAGAGAGGTTCAGTCCTGTCGGGTCTCATCGTCTCTTCCTCCGTAGCGAATATCTTCATCTGTCTTCATTCTGTCTGTGATGGAGGAGAGAGAAGACCGAGGAGGAGGAGGGTACCACCGGGCAGCCAAGCGGCTGCGGACGGAGGAGGAGCTGGAGGACGGGGAGGAGGAGGAGGACTCTGCCGGAGAGGAGGCTGCGGGGAGCGGAGGCACCGAGCGCAGGAGCCGAAGGAGCGGAGGGAAGGTACACTCACACCTGACTGTCAATCACTGAGTGAAGCCCACTGCTGGCCACTAACTCATCACTAGTAATAAGATTACTTCTCCCAGTAGCTGGTAGTGTAACTAATTACTACCATTACAGTTACTCTACTTTTGTTGTCACTCTCTACTGAATACAATCCAATCACATCCTTGGATTCAGTTTTGTAATCGTGGAGGAGAGTAGTTTGTATTCAGCTGGAAATACTCCATTACTTTGATTCTAACAAACAAAATCAGATTTTAATCTTCGTCAGTCTGAATTTTATGGAGGAAGGACACCATTAGCAATTGTATGGGGAGTAGCATAAAGTAATTTAACTAGTAGTGTAACTCATTACTGTTAGCATAGAGTACAGTAATAAGATTACTTTTTCAGAGAGTAATGAGTTATTTATTACATTTTATGAGTAAGTAGTCCAACACTGGTAAGAGTCCATGGTAGGTTGATAAACTCCATGCAGCAGCAGTGGCAGGCACGAGGCGCTCACAGAGGAGGAGCTCAGAGAGGAGGAGCTCAGAGAGGAGGAGCTCAGAGAGGAGCTCACAGAGGAGCTCACAGAGGAGCTCAGAGGAGCTCAGAGGAGGAGCTCAGAGGAGGAGCTCAAGAGGAGGTCGAGCAAGAGGAGGAGCTCAGAGGAGGAGCTCACAGAGGAGGAGCTCAGAGAGGAGCTCAGAGGAGGAGCTCAGAGAGGAGGAGCTCAGAGAGGAGCTCACAGAGGAGGAGCTCAGAGGAGGAGCTCAGAGGAGGAGCTCAGAGAGGAGCTCACAGAGGAGGAGCTCAGAGGAGGAGCTCACAGAGGAGGAGTTCAGAGAGGAGGAGCTCAGAGAGGTGATAAAGGAGTTGGTGTGTCTATAAGCTGTAGCAGAGGTACACAGAGGATCTCAACCCCAGAATTAGATTTGACCAACACACAGACTGAACTCAGAGCAAGTTTAAAATGAAAATAACCATAGCGTTGTTCACCACAGCGACAGGCATCTAGCACACAGTACACCATCCACGATACACGAGTGTGAGCCCATAACGTTAGATACAGTAGATACAGTAATACAGTAAAATACAGCAGATACAGTAGATACAGTAAATACAGCAGATACAGTAGATACAGTAAATACAGTAGATACAGTAGATACAGTAGATACAGTAGATACAGCAGATACAGTAGATACAGTAGATACAGCAGATACAGCAGATACAGTAAATACAGCAGATACAGTAAATACAGCAGATACAGTAGATACAGTAGATACAGTAGATACAGTAGATACAGTAAATACAGCAGATACAGCAGATACAGTAGATACAGTAGATACAGTAAATACAGATACAGTAGATACAGTAGATACAGTAAATACAGCAGATACAGTAGATACAGTAAATACAGCAGATACAGTAGATACAGTAGATACAGCAGATACAGTAGATACAGCCTAATTAGCCTACACTGAACAATGTGTGTGTACTGACCTCAGATCAGTGTGATGCTGACAGCACTGTAGCTGTGTGACGAAGCTGCTGGAGACACTTATTTTTTCAGTGCTAACTTTGCCTGCTAATGAGAATGTGTCTCAGCCTCGTTCCCAGTTTATGCAGTCGGACACTGTTTATGGATCCAGAGTGCAGAAATATTCAAACACACTGCAACAATAAGACTAAAGTCGGGAGGCTGTAATCAGAAGGCTGGCGGTTTGATCCCCGGCTCCTCTCCATGCATGTTGAGCAAGACACTGAACCCCAAAGTACTCCAGATGCTGTCCATCAGTGTGTGAGTGTTTGTGAATGGGTGAATGTGGCATGTAGTGTGTGAAAGATGCTATATAAGTACAGTCCATTTACAATGTCTGCAAAGGGGAGACTCATGGGTACCCAAAGAACCCATTTACATTCAGATATCTTGAGGTCAGAGATAAAGGCGTCCCAGTGTTTTCACCACCTGAACTTACAAATGTTTATGGGGAAAGGAAAGTGTAACTGAGGACTTCCTTGCAAAGTGTTTTTGACAAATGTCCAATAAATGCAGCATGTTTCTGAAGTTTAAAAAAATAATCGTTTGAATGATCGTGATTTCAATTTTGACCCAAATAATCATGATTATGAGCCCTAGGTAGTGTAGATATTCTCATTCTGAGGTAATGATTCCTTTATTCAGGTGCTTATACTCTAATGGAAACCTGTGAATATAATATTACATTTCTGACAAGAGATCCTCCTCAGTGTTACCGATGGACCTTTTAATGGATGTTTTATGATGTTTTAGAGTCACTGAGGAGGCTGTCAGACGATTTTAACTCTGTCAGGAGGGCGATGTTTAAATCCTGATTTGAATGTGTTGAAGCTGCTGTGAGTCCGTCACACTCCGGTCCTTCGTGTGTTAGTGTGAGAGAGTTCTGATGAAACAGTCAGACTGCAGCCTCTTCCCTCCTCGACAGATCAGTCAACGCTCTGCAGACAGAGAGCATCATGGGAAACAAGGCAGATGAGAAGCATCGGTCTGTCAGACAGTGAACAGGCCGATAGAGGCTGAAGTGGGTTTGAAGCTGTTTGTGGACAGACCACTTCCTGCTGACAGACTCTAGTCTCCATCTCAACGCTTCTGACCACTTCTACATTTGAATTATTTAAATCTCACAGCTTCTGTCTTTTTAATTAGTCTCCTCTCTGATGGAGCTAAGTGCTCTCAGACAGGCCGCACAAGATTAAAAATTAAAATAATTAAACCACCAATTAAAGTTCAGCTCCAAATCAAACCCAGCTCTTCACTTCAGCAACCCGTCCTCCCGATGATTTGCATGTTAGGTAAGCAGCGACGGAATCGCCCGCCGTGCTGCAGCGGATTATATTCAGAGGCTGTGACTCGTCTCCAGCCGACATCAAAGCACCAGTGGAGGTGAACAACTGACCGGAGGCCTTCAGTGAATAGAAAATCGGATTCTGAGAACAAGTACAAATTCAAAATGAGTCATTCACGCAGTCAGGTGTGAACCATGATGTCATGCATCAGTTAGCTGTGAAGCTGTGTAATTATACGTGGAAGTGATGTTACCCAGCTCAGTGTGGTCGGCCCTGGCCTACGGGTTTGGGTTAGGGTTCCTGACAATAGATCCTCCTCAGTGTCCTCCACACACACACACACACACACACACACACACTGTATTTCCTCCTGATGAAGGGTATCCGGGCTGTGTTGTGTGATGGAGTTTCTAAATGATGAATCATCTGGCCTCGTTAGCTGCGCTAAAAGCTCATTAGCTCAGCGGCTGACACAGCTAATTACAGAGGAGGTGAGGAAGATGAAGGTAGGTGGAGGGATGAAGATGCAGGAGGAGGAGGAGGAGGAGGAGGAGGGTGTGCTGAGGCCACAGAGTCAGACTGAGCTGTAATGATACATAGGCCTGACAGGAAGGAAGTAACATGTCACTGAACGCCTCAGTCTCAAACACACACACACACACACACACACACACACACACACACACTAAATAAAGACACACAGTCACCAAAAAAGCTGAGGTGGCTCAGTCGCCGTAGCAACCGGGCCCTGTGAGCTGCCCCTCCTCTGTGCTGACGAAGTTCCAAACTTACTATTGATATTGACGATAACTATGAGGTATCCGTGGTAACCAAACTGCATCACTCGTACAGACGCAAACATTTCCATCTCTGCATTGTTTCATTGTTGACTCACGAGTACCTCAGTCACACCTTTCTGTCCTCTTCAAAGTGACCGTCGCTATAGTAACCGAGCCCAGCGTGGGTGCAGGCGGGGGTGCTCCACAGACCGCAGTCTGTGCAAACATTTCTCACATCGCCTGTTTTCTCACATGCTGAAGGTTGTTTGAGGTTAAAGTCCAGGTGAAATAAAAAATCCCTTTAACACTTTGAGATCTGAGTGTGAAAACACTTTTTTTATATCAAAATCCAATCATTGTGTCTTCCTGTAAAACAAAATCTGACTCGTGTTTATGTAAGTATGAACTGACACAGAGCAAAGTTAGTGAGCTAGCTAGCTAACAGCATGACTCGCTAGCGGAGCTCGCTGATCAAACTCAACTTTATCAGAGATTACGGTGAAGGATCAGATTTTACGGAGAGATATTGTCTGGTTTTCCCTCTGACGTCCTCCGGCTGCTCGGTCCTGGTCTGGACGCATTGTGCACTGGGAGCTCCCACTCTGACAGAGTCAGCTAGTGGGTCTGCTACAACATTCAGTGTTGTAAGTATCATATATTTGATGTAATTGCATTACATATGTGATGAAAAAGTTGTTATAACAGTACTATTCTTCATTCTTACTTTTACCTTGCAGCGAGACAACTTTGACTGTTGTTATTATTGCCCCAAAGAAATAAAAAAATGCAAAAGGTGAGGACATTTAGCGATTACAATGGCTGCCAGGCGAATAATGGTGGCCTGTCACCTGATTAGATTTAAATACATACATTTATTTTTAATCACCATGTTAGTGGAGATCAGTGGAAATGTCTCCAATCTACAGAAAGCAGTTTTATACCCCCCCCCCACAGTTTTTGAGCTAAACCAGTCCAAAGTGTCGGACTGATAATGTAAGTCAGATCTGAGATCGGTTCATCTAGAGGTCAAAACCCCAAACAACCCCAATCAGAGCGCGCTTCCTGCAGCGCTGCAGCCTCCATCGGTTGCAGAAAACAGGTCAGGCTGCAAAGATGCAGCACAGCGCTTACTCAACCTCTTCCTGAGAAAAACTGTCAACATGTTTTTGTCGCTTCTTGTCAGTTTGAAAAGATTTTCCGATTGTAACTGCCATGATTTAATCTCACTGGTGTCGGTCTGCACTGACATCGACACATCTCCTGCCACAACACCCTGAAATCTGCAACGGTTCATCTGCAGAACATTAGAACTCCCCCGTGGATCCCAACATCCTACAGGGCCCCAGGTTTAAGATTTAAGCTCCTGAAGACATTTCTGTGAACAGGATGTGACATTTTAAAGGCTGAAAAGAATATAGTTTCCACTTCCAGTAAGTGAATGTGAAAACATCCAACTCCGCACACACATCACACTGTAGGAACAACAAGAAAGTTTAACACTTAAATGGGCAAGCACATATAATGCTTTGGAAAAATGAATTAACTACGATTTTCTAATGTATCCAGGCTCTCTATGTATTTTTTTAAATATGACCTTTATTCTCCAATTTCCAGCCTGTATCATTGAGCGTATACATTTTAAATTTTCCCTCTTTTAAATAGTTCATGTGCCAACTTCTAAGCAGTTGAGGCCACCCACCTACAGCCTACCAAGGTTTCTGCATCAAGGTCTTGCTCATGGTGCGAGTACGGTCTCGACCTGCTCCATGAGAAAATACAAATAAAACGGAATTGAATTTTATGAACAATGAATTAGATACTTTCCTTCAAGTTTTGTATAAAAGGTTTTTAAAAAGGGGCGAAAAAAACTACCCACATATGTTTTGAACGCCCTATATGTAACTATATGTAATTTACCCAAACTCTACATTAAAGATTATCTGTATAGTCATACAGGCTATACAGATGGAGACGTTTCATTCTGAACCAAAGTTTAAATAACTTTATTGTCAACAAACCTACGAGTCTTTTTCATTGATTCACATTCACATTAGAGGACAGAATACACACATATAATTCACCCTGTGTCTTCAGCTGCTCTGTGGCAAACATGATACCAGGTCTGAGCAGAGCTGTGGCTATATCTTAGTTTGAATGTTTGTGGCTGCACAGAGATGAAGTGATAATAGCTGTTCTGTCTTCCTGTCCTGACTTCTTAGATCTTGTTGTGTTTTACATCAGAAGTGTGTGTGTGTGTGTGTGTGTGTGTGTGTGTGTGTGTGTGTGTGTGTTGTTGTTGTTTACAGTACAAACAAAAGTTTTTATTGTCTTAGAGATTCTGAGTTCTCTCCTCTCTGTAGGACGGCGTGGAGGAGAGTCACCGCATCCCCCCGTCCCCGGTCGTCCACGTCCGAGGGCTCTGTGATGCTGTGGTGGAGGCTGATCTGGTGGAGGCGCTTGACAAGTTCGGCAACATCTGGTAACATTTTACCTTCAAAATACTGACTGCATGTACCTTTACAATACTGACTGTACATGTTCTATCACACACGGCTCGAACCTGTCAGTGTTGATTAAGGTGAGACTTAAATATTGGACGCTCTGCAGTACTGAGGGTTGAACCATTTACACTGAAGCTCATTTTGCAGTGTAACTGCTGTTATTCTGGTGCATCGTGTGCAGTGAGATGCGTTTCTCATGTCCGATCAGAACAACACGATTTGGAAACATTCACCACAACAAACATCCCAGCAGCCACTGCTGCTCTCCCTGCAGCTAATCTAGTTTCTATGCATCTCAGCAGCAGCACTTCATCTGGTCTGTCTTTATGAGACAAATCAGTCTGATCACAGTGAAGTTTCCTCCATCAGTGACTCTTGTTTCATTACTCTTAGCAGTATAACCACTATGATTCAGATCAGACAGAGTGTGAGTATGTTACTGTGAGGGAGCTAAAAACAGTTCTTACAGCGATCATCACAGATATTTATTTTGTCAAACAGATCATAGAAAGAGCTGAGAGGACGTTCAAAGTGATGACGATACCAACATTAACACGAGGCAGAGTGAAGAGCATTATATAAAAAAACAGCAGTTTCCTGCGAGCTGTGGGATGTAAATATTCGACAGATGAACGCTGTCCTCATGAAGTCACCAGAGCTAGGATCAGTATTAAGAAATGTTTCTAAGGCTGAAACATAACTGATGTCTGTGATAATTCATTTATGGGTTAATCATTGCCATTCAGCATTACATTGATCATTGATCATTGATCATCAGACACCTCCTCCAGTAACTTTCAGAACAATCATCATAATCAGTTATAGGTTAAAGCAATGTTTCCCAGCTGTGTAGGAAGTGTAATGCTGAGGCTGGGAGTTTTATGCTTATTTATAGATTAATACTGGAAAACATAGTAGATGGACTAATTCTTGACATTACATTGATCAAGGACCCTACATGTCTATTGATTGGACTAACAGACACACAACCTAAGAGACCTCTATGTATTCTTACTTTCTGTGCAAAGAAAAATATATTGTTGAAATGGACAGATGACAAACATCTAACACTAGCTGGTTAGCAGAAAGTAACTTTTGATATAATACCTATGGAAACCACATGATGTACTAATGCATGACTGATTCGCTGTATTAAGATCAGGAAAAGGGGACGGTGAAGACAGAGCTTTCACTCTCTGATAAACAGATTCGTCCTGCATTAGAAAAGTACAGTCAACCAAAGAGCTGATCGAACAATGAGAAGTTACTTAAGAGTTACTTAAGTAACTTGAGTAACATTTTTTTGTAGGTTTTGTACCCCCTGCAGTACTCCAAAGAACCCAAAGAAACCCAAGTGGTACACTAATCTAAAACAGCTGTTTGCTCTGTGTGCAGTTATGTGATGATGATGCCGTTTAAGCGTCAGGCTCTGGTGGAGTTTGACAGCGTGGAGAGTGCGGAGCGCTGCGTGTCTTGTGGAACGAGAGAGGCCGTCTGCATCGCAGAGCAGCAGGCCTTCTTCAACTTCTCCACCAGCCAAAGAATCACCAGACCCACCAACTCTGACGACCCCACCAGTGGAAACAAAGTCCTCCTGCTGTCCATCCAGAACCCACTGTACCCCATCACCACTGTAAGACCAGCAGAACCTCCTTTATTAAAACATCCTTTAAATGTTTTGTGTCTGTTGGAATTTAATGATAATAATAATACATTTTATTTAAAAAGCGCTTTTCTGAATACTCAAAGACACTGTACAATATAAGAAGAATACAAGAACATCAATTAGTAAAACAATATAAAACAGTACATTACATACGTTAAAACACATTAGACTTCCTTTACCTCAGCTGAACCTCCAAATTCAACCAATACCTGTGAATTCTGAATGATCATGGGAAAAAGCTGTCATGAAATCAGGCATTTCAAAAAGCCCTCAAAATCCTGGAGGGATTGACCATCTGTCCTTACTGCCAGTCATCACTGTGGCCTCTCTCTCTCTCTCTCTCTCTCTCTCTCTCTCTCTCAGGATGTTCTGTACACAGTCTGTAACCCCATCGGTAACGTCCTACGAATCGTCATCTTCAAGCGCAACGGCATCCAGGCCATGGTGGAATATCCTTACGTGTGTGTGTAGTAGAAGATTTAGAAGATCTTTGACTTAAAGGACCAGTTTGTGGGATTTAGTGCCATCTAGTGGTGAAGTTGCAGATTGCCACCAACTGAATACAGCTCAGCCTTTCAAGTGTGTATGAGAAACTACATGGGCCAAGAAATGAACCAGAAATGTGAACACCCCTATCTGGAGCAAGTGTTGGGTTTGTCCATTCTGGGCTACTGTAGAAAAACAGTGGACTCACCCGCTCTGTATATCAAAATGTCTCATTCGAAGATAACACAACAATTCTTATTTTCAGGTAATAATATGGTGATTTAGGTTATAGTTATTAATTTAAATATTAATCAGAAATTCAAATTGATTATTGCCTATGGTTACCCTTCTTTAAGGGTGGCGTCCCAATGACCTTTAATATTATTTCAAGTCATTATTTATTCATTTTTAGGACTGTTGAGTTGATTTGATCCAAATTTGATTGACATTCAACAGTGTGGTGTCCCTTTAAACCATTACTACCCCAATGAATGGTGCCCCGTGTGAGGCATACTATGCAATTTTTCAATTCAGTTTTATTTGTATAGTGCCAATTCATAACATAGGTTATCTCAGGATACCTTTCAAATAGACCTTACTCCTTATAAAATGATTTACAGAGACCCAACAGTTCCCACCATGAGCAAGCACTGGCAACAGTGGCAAGGAAAAACCTCTCAGCAATTATTCATAATTGTGCAATATTAATATTTCAGCATATCTTTTCTCTTCAAGTCAAAGCATCAGCATCAAAATACATTTAAAGTATCAAAAGTACTCAACATGCAGAATGGGTAATTTCAGAATAATATATACTACATTATTGGATTATAATTTTTATGGCATTCATTACTTCACTGCTGTGTAGTTCAATCTATAACAATACGTAATCATTTATTAGTAGATTTATGTTATTTTTGATTAATAATCTGAATCTGAAGAGTAACTAATGTTGTGAAATAAATGGAATTTAGTGAAAGTAGCATAAAATGGAAATACTAAAGTAAAGTAAAATTGTACTTAAGTACATTCCACCACTGGAATCCATTAAAGCCGCAGTTTAGAGGTTAATAGAGGATTGAACTTCAATTTTACGGCTGTAGATGCAACATGATGACGAGCTGTAATCACTTAATTAAAGAACCTGTTGTTGCTCTTGAAAACAGGAAAATCTTTTAAGATCAAATTTAGGTTAATTAAAGATGACAGTAGAGCTCCTTGAGGACAGTGGTGGTTGTGTTTCGTTATGAGTCACCCTTAACGAGCTTGTTAACATTTGAGTCAGTGGAGGATGCTCAGAAGGCCAAACTGGCTCTGAACGGAGCGGACATCTACTCCGGCTGCTGCACGCTCAAGATCGAATACGCTCGGGTAAACACACACACAAACACAGTGCTCTGGACAAACACACACTCAGGTGCATGCACACATACACACCGTCGCTCTTATGCCCACGCACACACACCCACCCAGAGGTGCTGTGCTCTGTCGCCCCCTGCAGCCCAACAGACTGAACGTCGTCCGCAATGACAACAGCAGCTGGGATTACACCAAACCGTTCCTCCTGCAGCGAGGTAGGATGCCACACACACACACACACACACACACACACCCACACACGTTGCACTGATTTGATTTGAAATTATTCAAATCAAATTCGGAATATATTTTCCTCAGTTTTATTAATGCAAAGAAATGGTTAAAATCTTTAATCATTCAGTAAGTCAATATTTCTGTTTGTCGTTGCATTTATTTGTCAGTTTAGTTCAAAAACAGTGTGTGTGTGTAAATGTGTGTGTGTGAGTGTGCGTGTGTGTGTGTTGTATCCATGTTTATGACTTATCCCTAACTAGTTAGATGCTTGGAAGCAACCCAGCACAATCTTGCTCTTGGATTAAATCAACCATTTTGGAAAAGCTTTATATTTAACGTGATGCTGGCCCAAAAAGACATTGTTGGAGAAGGCGAAGTTGCAACAACAACCGCAGTATGATTTGTTTCACTATCAGAATTTGATCCATTCAGTCTGATAACATTTTATCTCTAGCAGCCTTCAGTGCTGTATCCAGTTCTCTTTATCAATGGTTGTCACACACTGGCAGACACTGACAGTCTAAGTAGGATTTTGGTGTTTTATAATAAATACTGTACCAAGATGTTCCTGGTTTGAAGGTGAAATAGGGAAGAGCTCAGTGAGCTCTGCCTGGAGACTCACAGGTTAAACTGCAGCCTGGAGACGGCTGCTGAAGCTGCTGAAGCTGCTGCGGAGGCTGAAAATAGATTCTTCTGCTGAGGAGCGAGCGCTCACTTTCACCTCCCGCTGCTCCGACCTTATGTGGGTCAGACTTTGCTAACCCCTGACTATTACACCAAGACTGTTGCACTTAACTGTGTGTGTGTGTGTGTGTGTGTGTGTGTGTGTGTGTGTGTGTGTGTGTGTGTGTGTGTGTGTGTGTGTATGTGTGTCTGTGTGAGTGACAGTGCCAATAGCAACAATAAGAGCTTCCTGTCAGCTCTTACTTGGCTTAGATTTCTGTGTTTGTGTGTGTTGCAGAGCCGGGAAAGGGAAGGCAGCGTCAGGCCATCTTGGGAGAGCATCCATCCAATGGCTACGGTACTGTCTGTCTATCTATCTGTCTGTCTGTCTGTCTGTCTGTCTGTCTGTCTGTCTGTCTGTCATCTCTCTCTTCCAGCTGTCTCAGTTCTAACTTCAGTGTACTGTTTGTGTCTCTGCAGGCCCACACTGCCCCCTGCTGCCTCTGCCTGCTAACAGCAGGTACAGGAGGAGCAGTGAGGAGGTGCAGGACATGGTCTCCTACCCTCTTCTCCTCCCTAAAACCTCCTCCTCCTCCTCCTCCTCCTCCTCCTCCTCCTTCCTGGGCCTCGCAGCCTCCAGCTCAGTTGCTATGGTGAGCGGCCTCCATCCCGCCAAGATGAACTGCAGCTGTATCTTCAACCTCTTCTGTCTCTACGGCAACGTGGAGAAGGTGTGTGCTGACCCAGAGAGGGGGGGGTGTTGCAGGAGTAAACATTGTGTCCCAGTCTGCCACCGGTCAGTCATCTGGAAGCTTCTGTTGTGTTTGCAGGTGAAGTTCATGAAGAGCGTTCCTGGCACGGCGTTGGTGGAGATGGGAGATGAGTACGCTGTGGATCGAGCCGTCACTCACCTCAACAGCATCAAGGTGTTCGGCAAAAAACTCAACGTCTGGTGAGCGCTGATAACTGCCACGTTTAGGAGCTGTAACCAAGGTTGGGGGTCAGGTGGAGACAAAGGTCCATTACACTACTCTACCATTGAGTATATTTTATGGATATTTCATATTATATACAATAATAACAATAACTGTAGAGAACAGCTGATTGTTGTTAAATATAACTAATCTATATAATGAACCCAAACTCAGTAACTGCAGGAAGTGTTTGAGATTTGGATTAATTCTGAGCAGATTATTTCCTGTGACTATTGATCAGAGAACCGTTTTCCTGACATTAAGATTTAATTCTGTAATTCTTAAGTCTGTATTATGTATTTTTAAAAATGTTAAATCATCATACAGACTTAAAAGGCTTCTTTTTTTTTTTTTTAACAAATTCAGTGTTTTCTTTCCCTGACGGTCAGGGATGGCAAAAATGGCCGGCCACCCTGGTGTGGTGTCAAATTTAACACATTAATTTAGATACATTTTAAAAATAACGTTATAAAAAATTTTAATCAACACATATACTTTAATGATCTGTTTTAAAAGATTTCAAAATTAAACGCTTGCTTTCTAATTTTAAAGGTCCAGTGTGTCTCTGTAGGTTCTCCTTCACACTTGGAAAGATGAACTGGAATGATACTCTTGATATTCCGGATCCCTCAGATGATGACTTTAACATGAGCTTTACACTTTCGTCCCATTCAGTACCCTAACTGCCTACTTTCTTCTCTCTGTTTGCTCCCTCCCATCCCTCTGTGCCTACATGCCTTTGTTTATCATCCATCCATGGATCCATCCACCCCCTCCCTTCCTACCTCCCTCCGTCACCTCTCAGTGTGTCCAAGCAGAAGGCGGTGATTCCCAGTCAGGTGTTTGAGCTGCCTGACGGCAGCAGCAGCTACCTGGACTTCAGTCTGACCAGAAACAACCGCTTCAGCAGTGCACAGAACAACAGGAACATCATCCAGCCGCCCGCCGCTGTCCTGCACTTCTACAATGCCCCGCCCACCCTCAGCCAACACCAGCTGCTCAAGGTGAGGTCAAACCTGAGACTTTTACTGGAGGAAGATTAGTTTTAGTTGGATGACTGAGAGAGCTTTCTGAAGAGATGTAAACTGAGAAGATAATGGGGCCAGGTATGAAGCTCTGTGAGACACCATCAGTGATGCATTTGGCTTTTAGAGCATCTTGTAATGTTTTGGGTGCAAAGTTTAGATAGTTTTTTAGACATTGAGACACTTCATCACTGTATGTATGGTGTGTTTCAAGTGTTTAAAATCCATCACTGAATTTATGGCATTTTTAATCATGAAATAAGTAAAACAAATTTTAAGAAAAATTTCCCTGAAACTCCACAAAGGAGTGCAAAGTTATCACAACCCTTGGAGCCACAATAAACTGGAATTATCCTTTAAAAGGAGAGAAGAGAAAGCAGAAACTCCTAATGAAACAGTCTGACCTCTCTCCTCTCTGTCTCGTCTGCAGCTCTGTACTGAACACAACGTTCCCGCCTTCACCAAGTTCAAGGTCTTTGATGCCAAACGTGAGTTTAACCATTCTCACAGCAGAAGAGGAGCTACACTAAACACATCGAACTATAGCTCAAAGTTATAAATACAATTTTAAAATGATATCTAAATCTGACTCTTTCAACTCAGACATCTTTTCCTGTCTCCTTCTTTTTGCTTCTTCATCATTTTCCTCCTCCTCTTCGTCCAAGCAGCCAGCTCTAAGACCCTGTCTGGTCTGCTGGAGTTTGACAGCAAAACTGAAGCTGTGGAGGCTCTGACCGTCCTCAACCACCACCAGATCAGAATACCCAGTAAGTACTCAACTGTCCCTGACACACTAGTGAGAGCTTGTTTGCACATGAAGTCATGTCACTGTTTTCTGTGGCTGCAGATATATATATATATATATTGCCTTTTTTGTGCTGATTACGGTTGCACAAATCGGTTAAACTGAGAAACCACAAGGAGCTTTTATCAAGTACTAGAAGTTTTTGTTTATGATGGGGATAAATGCAAGAAATCTGAATTTGGTCCTGAGTTGATGTGTTTTAAGTAGGAACAATGGGCAGCATGAGGATTTGAGTAACTTTGACAAGAACCACATTGTGTGGACGACTGGGTCAGAACATCTTCAAACCTGCAGCTCTTGTGGGGGGTTCCCGGTCTGCAGAGGTCAGTACCGATCAAAAGTGGTCCAAGGAAGGAACAGAACCAGAGACAGGGTCATGTTCACCCAAGGCTCATTGATGCCTGTGGGGAGTGAAGGCTGGCCTGTGTGATCCGATCCAACAGACGAGCTACTGTAGCTCAAACTTCTGAAACAGTTAATGCTGGTTGTGATAGAAAGGGGTCAGAACACACAGTGCAGAGCAGTCTGTTGGTCTGGGACCAGTCAGGGACGAGCCGTTAGACTCTTCTCAGCGACTGAGAATTACTGATGTAATCTATTACTACATATCCCTGTGATCGAGCACTATCGGCAGACAGACAAGTCACTGCCTGCATTCACCACCAGATGTCAGAATTTACACAGATTTAATAAACAACAAAAACAACAACAGTGCTGGGAGGAAGGTTGAGCACTGACATGCTGTTATAAAGATTCATTATGTTAATTATACTGGACTGAAAGACTTCACGCAGACTGTGCGCCGCCTTTATGTCTGTGTAAAGTGAACTTGTTCTCCTCCTCTGCCCTGCAGACAGCTCCAATCCCTTCACCCTCAAACTCTGCTTCTCCACCTCCTCCCATCTGTGAGACACAAAAGAGATGGCCGCCACGGGCGCCCAGAGGAGAGGAAGTTTGTTCCTCACAAGAAGAGAAACAGATGGACAAAAGATTCTTAATGGATGGACTGTGTTTGTCACAGCAGGAAGTGATGGAGCCACGAAGAATAAAAGCACCTTAAAGACCACAGTGGACTACATCAGTCACAGCGAGGACTGAACCACCTCCTTCAAAACTAGATGACGTCAGCAGCCTGAGAGGAAATCTTCTCCCAACTCACCCAGTTCATTACATCACACATGAAAAATCAAATCAATAAATGACTTCATCCTCCACAAAAAGGCCCTGAAGAGAATTCTGAAGATATCAGCTGTAAGAAGAATTATTCACAGCAAAGCAGCCTCACAGGGTGGAGGATCTGTAACAGGGTGTTACAGTAAAAACAAATGTATGTGTCATTTTGTTTTGTTTACATTTAAAGTCACACTGTAAAACCTGACAACACATCTGACATAAATGAATCCTCCAAACAAATGGGAGTCACTCATTCACACGAATTAAACCCAACTCAAAAATGAACTGTTGAAGGAGAATTTTAATTATAATTATATAATTATTTTATTCTAGCCGCATAGCTTCATTTTTTGTTATTATTTCAGTTTATTAAACATCAAAAGCTCAATTACACATCCAAATAATTCTTCGTATTATTCAGTCCCTCCAGGATTTTGGGGTCTTTTTTGGGGATTGTTGCAGCCTAAAATGTAAAAAAAAAATTGCGACACACGTTTTTAGGGTTTTTTTTGCAATGAAATCTCGGGAAACTACTATGATCGGTGAAACTGACAGGAAACTACAACAATTGGTCAAAGCTTTAGTGACTGGACAAAATAGAAAGGTCACACAAAATTGACAATAAGTTAAATTTGTGTTCAACTTCCTGGAGGGACGATTTATTGACGTCAGTCAGCAGTTTCTGCATCTAAAAAAGAGTAAAACCATCTATTTGGTCTTTGTCGGTATCATGACTGACTTGCATTAATTGATTTTCTTTGTCCACTTGCAGAAACAAGCTGTGAACACCACATCTGACATATCGTCACCCTTTTAGTAGATAGGATGAACATGTCAGTATACAGCTGCCAACGTCCACATCAGGTGGACGCAAACACGACTCTGCTCTGTGTCTATTGCTGTAAAACACGGTGGAGGTCTTTGTCTTGAAAGGAAAGTTAAATTTGTGATGCGGATAGTTTTGTCCCAAAGTGACAAATCGCTCGCATGACTCAGAATGAACTGATAATAAAACAACTTTTTAAAGGTCCATCATGTAGTATTTGGTGGCATCTAGCGGTACTATTCCAAGTGTGAAGGAGAAACTACAGTGGCTGCAAAACACCCCTATTTAGAGCCAGTGTTTGGTTTGTCACTTCTAGGCTACTGTAGAAACATGGCGGACTCCGCCAGAAGAGGACCTGCTTCCTCTGTAGATAAAAACATTCTAAGGTAACCAAAACAGAACAATTCTCATTTTCAGGTGATTATACACGAATGGACACATACCTATGAATGTTATATTACATACATGTTATACACTTTGAAAAGCCTTTCAAACAGATTGACTGTAGAATAACAATAACTTCCATATTTATAAGACTTGAGCTTTACAGTATTTACATACACGTTGAACATGTTGATGTTGGGATGCTAATGTTAGCATGTTAGCATATTAGGATCCTGAATTTAGAAAGCTAGATAATCACATAATCAAACAAACTCATAGTCATTTTCATGGGAACTTTTTCTTCTGCAGTTATCCTGAGCTGGACAATGAATTGATCGAATGAAAAATTAATTGCCAAGTATATTTTTAAAGGTTACAATTTTGTGAGTCTGTTCTGAGCAACTGGAAAAGCAGAGAAGCTATTCCATTTTTTAAATCCTATTCTTCTAAAGCCGTGAGCAGCGCAGATTTATGCTCCTATCCCAACACAATGGACGGAGTTTAGAGACTCCAAACCTCGACCGATAAAACCAAAACTATCTGCTCTCCGAAGGAGAAGCGCTCTCTATCTCCCCCTGGTGGCTGACTGCAATATAGACTCTCTCTCTCTCTCTCTCATCTCCCCCTGGTGGCTGACTGCAGTATAGACTCTCTCTCTCTATCTCCCCCTGGTGGCTGACTGCAGTATAGACTCTCTCTCTCTCTCTCTCTCTCTCTCCCCCTGGTGGCTGACTGCAGTATAGACTCTCTCTCTCTCTCTCTCTCTCTCTCCCCCCTGGTGGCTGACTGCAGTATAAACTCTCTCTATCTCCCCCTGGTGGCTGACTGCAGTATAGACTCTCTCTCTCTATCTCCCCCTGGTGGGTGGCTGACTGCAGTATAGACTCTCTCTCTCTCTATCTCCCCCTGGTGGCTGACTGCAGTATAGACTCTCTCTCTATCTCCCCCTGGTGGCTGACTGCAGTATAGACTCTCTCTCTCTCTATCTCTCCCTGGTGGCTGACTGCAGTATAGACTCTCTCTCTCTAGCTTATAAAGCCTCCATGTTAGCAGATGGGACAAACTACAAAATCAAATTTAAATAAATGTTTTCCAAAGATGGTTTCTGTCATTTAGGTCATGACGTTTGTCAGCGTGATAACAACTGTGTTTATTTTTTATCATCAGTTTGGTTTTAATAAGTAATTTGAAGATATAAAAAGGGAGTTTGACATCATGATTGACAGCTGAGCCCTGCTTGCCATTGAGTCGGCCAGGCATATATGCCCCGACCTCTATCACTACTGCACAGACATAGGGATAGATTGCAGCAGTTGATATTCTGGCTTAATTTTTGTACAGTGGGAGGAAGTGGAGACGTCCATCTTTTATATGTCATATATTTTATATGTATATATGTGGACTGATACCAGAGGGAATAGAATAGAATAGAATAGAATAGAATGCCTTCATTGTCACTGTACACATGTACGATGAGATTAAATAGCCAACTACAATGGCAGTGCCAAAAACAGTACAATTATCAAAGTATATACAATATAAACACAGGACATGAAGAGATAATACAAAAGGGAGGTAGGGTATGCAGTCCTGAGGAGTGTGTACATTTCCAAATATATACAATATAAACACAGGACATGAAGTAATAATTACAACAGAGGGAGGAAGGGTGTGCAGGCCTGAGGAGTGTGTGCATTTGCAAATAAATACGGTGCTATATACAGTGTAAGATATATATATATATATATATATATATATATATATATATATATATATATATTGCACATTATATATTATATATTATATATATAGCCCATTTATGGTGTGTAATATTGCACATTGAATGGTATTGCACAGTAACTATCAGTGTTTAATAGTGACTGAAGAGAGTATGAGGGTTGGGGTGGTTGAACTAAGAGCATTGCATGTGAGAGTTCAGGGTGGTTATTGCTTTTGGGAAGAAGCTGTTCTTGAATCTGTTTGTTCTGGTTCTAATGCACAAATAATAACTGTGTGTGTGTGTGTCATTTCTTTTAAATATCTTGAGGACGGATTTTAAATGGATGAACTGTTCAACAGAACTATGTTGAGGTGTACTTATATATGATTTTAAAAGACAGCTGACAGCCAATCACAAACCAGCTTTCTGTACCTGTGGATGTTGACGGTAATAAAAGTTACGTCCGTATGTGATGTCGTCTTATTGTATTGAAAACTCGATACTGGGTTCAGGGTTTGATTTCTTTTAACAAAATGAGATTGAAAACAATTTATGAATGATAAATATTCCTTTATCTACAAAATATATTTACTTTGTAAATTATAGAATCCCTCTTTATTTCTGAGGTAATAACTGTGATAGTGCACATCCAAAAGGCAAAGTCAAAAGTAGATAATGCTCTCTGCTGTGTAAACACAATTGAGTTTCCATCTCAACAATTTGAATCTTCACCTCTTTTTTATTGTGTTTTAACGTCTGTGTAAGTGTCAGGTTCAGGTTACTTTATTTGTTGGTTTTCTTTATATTCGTCTGTTCTATGAAACTAAACTGTGACATGATCTTTAGCAGTTAATGGTTCCTTAATGCTGTTCAGTCTTTTACCTCTGACTGCTCTGTACAGGTATTAAAACTGACGATGTTCACAGCATGAAAACAACCAGGTGGAAATGTTCTGCAGAGTCTCAGACACAGAAAGCAGGAAGAGGATCCGACTCTAATCATCGCTGATTATCCAAGAGACTGCAGCTGCTTCAGTGTTTTCATCAATAATTCATAGACTTAAATGATTTCAGATCAGAATCCTCTGTGAAGACTCTCAGCCTTCATCCTGATCCACACTGTAAAAAAACCCTGTAATATTCCAGCAGCTGGGGAACCAAACAAAAACAACAGATTTTTTATCATTAAAATACAGTTTCTAGCTTTAAGTTGCCATAAAATCTCTTTTTAATGTTTAATTAAAGATATCTACACTGTAAAACCAATGAAATGAGCTATAAATACAGGCAAACACTGCTATAATATTACAATATCATATTTTAATCTGAATGTTAAAAGTTATAGAACTGTAATAATGTAATGTGAGATTACAGTAATTATTGCTGTTTACACTGATAAAAACTGTATTTGGACAGTTTACCAAAGCTTATACACTGATAAACAACATTTATTCAACTTCCATATTTACACAAGATAACTGTCAGTTAACTGACTAATCCATGTAATAAATGTAAAATCACTTGCATTTAACAGTTTAATCTATTTAATAATCAGCAAATATCTGCGATTAAAAAACAGACTTGTCTCACATTTTATGTGAGAAAAATAACATTTTCTTGACATTCACTATTTTTGTAGTTTTATTGATGTCTATGTATTTAAAAAATACAGAAATACATGTTGTTTTACAGTGTTCTCCTCAGAACAGCAGCTAACTTTACATTCCAGCTGTATCTGCAGCTCAGAGCCTGTCTCTGACTTTTATTTGACTTTTAAAGATAAGCACGAGTTGTTGCTGCCTGTGGCTGGAAAACAGAGCCCTGTTTCAGTTGTGTTGTGTTGATGCGATTAGCCAACGCAGCCCAAAAAGCTTGCAGGTTGCTTTCAAAAAGCTCGTCTGAGTAAGTGACGGTTGAATAAGTGCAGCTCATGTTATTATCAGCCTGCTGCGCTTTAGTGCAGGCGGCGAACAGACAGCACAGAGCCAGTCTGACCGGCCTGTCATCAGATAACACTCAACCACACACTCACACTAACATCCAGGTGTGAAGACAGATTGTAATCTGATCCAACAGAAGCTGCAGAAGATGCCCTGTGGCGCACGACACAGAGCAAACCAGGTCAAAGTTTGAATGTGTGTGACACAGCTGCCTCCACTGTTCCCAGCATGCACTGAGGGAGGAAATCAGCTGATCGTCTCCACTCAAATGCATTTTCTATACAACAGTCACAAGGTTTGAAAAACAAGTTCTGACATTCAGGCTGGATTAGGTCTGGTTTGGTCCCAGTGTGAGTGAATCAGAATCTCTGGAATGATTAAAACTGTTGGATGAGAGGACGCTACTTTAAAAATAAATAAAGTCATACTGATGCAAATAAAAGGCTCATTAAGGTAAAACTCAACTTATAATCAAGTGATTAAACACTAATAAAGACAGAGCTGTGACTATTATATCCTCCTGAATGTTACACACTCTGTTCAGATGTAAGTCGGGCTCCGGCCCTACTGGGTCTGGGTCTGGCCCCAGGCTACATAGCAGAACTGTTGACCCCTTATGAACCTATGGGGCCCTTCTGGCTGTTCTGAAGTCGAGGCTTAAATCTAAAGGGGACTTTTTCCATCAGGACCCCTCGGCTGTGGAACGACCTGCCTGAGGAGTTCAGGTTTGCAGTGACTTCTTTAAAATCACCTCCTAAAACCCATTTCTATAGACTCGCCTTTATGTGAAGTTGTTTTATTTTATTTATATATTTATTTTCATAATAAAGAAATACATGTATGGAAAATAAATGTGTTTGTTATTATTATTGTTATTGTTACTGATAAACAAACGAAAGTCTCTGATTGAGGGTAGAACAGTGGTTCTCAACCTGAAGGTCGGGACCTCCACTAAGGGTCGCCAAAGCTTCACAGGGGGGTCTTGAGGCCTTCTTATTTTCTTTTCTTTTCTTTCCTTATTTTTCTTCTTATTTTTAAAATTATTATTTAAGATATAAACTGAACACATGCTAAATCCCCAGAGCTTTCACTGTCTGATAAACATCCTCGTCCCCCATATAATATTTAAAAAAAAGGGTCTGTATGATTGTTAATAATGTAAAAATCAATAATTAATATATATTTTATACTAATAAAAGTACAGAGAGTTCCCTGTACAGTTTGAATATGTCTGTATAAATACAGTATATGTGTGTATAGTGTGTGTGCCTCCACAGGGAGAGGCTGGGAACCGCTGGGCTACAGTGGGCGGGGCTCGCCTCCGGACTTTAGGACCCAGCGGAAACCACCGCGGCGTCGGGCTCTGTGACGTCAGTCTGCTGCTATCAGCAGGTCAGTAAAGATGGCGGCGGAGGAGAGCAGGTTGAAGCAGCGGAATCACAAAAACAGCATCTTCAAAGAAGGTAATTAAACACACACCGAGGGCCGAGCGGTGTCACGGAGACAGCGGGGGGTTTTAACACAACGTGGCCGCCACCGACGCGTGCTTTGTGGACGATAAACGTGACGAAATGACGCCGCAGGGAGCGCGCTCCGCTGCGGCCAATAACCGCGTCTCCGGTCGCTTCTCCTCCCGCTGCGAGTGACCGCGACCCGCCGCGACCCGCCGCGACCGAGCCGCTGAATATCTCCGAAAACATGGCTCCTTATCCCCGGTGACAGGGGCCCGCGAGCAGGGCGTCCTCTCCTCCCGCTGTGAGAGCCTGCTGTCCGGGAGCAGCCGGTCCGGATGAGCCGCCGTCCTCAACCTTCAGCTCAATGTGTGTTTGTTGTTAGCCGAGGAGCTAACACAGCGGCTAGCCTCTTCTAGCTAATTCTCCATTGTTCCAACAGCTGGCGGCTAGCTGCTAACGCTAGCTGCTATTAGCTGCTAACGCTAGCGGTTAGCCTCCCGTTAACCTTTACTATCGCTGAGCAAACTGATATAATGTTACAGATATATTTCATATTGATCTATAAACTGTTGATCAGTCACTGCAGGGAGGTTGGGTTCAATCTGATTATTTCCTGTAAATATCGATCACAGATTAGTTTCATCTGATAATTCTAACCTGTTTTAATGTAATCTCAGTATTATGGTGTGTTTGTCAGAGAGGGATAGAGTTTGTGTTTGGATCTGAAATAATAAGATAATGTAGTTTCCCTGTGTGGTTGCAGGAATTACAATATAATCACAGAAGCTGCAGAGATGTTTTCTTTGCTACAGACTCCAACAAATGTCCCATCATCTTAATGTGATAGTTGTTTCAGTGCATATATCATCATCATCATCATCATCATCAGCCCCCCCCCCTACAGGCGCTGGTTGTGTCTGTCAGATGATGATGAAACCTTTATCTGTTTGTTATCAGTGCTTTGTCAGCGTGACGACTCAAACGTTATGAACTCAGTGCTGGAATATGTCCCCCCCCCGGGTGGAGAGCTGCACACTGGGAGCTCAGACCAAAGTGGGGCAGAAACGGAGCCGTGGGTCATGTGATGTGTACATAACTGTACTGGTGTAGTTATCCTCTTAGCTCACACTTTGAAGTGTTCAGCTCTCTCCACCCGGGCGCCGAGAGCTGCAGCAGGAGGAGGGACTGCTGGTAGGTCCAGATGTGCTCGGCCACTGCTGGTAGGTCCAGATGTGCTCGGCCACTGCTGGTAGGTCCAGATGTGCTCGGCCACTGCTGGTAGGTCCAGATGTGCTCGGCTACTGCTGGAGTGGTTCCAGTGGTTTTCAGAGCAGCACATCAGCATTAAAGGTCGGTTTATAGTGTGTTTGGAATGAATTATGTACATTAACACATCTGGACGTGTTCTGGGATATTTATTCTTTTAAAGAGTTCAGCTGTGTGTCCTTTATGTCTTTAAGTCTCCCTGTGAGTGTCTCCTGGAGGTCAGCAGTGTCTGTCTGCTGTGAATGCAGACACACACACACACACTCTCTCGTGACGATGTAATGATGTAATGATAGAGTGGCTGATGGAAGGGGGGGGTTCAGCAGACAGGCGAACTATGAGGAAGTTTACTGTGAAGTGACGGACAGGAATCCACTGGCCAGTTTGACCTGTTTGCTCATCCTATAAACCTCCTGTTCCGTGTGTGTGTGTGTGTGTGTGTGTGTGACTTACAATGTGAGACAGGAACACCATCAGATGGTTCAGTGATGAGTACGGCTCATTATTGCGGACCACAGGCAGCGGAGACATTGGACAGGTTGTTGTTGTAGATGTCCCCAACAGGGGGAGTGTGCACTGTGTGATCAACTGTACGGACACACAGACGGAGGACAGGGCTCACTTTCCCTCGTCCACACTGAAACACAGGGCCGCTGCTTTCACTCTGGTGTTAATGACGACCAAAACATATAAACTACAAACAGTAGAGAGGCGCGATCATTACTGGGGCAGATCAAATCAAAAAGAAACACACAGATCGCACCGAGACACTGAATTAACCGGATCACCGGCCTTCTCTAAAAGCCTCACAGCACACGCCGTCGTCTGAACGCCGTCCTGTGGACCGCTACGTTGTTTAGCTCTTCCCCCGGGATGATGTGGCCGTTTTAACCCGTGAGGCGTTCGCTGCCTGCAGAGCTCTCACACGGCCCGACCCGCTCGGTTAGCTGTGGGATCACAAATCTGATCCCCCAGAACGGACACACAGTGAGACTCTGGTTCCAGGCCACTGTGTGACCCAGCAGACGAAGGCCAACGCAACCAGAGCTGCACATCGGCCGCGTGTAAAAGCTGCCGTACAAGGAGAGCTGAGGGCTCGGTCTATTTACTGTAAACCCACAGCCAGCCCATAATAGCAGTGATTCCCTTCAGCCGTCCTGCTGGCCGAGCTCCTGTAAAGCTTCACTGACTGGAGGAAACCTTCTGCTCTGCCGTCATGGTCGCCGTCAGACTGAAGAGGAAGAGGATTCACAGATTTCACTGACCTGATCAAATAGTTTCAGTTGAGAGGACCGCACGATCTTTGTCTCTCTGTTGTCATGACAACTACACCACCATAAAACGGTGATTTTAAACCCGTTAACACACTGATATAAATATTGTCCGGATGGAGAGGATTAGTTTTAATGGTAGAGACCGGCTGGCTACACCTGATGTCAGCAGATTTAAGGTTTTTTTTAAGGTAGTTTTTACAGCTCTGTGCTAACCACATCGACCTTTAACCTCACCTTTCCCTCTCAGGTGGACGTGGGTTTAAATCAGACGCATCCCAGATGAGGCGCGAGGAGGAGGAGGACGACGACGACTTGCTGGAGGAGGAAGAGGAGGAAGATCTGGGCATGGCCAGGCCGGTGCAGATCGTGGTGGCGGACGAGGAGGAGCACTCGTTCTCGCTGCAGGAGGAGGCGCTGGAGCGTCTGCTGCTGCAGGAGGAGGTGCGGGACCTCCACGTGGTCGTCGTCTCGGTGGCCGGAGCTTTCCGCAAGGGCAAGTCCTTCCTGCTGGACTTCATGCTGCGCTTCATGTACAAACAGGTACCGCTTTCTGGTTCCACTGAGAAACACAAAGAACTTCAGTGTTCTTATGGTTTTGGTTTTAACGATCACTTACAATGTGCAACGTGAGTCAGAGTTCAGAGTTCATCACAGCTCCCGCTACTGGTGTTTTCCAGGAGTGTCATTTAGTTACGATGATCTGAAGGTTTGGTGGAGAGTGACGGTGATATCACGGCTGTTTGTGGTTAAACTAAAAGCTTCGTCAGGTCTTAATGCTCAATTCTGGTTTTATGCTGAGATCTGATATTTTTTTGCGTGGTTGTTCACATTATGATTCAAATGCGACCGCCATCAGACTCCAGTGGGAACAGTCTACGGCCACGAAATGAAGACGTGACGTCACAGGCAGCCCGCTATCAATCAGCTGTGACGTCTGTCTCACTTCAGTGATGTAAAAGTTGGATAAAATGTTACATGACCGACTCCTGCTACTGAGGTCGCTTTGAAAAACATCAGATTTGGGCATAAAATTGAGATTTGGGCCACTTTGTCTGCAGTGTGAACATAGCCTAAAGGTCTGTCTCTGTAGGGATCCTTTCCATAACGCTGTCAGACACTTACTACTTACTTTGAGAGGCGCATTTGTCTCCAAGGATTGATGTTAGCTTACAGTGCAGCCGTTTTCCTGAACATTTTCACATCTGATTCCATTATTTTGACCTAACCAGCGTGTGTGATGGTTGGAAGGACTAACGCAGACGGTTTTGGTTCGTTTTATTTACTTTCTGTCCCTTTGTTTTGGCTGGAGAAGATGGAGACTGCCAGGTTTTCAGGAACAATAAAAAAAATCTGCCTTTTGTTTGAGCTTGAGGGCTTTTTGGGGTTAATGAGATGATCTGTCCGGTGGGGTTTTAGAAGCACAGCAGTGGTGGAAGTGTGTCATTGGAGATTTTTATGGAACACAGTATTCATCCTTTATGTGGAACTCTTTTGGCTGGGAAGCAAATATTTTTCCAGATAACGTCCTGTCAGCTGTTGTTAGTATCACACCCTGAAGCAGGAAGCAGTCCAGCTCATGGGTTTCAGAGGAAACTGAGCGTATTTGTCGATCTGTGAGCCGACCTTTTGGCCGTGTTAATCTACGGTAAGCACTGAGGAACATTCTGGAGGGATTTTAGCCCGGCACAATGCCTGCTCTGTGGCTGGGCCTCCCCAGAGCTCACTGCAGCTTATTTCACACATAAAGGCCATCTTTATGCATAGAATAAGCCCCGTCCACACAGGTCAGGTCACCGTGGGGTTGCTTTTTACACGCCACCTGCACAGGTCTCAAACAATGAGTTTGGAACGAGGGATTGGACTGTGTGAAGCTCCTGAAAAGAACCATACTGACGCTTTTTTCATGTTTTAACTACATATTCTGTGTCTGTTACATTACACACAACCACGATGATATACGCTGTGAGAGAGACACATTTTGGCAACGGAATTATTCTTTTTTTATTCCGTTTGTACCATAGAAACTGTCCCTTTCACATGTGAGTCACACTGATTCATTGCAGTACTGGACAGATCAGTGGGGAGACTTTAAAATACTTTTAATTTCTAAGAAGGTTTTGTCCACTGTGAGACAGTAGAGTCCTAATTTGGTTTTATGCCCATTTATAAAGATAAGGTACGTGTGATAGCTGAGACATCTGTTTTGGACTGTAGCACGACATATTCGGTCAAATTTAAATCATTTTTTTAAAATATTAGGGATGCACAATGTTGGTCCAGATATGCTGATGTGTTATATTAAACCTGTCCAACCTCCTCTTGCCTCTGTGCAGTCACCTGGTTCGTGGGTCGGCGGGGAGGAGGAGCCTCTGACCGGCTTCACCTGGCGAGGCGGCTGCGAGAGGGAGACCACGGGCATCCTGGCCTGGAGCGAGGTGTTCGTGGTGGAGAAACCAGACGGCTGCAAGGTCAGTTTACAGGCAGACACCGAGGCTTCTCCTGAACTCTCTACCTCATGTTTGGCGGGGGGGTGCAGGCTGGGCACTCGCAACTAATTAATAATGTAACTGCAGTGAGAACTGTTTGAAGTACAGTTAGTATGTGTGTTGATGTTCTTGCAGGTTGCAGTTCTACTAATTGACACACAGGGGGCGTTTGACAGCCAGTCCACCATCAAGGACTGCGCCACGCTGTTCGCCCTGAGCACCATGACCAGCTCTGTCCAGGTCAGCTGTCTGTTGGTTATCGTGTGTGTGTGTCTGTGGGGGGGCTGTCAGTGTGGGATCAAGGCACAGATTGCAGTCCGGTGCTTCTACAGCGTCTAAAGCACGTCAAGTAGTCCCAAACTGAGCACTCTGTCAGCAGTGGACTCACGAGGTTCAGGCTGATTTAAAACAACGGACGAGTCGACACATTTTCAACCCACAAACTGCAGATTCATAAATCTGGTAATAATGGTCTTTTAACGGCAGCATCAAGTGTTTGTTCAGAGTACAGTCATATCATCCAGTTTACAGCTCGAGCTACATCCAGTGAGAGCCGACACAGGTAGCCTCTCTCTCCAGCAAACTGCTAGTTACTTTGGTAACAGCCAGAAAAACACTGGTACTCTCATGTTAGACTGTGAATTAACAGCTAGTTTGTGTTTAATTCTGTGTGTGTATCTGATCCACTAACCAGTACTTCCGCCTCTCTGTCTCCTCCCACTGAACGAGCGCAGCTACAACGGAGGCTGAGCCGGAGGCTAGCAGAAATAAATGGTGCAGTTACACTTTGATTTAAAACTGTTTGTATGTGCTGTGTGTTTCAGGTGTACAACCTGTCTCAGAATGTCCAGGAGGACGACCTCCAGCACCTCCAGGTCAGTATCAGCCCAGCCAGACAACAATCAGCAGGGCGGAGTTACTCCATCACTAGAAATCCACATAATCAAAATGAAAACTGTGTGCAGTGACTGTTCTAAGACTGAACTAATAACACAACACCAGTGCTTCACTGGGAAAAGCTAGTTAGCTAGCAGCTACAAGTCATTGTTTATCCACAGATAAAAATCATGAGACCTTAATAAGTAATATTGTGTGCGGCTTCCAGCAGCGCAGCTCTGAAACGCGTTACCCAGAATCCCTTGCCTGTCTGATATTGCCTATCTCTACTATTGCTTTAATAAAGTGTTTCTTACTCGATTACATAATGAATCGATAGCTGTGGGGTAAAGCTAAGTTATGCTAAGCTATGGAAACTGCATACATGTTACACTCTTAGCATTTGAGGTTTGCGTGCCCCCTGGTGGCTGTAAGCAGAAAGACGCACACTGTTTGAGTGAGGAGCTCCTTATCAGGTGTGTTCATGAGGAGTCCGGGGCAGGATTAACCTCTGAGCCCGACCCAGCAGGCAGCCTTATGAGGCAGAAATCTCTCAGTGGAAAGTTCTCTTCCATCTTTGGTCCAAAGCTGCTCATCGCTGCTCATTGCTGCACCTCAGATCACCTGCCAGTCAAACAGTGAGGGCGGGGCCAACTTCATTCAGGCCGACTTCGACCCAGTTTCTCTTTTTATTCCAAACAACAGTGAATGTAATCTCTTGCTGCGGCATTAAAGGGTTTTTAGGCACTGAGTGTTTAGAGCAGTAAATGGAAAAGCTTTCATGGAGCGGATAAAGCCGTTGCAACCATCAGATATGCACACATTTGTTCCTATGCTGATTGAGCTTTATGACTGCGCTGTGGCGGTTTAATTGGATTTGAAGCTGACCGGTTGTTTCCTCTCCTCAGCTCTTCACCGAGTACGGACGACTGGCCATGGAGGAAGTCTATGAGAAACCCTTCCAGGTGTGATCCTCCAGCCACGTTGGCTTCAATGTTCAGAGATTCTTTTCAGTTTGAAGCACGAGTAAATCTAAAGCTGTACTTGAATATATTGTCCCTTAATGACCTCCGATCAGTTATCTATTCTGGATCAGTAATCCGAATGTTCCCCTCTGTTCAGACTCTGATGTTCCTGATCAGAGACTGGAGTTACCCCTACGAACATCCGTACGGTCTGGAGGGAGGACAGAGCTTCCTGGAGAAACGGCTGCAGGTTAGAGTCACCAGTCGGCCTCTTATCTGGATCAATAACGAAGAAGCTTCTGATTATTGTTTATTGAAAGCAAACCTCATTAAACACATATAGATTATTGATTGAATCAACTCCATATAGAACAGAGTTTAATGAGGACATGTTACTCATAGAGGAAGATTATCTCCAGACTTTAATGCGTTAATGTGTGTTTGACGTCCGTGTTCAGGTGAAGCAGAATCAACACGAGGAGCTGCAGAACGTCAGGAAACACATCCACTCGTGCTTCTCCAACATCGGCTGCTTCCTGCTGCCTCACCCCGGCCTCAAGGTGGCCACCAACCCGCACTTCGACGGACGGCTCAGAGGTCAGACACAGACACAACAAGCAGTCGTCATCAGTGCAGCGTGGCTTAAAAACAATGAACCATTTCATCTGTAAGATTTCTCAATAAGTGCTGTTTGGTGGCTCAGACACCCGCAGACACAGTGAACAGCGACTCATTGCACCGTTAACCGTCTATAATGTGTGACGGTATTAAAGTAACTACCTGGTTCATGGCTTTCTGTCTGCTCATTGTAGCTGCAGTGTTTCCTCTAGGATTTTTTTTAGCAGTGGGGGCAGGCCTGTCCGAACAGTCCCCCCCCCCCTTCCCGTCACGCCGGCAAACGTTTTTCGTATGAAACCGAAGTGACACTTGCTGCGACACAAACAAATATATTTACCGTTTTAATGTTTCCAGATGTTTGATATCAGGACGTTGAGCTGAGAACTGACAAGTTGAACGTTGTCCAATTAAAACGGACCCACCGCGGTGACGGTTTTGGTGGAGCTGTTAGTTTAATAGTCGACTTGGAAGAAAGCGAACGTTTTGACAATCAGCTCCATCAACACAACAGTATGTGGAGTTAAAGTGGACAGCCCCAATAACCTCTGAATAGTTCTACTTGTTGTTAAACTGCAATGTGAGCGGCAGCCAGCGGGGGGGCATTATGTCTGCACAATCATTTAAAAGGCAACCGGGACTACATTGTGCGTCTGCCCCATTTCTGATACCGCGGAGGCAGAAATTTAACAGCAGCGGGCCGTCGCTCCAAAATCAACATAGAGGAAACACTGCACTGTTTATTTATTAGTTTATCATCCTCAGTGCTGCTCTTACTGCGTACGAGGTTGAGCTGTGACGACGTGTGTTTGTGTGTCTCAGATATCGATGAAGACTTTAAGAAGGAGCTGGTGAACCTCGTTCCGACGCTGCTCTCTCCAGAGAACCTGGTGGAAAAAGAGATCGGAGGAGTCAAAATCACCTGCAGGGACCTGCTGCACTACTTCAAAGTGAGTTTCTATTCCTCTGCCCGCCATGGCCTTTCATTCAGTGACAGCAGTGTGTCAACAGCAAGCTAACATTCAGTTTCTGGAACCATAATGTCAAAATAAGTTCCCCACAAAGAATGAGTGGAGTTTTCCTATAACTTTAAATGCTCTGAACAGATCAAACAAACATTACCAGATTATTGGAGAAAGTTAAATAGAGCTACAGTATGATCAAAGATGTTTTATTTCATCTCGACTTTAAATTCCCAACTTCACTGGACTCAGTCAGAAGGTGCTGCTGTTCTCATTGGTGGTTAAAGTGGTTGTAACTCACATAGAAGCTCAGGTAATGTGATAATAACTATATTTATAAATGTTCATGTGACTCATGCTTTCTCCTTTGTATTGCTGTCTGTGTGTTTTCAGGCTTACATGAAGATCTACCAGGGAGAGGAGCTTCCTCACCCCAAGTCAATGCTGCAGGTCAGTACAGCTCACACACACACACACACACACACACACACACACAATGTACTTCATGTAATCTCACTACTCAACAGCTCCACCTGCTGGACAGTGTACACCATGAACTTCGATCTAAAACACCTCACTGATGGTGTACATCCGTCTGTTTGAACACAGCTGAATAAACAGCTTTTTTAACTCTAAAATGAACTTTAAAGCTTAAACTTGTTTCCTTGGTGAGTGTTAATGTATTTCCAGAGCTGCTCAGTAGTTTGAGCTGTGAGTTTGCCTCTCAGTGCACCAACAGAGCTCAAATCTTTGTACCAAGCTTCCCCCAGACACATACATTACTACCATCTTCCCAAGTTTTCCTGAGACTGATTGTCCTCTCGATATAGTTCAAACACCACAATGCCACACAATAAGTGGGAATGATCATTTTTGCATCACAAATTACATTTTCATTAAAAAACTAAGTGAACAAAATCATTTGGGCTCTGTATCAACCATGTTTTCTTCCATCTGGAGATTGCACTCAGCCATATTGAGATTTAATGTGCGGCCTCACTCTGAGCTGTATTCAAACCATTTAATGAAACATTTATGAATGTTTGTCTTATTAGTATTGTGATACATCCTGTGTCTACAGCAGATGAACATTAACATCAGCGTGTCCATCAGATCAGTAATGTTGAACACACGTTTTGTCATCTGTTACCAAGGCAACAGCTGAAGCTAATAACCTTGCAGCTGTAGCGGGAGCCAAAGACTTGTACAACAAAAGCATGGAGCAGGTAACGCATCACTTCCTGGATTTGTTTGATATAGTTAACTTTCTGGTTTCAATAAGACCATGTGTTAACTCGCCATGTGTCGCGTTGGCAGGTCTGCGGTGGAGACAAACCCTACATGTCCCCAACTGAGCTGGAGCGCCGTCACACAGAGCTGCGACTGGCGTCGGTGCGACACTTCCGCTCCGTCAAGAAGATGGGCGGCGAGGACTTCTGCCGGCGCTACCAGGAGCAGCTGGAGGCGGAACTTGACGAGGCCTACGCCAACTTCAGCAAGCACAACGACGGCAAGAACATCTTCTACGCCGCGCGAACGCCCGCCACGCTGTTCGCCGTCATGTTCATCATGTACGTGGTGTCGCTGGTCACCGGCTTCGTGGGCATCAACTCTGTGGCCACGCTATGTAACCTGGTGATGGGTGTGGCTCTCACGGCGCTCTGCATCTGGGCTTACGTCAAATACTCCGGAGAGTTCCGCGAGGTCGGAGGAGTCATCGACCAGGTGGCTGAAACCCTCTGGGAACAGGTGAGAGGACGGGTTCTGTATACCCGCCCGGTCTGTCTTTGTCTCTGGTGAATTAACATTCCCACAGTTTCTCTTCACTGTCCCTCAATCTTCTTTTCTTATAGCAGCAGCTTGATGAGCAGGGACAGCTAAAAGTACAGTTTACTTACAGGTCCAGTGTGTGACATTGAGGAGGGTCTGTTGTCAGAATATAATATTCATTTTAGTTACATGTTGAGCTGCCATGTAGTGTTTCATGGCCACTGTAATTTCTCCCCTGCGCTTGTAAAATCATACACACTGGACCATATGATTCATGGTACACACTCTCTAGACAGTCTGACTGTTTTTCCCATGCTCTACTGTTTCAAAACGCAAACAGAAATCGCCATCCCCATCCTCCCTTTCATCGTCATCTTCCTCTAATCCTTCCTCTTTATTTCCTCTCTCTATGCCTCCAGAGGACTCCTCGAAAGGTGAGCGCAACCCCTCCAAACGTTCTGAGTGTCTCTGTAGGTTATTGTGTTTGGTGCAGTTGTGTGACATCAGCTGCTCAGCTTCACTTGTCGGTATCAAACCTGTGAGGATTCACATTAGAAGTCCATTGATCGATGCACTGGATCAGTTATGGTGTCGATAAGGAAGGCCCTCCTCTCATTAGAGGGCGTTTACACTGGTTTTATAGAAATATCTGATGTAAGGTCGTCCCAAACTGTCCACTCTTTGTCAGCATTGGACTGATTTAAAACAGTAGAGGGCGTGTTGAGACATTTTAAACTTTGGTAATAATGTGAATATTAACAGCAGTTTGGTCACAATACAGTTGTATAATTCAGTTTACAGCTCGAAAAATGGTTTTTAAACTCGGGTAAAAAGAATAAACATTTGAGACATCCCTACTGCAACCAGTTAAAAGCTGACGGCTGTTCGTCGAGTATAAAGGACCTCGCACTCACTTTATCTGACCACCTCCTTCTCCTCTTCCTCCAGGTTTTCTCCAAACTCTTCGAAGTGGCCCGGAGTCGAGTCCCGTTGGGAAGCCTCATCCCGGCGCCGCGACCACGGCTCGCCTCGAACAACAACGTCAAGAAGAAAAACTAGCAGCATTCATACGTGCCCCCCCCCTCCCTCAGCTCGGTTTTCAAACGGCGTTTTTAGGACGGTTTGAAATGTGTAAATCCGTTTTTGTTCTCTGACTGTAGATAATGGTTCCTCGCCGTGCTGGCGGTAGGTTTAAGGACTCGCTGTAGACCCGGACGAAGCAGTGTGATGTATTTTATTATTTGTCAGTGGGCGGGGTATAGGTATTTATTGGTGGGAGGGGCCATTATTCTATCACTGAGTGTCATCCCAGGTATGCGTTCACCTGTAGGATGACGACAACTCGACATTAATGATTCCCATTTATGTGAATGTATGAATGAAGAGCATGACCGCTGACCCTCCTCACGGTTTCCCTCCTCTCCTCCTTCCTGTCGTCTCGGTCAGGTTCGTTTCTGTCGCTGGGCGGCTTCACGAGGAGGAGTCACAACCAAAGTTTACAGCTTTACTCTTAGAGACTCTCTGAGCGGACTGACAAGGTGTTTAAGACTTCTGGGAACAGCTCGGTTTCAGGGAAATCCCAGAATCCTAAAGTCACATTTGTGTTTCTACATTCCTGCGCAGGTTGATCTCGTTTGATCTTAATGTCTGAATCAAAAACTCCACAGATCTGTCTGGAAATTGGAGGGAACAACAAATACGTGCTTAAGCGTTGAGATTCATTCTCCAGCACATATCCGTGGTAAATATTCACATAGCTCTTCCTGGAGTGAAGGGACCGTACTATGGTTAACTGGCCCTGCGCTTCAAACTCTGATGCTGTAGGTAACCTCGAGCATCATTTCCAGTCACTCCAGGATTTTTCTGAAGTGCTAGCATGGCTTTGGATGACGTTGATCGTGATTCCAGCTTGACTAAGAAACCACAGCAGAAGACTGAGCTCAACTCGACATGTTTATTGCTTTATTTAAATCCACCAATCGTAAATACATATACAGGATTCGAATATTCGAGAAGTTCTCTAAACGTTCTCCTGCAGACAGTGAAGGCCTTTGCACATCAAGTTACTTATGCGTTTTTAAAATCCGTCATCCAATAGAAATTGTTACCCACAGAGTCCGATACGCTTTGTTTTAAAATTCACTATACGAGACGGTCATCAAGCAGTGCCGTAGACCGGACTCAAGACTTTTCCTCTTGTCTCATTCTTGTCTTGGACTTCTTGGTCTTCACAAAGTCCAGCAAAGTGTTTTAATGAAGTAACTTCCTCCTTCAGAACAACCCTTAATGAAAGGGCGGAGTTGGTGTGCAAAGGCCTTTACGGTTCCAAACCAGGCTTCCATGAGTTTGTCTGGGGAAGTAGAAGTGTGAGTGTGATGAGCTGAATTTCCCCAAAACCCTCTGAGCCCTGAAGTAGCCATCGAAGTGTCAGTTGGTCACACGCTGAGTGGACGGACTTACAGACAGATGTGGTGCTGACCAACAGAAACGTGTGTAGTTGGTTAATTTTAGACCACATCACGACTTGATTATTTTCTTATTTTGTAATTCTCAGTAATGACGACATCATGACTTCAGTATTGACTTCATTTACTTTCAATCATTTTGAAGTGCAGAGCTGGAGTTGGGGACTTAGGAACTATTTCTTGACAAACAGTGTATCCTTCCACCACGGCTCCAGCTGTGTATTTAATGCACATGAGAGTGATGTTGATCTCTAATGTCCAAAAAAGTAAATGCACGTTTTCTTTAAAGTTTGAAGTCTTTAACTGTCTCCGGTATTGTTTAGGGACATGAGACGTCTCTCCATATTTAACCTGGTAGTTCGTGATGATGATCCTCAGTCCTCTTGATCTGACTGCCTGACAAATGAAGCTTTTTAATGTTTTCCTCCAGTTTGACTGAGACCTGTAGATAATATTTAATAATTTAACTCGAGTGTTATTCCTTCTCTTTGATTCCTCCTCTTCCTCTTCCTCTTCCTCTTGACAAATCTGAAGACTGAACCACCTCCTCCTGTTTTTAAAGCACCAGAAGCCGTTTTAGTAAAACACTAAGAATCGTGTCACACACTACGAACACTCCGCTTTTCCGTTTTTAAAGCCAAAATCCGAGAATCGGACGAATGAAAGGTTCATTCCAAACGTTGACCGCCGTTCGGGGGTCGGACGCCATCAAGTTGTCGTTTTGCAGTCATATTTTCTTTCTTTTAATCATCATTCCATCCACAAAATCACCACTGTGTGCTTTTTGTTTTTGTACAGTTTAGTTTTTTACAGCCTCATCCACACATAGGGCATGTGTATGAAATATATACATATATAAATATAAATTTTCTAGACCTTTTTGTAGCTGGAAGAACAACGGTTTGGGTGGTAGACCAGATTCAGCTCACTGGATGTAAAGGAATGCTTTCGTGATTTGTGGATATGTCTAATAAATTCCTTTTTTATATATATATTTGTAAATTTAATCTGACATGAGCACTGCGATTCCACCCCCTGCTGGCAAAGAATGTTTATAATCTGGATCTTCTTTTCCCCTTTTTTGTCTTTTGTTGCATTTTAAAGTTATTTTCGTTAATTTATTTTTCAGTACAATATTAAACCAAACTCCTACAACACACACAGCAGTGTCCTCCTTTCTTAAATGTCCTATTGTTATGCCGATATCTGGTAAGACATTTTAGACCCTACAGTAGAGCTAGAAGGATTAGTCGATTTATCAATTTGTCAACTAAACTAATAAACTTAGGTAGTTTAATGATCATTAAACCCCTTTGAGACCTTTTTCAATAACAAAATGGCCAAATTCTTTAATTTCAGCTTCTCAAATGTGAATGTTTTCTGGTTTCTCTGACAGTAAACTGAATGTATTTTGGTTGTGGACAAAACAACATATTTGAGGCCGAGGCCAAAAAACGATTATCACAGCAGGATTTATCTCCTCAAAGAACTGCTGACTCAACCTACGTGAAAACATAACAAAATACATTTACTAAACCTGGATCCCTAAAGATGGCAGTTAACCACTACAGCTCCAACTATCTACAACAAGGACAAACTAGCACGAAAGGTTTGGAAGCCTAACAGAGCTGCTGCAGACGGGTTTCTGTCACTCTGCAGACGACCTACAGGCTCCCGTACTCCAAGATCCTCACCGGGGTGGAGCACACACTGTCTCAACTAAACACAGGTCAATATCACAGCAACACGCTAACTAGCTCATTTACTTAATTGTTAGTTAGCTAGTGTTTCGCTTACATTAGATAACCCAACATGTGACTGGGTGCGTCTTTTCCATGCAGAAAATAATTAAGTAAATGAGGAAATGTGCTTTTAGAGAATTGAGACTTTGTTTCCTCTGAAGCGACAGCTGATGATCTGATCTGACCGCTGTCAGTCGGCTTTAACAGCTGTAGAGACTGTTGGTGGAGTTTGTGTCTGCACACCTGAACTGTACTATTATTAATAAAGACACAGTTCTCAGTAGCAGTTACAACCTGCATTATAATGATGAGCGTAGTTCAGTTGACGGGCTGGTTATAAAAATGAGGATATCATTCTGATTAATATCGGTTGGATTGAGGGTTTCCTCCCATTCAGAGATACGCTGTCTGTTATTGATCCCAGGGGGACATTTTTGTTTACAGTTGTTCAAGGTGCTCACAATGTTAAAGGAAATTTTTACTATCTAACTCAGTATATATAGAATAGAAATGTATATATAGGTATTTAAATATAAGTAAAAAATGGAAATAGAAATATAATCAGCTTATGTATCTTACAGTTATAATAATACAAATATATACACTATATGATAATATATACAAAGTAATGTATGCCACAGTGTGTGCCTGACAGAAATGAAATGAGTAATAGTGAGTTTTTGCAGAAGTTACAAATTATTACAAAGAATGGCATCATTCAATTCAATTTTATTTGTATAGCGCCAATTCATAACAGAAGTTATCTCAGGACACTTTTCAAATAGAGCAGGTCTAGACCAAACTCTTTATAACATTATTTACAGAGACCCAACAGTACCACCATGAGCAAGACCTTGGAGACAAGGGCAAGGAAAAACTTTCTTTTAAGAGGCAGAAACCTCGGACAAACCACGACTCTAGGTGGGTGGGAGAGAGAGACACAGAGAGAGAGAGAGGGAACAGGTAAAGACAGAATGACAGAAAAAGGGGGGAGAAAAAAAGGGGGGAAATGAGAGTATTATAGTAATAATACAACTGTAGAATAATAGTAATAATAATATCCATGATATCAGCAGGACCCTGGCAGGAGGCTCCACCAGGATCCATGAGCATAATAATCCAGTGTATTGCAAAGTGAACCAGTATTAACCAGAGACATTACAAGCAATCATTTAAATGACTAATGACTGAGTTTGGACACACGAGGGAGGAGTTAAAGAGTTTGATGGCCACGGGCCAAGGACCTCAGCAGATAGAGTCGGCTTTGGCCCTTCCTGTAGAGGTATGGTGGGGTTAGTAGACCAGTCTTATTTCATAAGTTTTAGGGAAATCTGATAATTGAAAGTAATTGTCTTTCAGAGACAGTTTATAAAGATTTGATTGAGTCCATTTGACAATAATACTAAATTACAGAGGTCAGTGCTGTATATACAGGGTATAGGTTGATGCTATGGATACAGGGCAATGGTTGGCGCGGTAGATACAGGTCAGAGGTCTGACAACATCTCAAACATTTTCCACCACCTGCACCTTGTCCTATATATATCTTGCAGTTGTACAGATATATTATTAACAGAGGTCTCAACGCCCCTCCAGTATAAAAACTCTGCTTGGAACTCATAAAGAGAAACTTAGAACTTAGCAAATGCAGCGACTTTTCATGGCGCAGATTCACCAACATGTAAAGAAATATCGACTCCAACAGAAACAAGGCTCAGGTGTTTGTGTGTGTTTGTCAGCAGTGTTTCTCTAACAGGAGGTTACTCTTCCTCCTACACTGAACACAGAGACACTGAGGTACCAGAGGACACAAATCCAAAACCAAACCCAGGATAAAGAGGTTCAGTGAATGTGGTGTTGAAGGTGTGGAGGTGGATCAGTGTGTCAGAGGAGACTCTGTAGAAGGACAGAGTGCCAGCAGGACAGTCCACATACACTGCTACTCTGTTAGAGACAGAGGAGGAGGAGGAGGAGGAAGAGGCAGAGGCAAGGGGTATTTTTCTGTTATTGTGCCAGACAGAGTAACCACTATAATCAGAGCAGTAAAGACTCCAGGACTGATTATTTCCTCCAAACCAGCTGTCAGCATTGTATCCTTTCCTTCTCATTCCTCTGTAACTCACTGATATATCAACCCTTCCTCTCCACTCGACCTCCCAGTAACAGCGACCAGTCAGACCATTTCTACACAGCAGCTGAGGGCAGAAGTCAAATCTCTCTGGATGATCAGGATATGGCTGCTCCTCTACCACTAACGTCACCTTCCTGTTGTTGTCAGACAGTTTGAGGTTTCTGTTCATTGTGTTTGTGTCCACTGTGAGTTCACAGGCCCCTGATGGAGAGAACAAGACTCAATACAGCAGCAGTTTATCATCTAACACAGCTGATGGCTTTATTTGTTGCTTTATTAACAGACTGACTGTTAATTAGATCAAAACTTCACAATGACTCATCTGTTTGGATCTTCTTTCAAACTGATAGTTGAATGCAGATTCACAAGCTTTTGATTAAAACTACTTTAACATGTTTTCATGAATCAAAGTGAACACACACTTACACTTCCTCAGACCAGGTTTCAGCCACTGCTCTCCACCGTGTTCCACCCTGGAGGAAGAAACATCACAGTGAACCTTCAGACGTTTCCTCATCAATGATTAGATTAGATTAGATAGATACTTTATTCATCCCCAAGGGGAAATTCACAGTTTCCAGCAGTATCCACAAACTGATAATAATAATAATAATAATAACAACAACAACAACAACAACAGGAGGTCAAATTTAAAAGAACTAATAAGTAGAATAAATAGCTAAATAACGAGCATTGGGTAAACCCTAAGGTGTATAAGTAGGTGGTCACATAATGCAGGGTGCACTGCGTCAGGTGGTATAGTTAAATACAGGGCAGACATTTTGGAGTTTAGAGTTTTTCGGTTTTCCTCTCCTGGGTGGAGTTGACGAGCCTCATGGCCTGGGGGAGGAACGATCTCCTCAGTCTTTCGGTGGAGCAGGACAGTGACAGCAGCCTGTCACTGAAGCTGTTCCTCTGCCTGTAGATGGTGCTGTGCAGTGTCTATATCCATAGACAGAAGAACTGATCATTGGTCCAAAGGCTCAGAGAGACAAACTGGCCTCACAACTAAAACAGCAAGAAATCTGGGAGTGATGTTTGACTCTGAGTTTAATTTCATGTGTCACAAAACCAGCATTTTAACATTTGAAGAACATCTCCAGAGTGAGGCCATTTCTCTGTCAAGTTAATCTCTCCTTCCATCCTAGGATTAGGCTTAGGGTTAAGGGACCTGCTCTACCTCTGAGCCACAGCTGCAACATTACGCATGTATCATGTCCAGGTACAAAAAAGCCTCTTGGACCCATAGTCCAAACCCAACAGGAAGTCCATTTTAAATTTAATGATCATGTTTGACAATTTGCATGCATTGTAGTTTGACAAACTCCTCCTAGAGAAATGATACGATCGACTTAAAATTTGGTCAGTGGTGACACATTGAAACGTTTGGCAGGAAACAGGAAAGTGTTCTAAACTCACTGTAGATTGTCCAATCTGCCCTAAACTTGAAATGTTTCATAAGAGAACACATTTATAAGCCAACATTAAGTCACAGTCATAGCACCCACTACTTGAAACAGGGAGTAAGCCTTGAATGGCTAAATTACGTTACATTTCCACGTGACCGCAGCACGCCCCAATGGGCGTGGACCACAAGGGACTGATCACCGCTGCTTCCAGCTTCATCTGGAATTTCATTTTAACCCCTTCTCATCTTCAGCCACTTCCTCTTCCTCTCTGGCCACACCAAATACTTTCCTCCCCCCACAGGGCAGCTGAGAAATCAACACCTCCATTCCCACACCTCTCCTCTGCCCTCCACTCCACACTCATGCAAGATACACAACAGGGGACACCTACAACTCCTCCCTCCAATCTCTCCTTAACAGCGGACCAGGTGAAGAAGGAACTGAGGAAGATCAAGGACAGAAAGGCCACAGGCCCGGATGGTATCAGCTCCAGACTGCTTAAAGACTGTGCAGATCAGCTCAGTGAGGTTGTTCTGCACATCTTCAACCTGAGCCTCTGTCTGGAGAGAGTTCTGGTCCTGTGAAAAACCTCCTGTGTGGTTCCAGTTACAAAAACTGTGCACCCCAGGGAGCCCATCCATATCAGACTGGTTGCCTTGACTTCTCACCTGATGAAGATGGAGAGGATCATTCTGAACCATCTGCAACCCCTGGTGAGCTCAAAGCTAGACCCCCTGCAGTTTGCTTACCAACCGGGCATTGGGGTGGATGACGCTGTCTTCTACCTTATGCACAGACACCTGGAGATCACTGGGAGCACTGGGAGCACTGGGAGAGGCTTGTTCTTTGACTTTTCCAGTGCTTTCAACACAATACT